TAGTATACAGTCATACAGTCATATTTGAATATTGACTAGTATTTTTTTTTTTTTTCTGGGGGCAACGGCGCCTTTTTAAAATTTTCGCCTGCCCACCGCCTGCCCCATTGTTGGAACAGTCAGGCGATGAGAAACACAGAATTAAATATGGACGCCCTTATCATAAGTTGTACTTTGACATTTTTCAGGATATTTTAGTCTTAGTTTACAGACTAGCATATATTATCCCACCAGACCAGAACAAATGATGCCAGAGTGTAACTCCAGACTATTGGCTAATACACTATCTGTTACAGCACACCCCTTAATGCAGTATAACTGCATGCTGTGTATTACTCATCATAGACATGTACACCAAACACATGTAGCAGGTAAATGAAGCATATTCTGCTGACAAGCCTTAATTAGCACAAGCTGTCATTAGGTTTACATGGTGTATGAGATATGTTTATTCTTCTTACAGCTTCCAGTGCCATCAAAATAACTTCAGGGTTGAGTGATTATAGCTGCCAAATGTTTGTTCCTTCAATGTAATGAATAAATTGATTGTGTTTGAAGTAACAAAATTATTCATAGAAGAATAATGTTTATAGAAGTCCATGACTATTCTAAAACAGAATTCTGAGTTTGACTGCAAAGCGTTTTTTGTATAGCTTCTATACCGTTTTCATGCTTGAAAATGAAAGAAAGAAGTTGATCATCCATAAAGTTTTCTCATCTCCAGACCACCAACTTGTAGAATGCCACTCAAACAAAACAATAAGTTATAGCAGTAGACTGAGAAGGACTTACAGATATTTATACAGTTTAATCTTTTTGTTTTATTTGTCACAGAAATTTAGAAGACCTGCAAGTGTAAAACAAAAGACACCACTGGTCTGACCTTTTGTTAAGAGAAAGAATGTGAAAGATTATGTAAGTCAGAGAAGTGAGTGCATTAATCTACAGGATATAACAAATGCCACAAGCCCATGCATGACACAGACAAGTGGAACCACTGGTTGCACCATCAAGATGCCATCAAGATCTAAAAACAAATATTTAAAGTTGCAGTAAGATCTGTACAATGGGAATAATTCAAGAAGTGGTGGAAAGAAAATTTACACCAAGTTAGTTCACATATTAATCATGGTGCTTCTGGAGGCCATCTTGAAAATGTAATTTTACCTCATTTGTCCAGGGTTAGATACATTTTGTCACAATGCATACTTTAAACAGCAAGGATGCAATATTAAACAAGATGATAATGAGGAATGTTTACCTTGATCATGCAGATGTACAGCTCATGCAGGATAGGTTCTATACTGACAGGTTTAAGAAACTGACTGGCTGACATAAGAACCCACAATACTGCAATAACTGTTATGAATTAATTGTTCCATCAGCAACTTTAATCAATAGTCTCATGCACAAGTCTGGTAAATTCCTGTAAGCTCAGGTACTAAAGGTCCCCATGATAACATTAAATTCTATTGAAAATGACGTTGAGTGTCATAATCAGACGAATAGGCTCAAAATGTTTTGACCAAGGCAGGGATCTTAACATTGTGGTTTGCTGCTGTAATGTTTTAATCTCGGGAACTATTTATTATTATAGGATATTTATATAGCGCACATATCCAGGCAACTAGTGCATGCTCAAGGCGCTGGTATTTTTCCCTCGATCATTGGATGTCAATCTCAATGCCAAATCGTTCACTGCCGCCTCAGGCTCGGATGTAGCGACCTAAACGCCGATAAGTATAACAGACATTTAAAAGACAGCCCTTGTTGTTCTTGTGGACATAAGAGTGAAAACGCCCTACACTATTTCCTCACTTGCCGTAACTATACTCGGATAAGACTTAATATGTATTTTTACACTACCGGTTATAACCTGGATACCATTCTTAAGGGAAACAAAGAACTTACTCCCTGTGTAAACCAGAAAATAGTTGAATCCGTCCACGATTATATAACCAAGACACAACGCTTTAAATTTTCTCAGGAAAATAATTAAATTTACTCAACAACCTTCTCATGATTGATTTATATTTCTACAATGGCTTGTGAGACACACACAACTGTAACTCTCTAACTTATGACTACTTAGAGAATAGTTGTATTTCATGTAATCTGTATATATTTATACATTTTAAAAATATTATATTTATGCAATGGTCAGTATCGATGACGTCAAATCCTCCATTTTCATGTTGTATTATATGTTGCATGGGAGTGGTGTTAATATAAGCAGTAATGCTTGTTCACCAATCCCAATTCATCTTCATGAATAAAAATATGTTTAAATCATCTCAATGGCACATCATATTATCAATCTCAACTCCCTGGGGAGTATGCAAACTACTCAATCTGTAACAGTTTCAACATTAGGGTTGTGACAATTTTAAGAAACAAAAAAGATAATGACTTCATGTTTCATTATGAGACACTGTACGATAAATAATCCAATGGTCTCAAAGATGAACAGAAAAGAATATTTTTCAAAGACAAAAGGTGAGACAAATCAACAACTCCAGATCATAAATGTGCAACCAAAAGTTAAGCATAAAAGACACAACATATTGCACAGACTGAGACACAATACATTCACAATGAACAGGGGGCCACAAAGCAGTCTTAGCATTAACGCTTAGTTTCTGAAAATATGTAATTCTGGAAGAAACAAAATATTGCATTTAAATTGAAAAGGAGCCCCACTAAAGAAGGAGAGTCAGTCAGAACAGGAGGAAAATATAGACTTCATTCGTCTAGGGCTTCTGCATTGCCGAAAGGGTCAGGGTGGTAGTAAACAAAATATGGTCCAGGGACTGTGATACAGACTGCTCCCACATTTCAACACAGACATATGACAGTTGTAGCACTAAATCTGCTTTGTGGAACAGCACCCAGGTTTTTTAACACTTACCTACCAATCATCTGGTGTTCACAAAACAGTTAAAACTCAGATAAACAAGCATTCACATAGAATGTGAGAACTGGGTTTCACCACACAGTAGGAAATATCCTAGCTCCCTAACAGCAGCCGCTAACTGTCATGTGACTGAACCCTGCATGCATGGTCAGTAGTGAGACACAACTACACATGTTCAGTCTGGATACAGCTGTGAGTCAGTTACACTTGTGGTCACCCATCCATCACCCAGCAACCATCACTGAACAGGGGCAAGCTGCCAGATAGTTGCCAATCCTAGTTTCATTCATTTATTCCAAATGTGGTGTGTGTCTGTCAATTCTGGTTTCATATCATGTTCAGATCCAATAGTTGACACAAGCCTATGAAATATACTAGATTGGAAATGGATATTTAACCCATAATGACAGACTGACTTTGACACAAGTGATTTAATTTGTCGGTTTTGTATCCAGTTCTTGTGTATTTTGTTTTAAATGATAAATTGAAATACCTACATCAGTCTAAGGTACTCCCCATGTGGCACTACAGTCAGATATATGTATTTGATCAAGTCTGTATCAGAACATTTCACTAGAAGTCAAGTTAAGAAAAAGTAAATATTAAGGTGAAATCACCCCTAATGACACCCTGGAACACCCAGTTACATATATAAATAGCTGTCTAACCAAATTACACATATGTACAACAGAAAATCTAGTAACCAGTAAGAGATGTAGGGTTAGTAAAATCAGTTATAAAGTAAACAAAAGTGACGACTCCCTTCAGGTAAGCCAGCTATTTAGATCTGTTAAGTAGTGTTCCTGATGCCACAGTGCAGCATGCTGGATGCCATGAAATGCATATCTGGTAAGGAGATGTCAATTTTTGTTATCTTCTATTTGGCTTTTTGTTCTCTTGCGGAGAGTGACAATCAATAAAATATTCAGCCCTAAGCTGGAAGCACACATGGTTATGCATTCTTTGTGAAAATACCAGTCTAATTTACTTACAAGACGTGTACACTGATTAAAAAGTCTTAAACTGGATGCAAAGACAAATTAAACGATACCATGAACTGCTGGAGGAAGTGGATCGTTACTAATCTATCTGCTATCATGCAGCAAATCAAAATATAATTCAGAACTTCTAATTTTCATGACTGAAAAATGAACCTGATGACATGTACCTATATATAAAGAAAAATTCATAACCCTTATGACATAAAACAGCTACACTGTTTGATTCTAGCTGTTTCTTCTTTGCAGTGATATTATATCAATATTTGATCAACAAAATATACATCTACTTTGCATTTCTAAATATTATTTAATATTATCAGATCCATTGTGATATGAAAATATAGTCAACACATAATGATTCATAACAAACATAGGCATGCTATTTCATTATCCTATTCGTGGTCATCAACATTATTGTCATGTGGATATACATTGAAAATATGCAAACAACATTATATTGAAATCTTATCAACCAAATAAATTTTGGATTGACATAAAACTGTTCAAAACAACACTCTTTACCCGGTTACTGGCAACGTCACATAATAAGGTCAAGGTCAAATTCAGGACAAGCCTCGTGTTGATTGGTCAATATGTAGTTTAAGTTGTCAGAATATATCGGAGGTGTGTCATTATAATCCAATCAAATCAAAGTAAGCGGTAAATAGTATGTTCGTGGACTAAAGCATCGTCTGCTTGGTGACTGTCGCTTTGTGGGGACAATGCTGAACTCAAAGCTCAGTTGGTGGTTACTTCTAATAATTGTGCATGGACGTGTCAAAATGGTATTATGAAATAGGTGTGAAATGTGGTTTCAACCGGTTTTACCAAGAACGAAAGGTTACGTGATGTTGTTTTCTTGGAGAAGATCATTCTTGTGTGGGTCGGCGATATACTGCATTCCTTCCTGACACATTTAGACTAAAGATCTGCTCGTTCTGTTCATCAATGGACATAATAAGAATGAAAATATCAGTGAATTAGCGTAAAACTTCCCTGTGTGAAACTAATTCTAGTTCAAAGCAAATACTAATCTAGCCATTACGTATCAGTAACAACATTATGCTATCAAAACAATAACTCACCTCAAAATTAGTTTCTCCGTTCATGGCGCAATTGTTGGCTGGTCAGTTGAATAGCTGGTTGTGTTTGGTTTGATTTCGTGGCGATGGTACGATGTCCTTACGGTTAGGAACACTTCTGCGTAAATATACTGCCACGGCAGACATCAACACATGGGTGGGTGTTTACGTTTTGATTGATGGAAGTGCTCTGTCACGTGACTCATTCATGCCCTCATTTACTCAAATACTAGATACCGCTCAGCTGCTAACAGTACTGATAAGAAGTTTGAGTACTCAACTGAATCTGCATTGCCAGCCAATGTACATCTCGGTACAAAGCTCAACCTTTAAAAGAGATAATCTCTTATGCCATATATATTTAGATATACACTTGATGTGTCAGTTTTGTTTGTCATGGAAAGGTAAACAAAATATACCTGTCAAAAGTGGAGTAGTATATTTCGATAAAAGAAACAAATCTGAATAGAATCTTTAAATTTGGCTTTGAATAGCATATTGCGATAACACGTAAACTACCAAATGTCTTTTTGTGAACGAAACTGACTTCAATAATATATAACCGATCTTTTGTGTTCGTGGGTAAATGGGTATCGATGATTTCGAGTATAAAATTTCTGAAGAGTGTGTAGTCTGAGAATTATAAAGAGAATTGATGTCAGAATCTAAGAAACTCAAGACCACCAACCAAGCCAATAACATATACACAGTTTACTAATAGAGGGGACAAGGGTCTGACGAAATATCTGTCCCAGTGTTGCTGAAAACACGGGCTGGTGGGGCAATGTATTGTCAGCCAAAGTAATAATAATATACCTCAGTAAATGCACTTCCCTACAATGGGCGTTGAATGGTTAACTGGAATACATTGTACACGCCTATTTGTTTATTCCCTAGAGGCCTCTTTAGCCATGTAATGCCTGACTGCCTGTGCTATATGGGATATGCATGTCCTTCAATCAAAATATCGGTTTCTATGTTATTTTGTTGTGTATATTGGTCTGTATTGGTTTATCCCACTGTGCGGGTTCACTGGTCTGCTATGCAGACCCTGAAGTAAATGTATCCAACACAGCCCATGCAAGTGTACGGTATGTGGCAAGTCCTGATTCTTCAGAAAATGGCACATGTATCAGGGCTTCATTTTTGTTATATTTTATTAAGATAGTTTGAATAACGTATTACGAACTATGTTCAGTTTATGTTGTATCTGGTAATACTCATAAGATTTCGATTTTGTACATAAAATAAAGTTGTATCCTTGTCATTATTTACGAAAATCTTTGTTTGTTTGCTCAGAGACTTAGTATATGGTCTCTGGTTTGCTGTTTAACGCCGAACTCAGCAATATTCCAACAATATGGCGGCAAAATTCTTTGGTAGTCCATGCGTGTAAATCGCTGGTTGCTGATTGTGGCAGTTCGAGAGGTCCTGTCAACTTCCTTCGAGTGCTGGTTGTCTAGGGGTGCTCTATTTATGAATAACCGGCATATAACAACAGGGCCGTCATTAATAAGCGTATATCAGACCCTCGCTTATCCATAGTTTCCTTCCAATCGTATCATGGTTCAATACATATACCTGTATATTTGAAATTAATATGACAGTTAAGGGAAAACGTGATGGTACAAAACCACAGACAAATATATAGTTTAGGTACATAATCATTAAAACGTTTGGGTAAGATATAGCTGAAGGTACAAAAATCACCAACTCCCTTGGAGAGATAGTAGCTGGTTGATTATAAGGCATAACGGCCTAATAATATAACGACCCCTTATAGCCACACATTCCGATTAAACTACACACGTATTGTTTGAATAACCCATGGTGTTTTGTTTGTGCATACTTGGAAATTGTTTGACATGGTTAGCGGGGATATCGAAGTCGTTGTTAAAAACCTCTAAAACCTTAAACGAGAACTGTAGGAAATATCAGAGTATCGTTGAATTAAAATTTGTTTATAGAGTTTCCCCTATGAATGGAATACCAAAAGATCTATAACGACCATCCAGAATTCTATGATCTTTCAGCAGACGCCTTGAAATGTGCAAGTTCTTATTAGTTGTTGCGAATATGTGATATATTTACACCAGGAACATGGCGGAAATGCAAGTAGATGGAAAGAATGTTGTCAATATGTGAGAAAAGTTAGTTAAATGGTGTGCATAAAATGTTTGGACCGTTATTTGCATATTATTCGCCTGTGCCATGATTGTTGTACAGGATAACTCACAGACATGTCGTCCAAAGGGCGAAAACTGGCGAAAAATATTGGGAAATCCCTTCGCAAAAAGTTTACCGATTCAGAAGGTCGACCTGACCAGCAACAGGTAACAATCTAATAAAAACTTTGTCTGCAAGTATTTTATGTCTGTGCTATACCTGTAGATTTGTTAGTCATTGTGGTAATTTGTCCTATTATACCGACTGCATCATAACAAGGCAAATAAGAAGAATCGCATACTTGTGGAAGTTTACAAAGTTTCGCAAAGTTTTGTAAACCCGAGAAAGTTTGACATTTCATGAGGATAAACGCTCACACTTCAAACATGTCAAATATTGATAAGAATATTGATAAGAATATGGATATATTTCTGTTATCAGTCTAGTCATTATAATGTTGTGGGTATGCCTGAAGAGGCACACACAGACAGACAAATGTGAACGTTTGGTTTCGATTTCGAGACAGATTTTTTAGATGTCTCTCTTCGTTATTCATCCATCAGAGACAATTTAAGTAGAAATGTGATGTTGTGATCCTACATCAAAATTATTTAAATAGGGAACAGTAATATTATCATTTTTGAACATAGCGAAATATATTGTTAACCATGTTAATGCCAATCTCCAAAGTGTTCTCAATCTTATTGATATGATGGAATGTGACCAGAAATGTCAATCCCATGTCATTTGGTTGGTTGCTTCCTGAAAATATTTAGCCAGAAAATTGAAACTATGTAGCTTTATTTCATGCAGATTAAGATTTGAACAAGTGAAAACAAAGCAAAATGAACTCTCATCAATTAACTTTTGCATAATTCTGTATATCTATTTCAATGAACTCTAAACCCTAATTTATCGAATTATCGCATTTCTATGTACTCTCCTATGGAGGAATAAAAGTGTATACCCTGGTATATATAATATGCACCCTTTGCACTCAGAAACTTGTCAAAGGTGGTTTCTTACTAAAACTATACTTGATGATGTCAGAGATCAAGCAAGAGAGAATAAAAATAGTTAATATGTCTACAAGACTACACCTTTTGAATAGGTTATTAGATAAGGTGATTGACATAATGACAATCAAAAGAGAATTTTCCATTCTGGCAAGTTTGATTAGTCGCTGTACTCGAGTATTGTTGTGTGTTATTTTCTTGTATGATAATTGGTAATAACAGTCTATTAACACTCTGCTTAGTAATTGTTTTGCCTTCACTCACATTCAGTGATTTCGTAAATAGCGACCCATGTCATCACTTGTTTAGTGCAAAGATCAGAAGAATAAAATCTGCAACCTTTGTTTATCCATAAATGAGCATTTGGATATACAGGTTAATTTTCTATAAATGGATCAGTGTTACAGATCGACTTATGATTTCTTCTAATGCTCGATAATGTAATATAAAACCCTCAAAGCGACATTATCTACCTACAATATAGAAATGTCAGCAACCATGACTTTGTTTATGTCAAATTATGGCAGTTGATGTATCTTGTTTTGTGATGACTATGGTTTGTTTCAAGGCACCAGTAATGTTAGTCTGGTCATTGTTGTTCTTGATCCTGCTGAATAGTTCTCGTCCAAACCATTATCAGTCACTCTTGGATTCAGCGATGAATTTTTAAGAATTCCGCTGCAAATTTTAGTAAATTCTGCATCCCATTTTTCAAAATTCTGCAAAAAATTCTGCAGTTAAAACACACAAAATAATGCAATTTCAATCTTCAAAAAGTTATATTTTGTGAACATAATTGCAGTGTCAGATTCAAATAATGTTACTGTAAGGTGCTGAAGAAAATATTACCTTATGAATAAATCATATTTATTCGTGAATATTTTGAAAATATCGTTATAACAAATGTCTCACTTCGTTTTTGTGTAACCAATCATACTTTTGACATTTACCCCTACTTTTCGTTTCGGTTGATAATCAATTTTGATTCAACTTTCAAAATAAGTAAATTTCAGCAGCAGAAACATGGCAAATTCTGCAGGTATTCTGCATGAAAACAAGTTTTCCGCGAACCAGACATTTTTCTGCATCAAAAGGTAATTTCGCGATTTATTCTGCAACCTCGGAATCCAGGAGGGACTGCATTATTCACTATTTACATGATTCAGAATTAAAGGAAGAAAAATGCTGATGTTGAACGATTATGTTTATGAAATGCATTCTGGGATCTTTGTAAAGAGATTTGCTGTTTCTAGTGTTGCCTGCAGTAATGTTTTTGCTTTGGAAGGAAATTAAAAACTTAGTGGCTGTGTATAATTTGCATTCCTTACTTGGAGATGTAACTTAAATAAAACATACTTGTATGTGTAATACACATGAAATACAGTAGTCATGTAAACTTTAGGGCAGAGCTCCAGATAAGATTTAGGTATAAGAGTGGGTATTATGAATGTTGAGTGGGTATTTCATTTTCCATTACCCACTGCTTTCAAATATGTGGGTATTGATTTTACTCACCTAAGTATTATGTCATTGAGTATGTTTACTAAGCAGGTATGTTCTGTCTTATGTCATACCTAATCAAAACCAACTTAAATATAATGGAAATGATTTCATAAAAAATCACTCATCCTGTACTGACAGTACAACACTAGTCCTATACTAACTTACAACTTGATAGCAATCGATGTCTTTTTCATTATGCAAGCGATTTTTATAAATATATTCCGTACGCATTTGTTATAAACTTTTTGCGTATCTAACATTTTCAATGCGTAATTGGTACGCAACAAATATTTTTCAATGCATAATTGGAAATTTTCTATGCATATTTTACCCAGATACGCAGCTTATCTGGGCCTCTGCTTTAGGGCTTATGATCATTGAGTAATAATGTATGAAAATATTCATTATGAATTATTACTACTGCAAGCAATATATATTAGGATTCAGATATAAGAAAATATACATATAGAATATAATTTTACAGTGAACAGTAATAGGTAAGAGAAAGACAACCGTTTAAAGTAATAAAAACTAATTTCTTAGATTCATTTTTAAGTAAGACAAGCTACGTCTACACTGTTTAATGAATTGCCTTAATCTATTTTACAAAGTAAACATGTCATCGCCAATACTACAATAACATTATGCAGATTATGTAGATTAAGGCTCATTAAGATTTATCCCAGTGTAAGCATGTCTATTGTAATACCATAATCATCCAAGCGTACTGTAAATGTGTCAACAAAATTAGTGCCAGTTCAATGAGGATTAGCAGGATTAAGTACTCTCCTCTGTCTGGTCATTTCAGCTATTGTAGGGTATTCTAGAGCACACCCCATTTTGTACCATCATACATTTTAATTTATATTATTTCAGTTTTAAATAAGTAGTTAGGAAATCAAAATGTGAGGAAGCAGGGTTTAGACTCTCCAAAGCAGGTTAGCCCTAGCTTAGAGGGTTGGACCGACTCTTTGTGGCCACCACATTATGTAATTCTTGTATATAAAATTGTAATTAGCTTCTTGTGACTTTGGACTCTTTGCTAAGCTAATTCCCTGCAACAACCAGCACGCCATTAAGAAGGTGTTCCTCCAGAAACCTCATTGGTGCCACACACAAGCGACCATAATAATAGTACAAAAAATTAAGGCACTTGTAAACATTACTTGCTGAGTGATCTGGAAATTAGTTAGTTCATGGTTATTTGAGTGCGCTCAGTGTATTCAGTGTGTTTAGAAGTGAAAAGGGGCAGTGGAGTAGCCAAGTGGTTAAAGCATTCGCTCGTCATGCCGAAGACCTGGGTTCGATTCCCTAAATAGGTACATTGTGTGAAGCCCATTTCTGGTGTCCCCAAATGTGATATTGCTTGAATATTGTTCAATCCGAAAACCATAAACTCATTCATTAAAAGGGAAAGTGTTAATTTGATTTCTTTCTCCCAAACTTGATGAGGAATGTTTCTTGTTGCCCTTGGTTATTGTGCGCCTCCATTGTTTGGATGTGCGATTCCCTCGTGTGTGAGTCACTGCTGTTTACAACTGTGAATCAGGAAGCATGCCTGGGTGTGCATTGGTATGCTTTGACAGTGTAAGGGATGGGTACCTCCCTGTGTGTTGATTACATGACCTACTGTTGTTCACATTGTTTCTCTCCAAAATGGCCCCAGCTCTGTAGACAACAGTGTAGTAGTACTAGTACTGTACCTTTGCAATATCAGGGTTTGACAGGCCTGTTAGTCTGCTAGTTCTGGCACAAGTGAAATTATTCCGTGTATTCCCTCCTGAAGATGGTTATAGTTTACATAAACTACTAGTCCTGAATACACTGAGGACCAGTTGGGTTAAACTCATGCGTTCTGCCTATTTTAGAAACAAATCTGAAGTGAGTCCATGCATTCACATGCAGAAAGTTATCAGAATTTTCTTACAAACCAAGGGGATCATCAGTATTATTATGAAATTGTATTCAGGGGTGGAAAAAACTCTAAAATTGCTAATGTACTCCGGTACAGTGGAACATGTAAAATCACTTGCCCTGATAATATTTCCACTATACTGGCCGATTTTCTTGTTGATTTTTTAAATAAACAACATAATTAACATTGGAAAGTCAACTGGACACCGGTACAGCGTGACATACAAATTTGCTAGTCCGACAGAAATAAAATCTGGACTGGGGCGTCGGGCAATGGGTTATTTCCACCCCTGGTATTTTACAGGCACAATGTCACGCTTTTTCGACAATATTTTGTCCTATATTTTATACATTGGGGGCATATGCTCTCACTTTAGCTTCCTATTGATGCAATATAAGACTTATCCCTTATTACTTGCCTGAAATCGATAATTGAAACTTCGAGGCTAACAGCGTCCAAACAGAAAAACATGCCATATATGGAATGTAAACGATTGCTCCGTACATCGAAAACTGTCGCACGCGGTGTTGTCAGCATTTGCCGAACTGGTTTTAATCACAAGTTGTGCGTAGGCTATTCGTATAGAGTGCTCTGAGGCACATAACTCTATGGGGTTCGCTTGAAATAATATTCGTCCAGTAGAGGGTGCGAGAGTGGATTTAATGTAGCATTGCATTAATTCATTCGAACTTTTTAGTTTAATACTGTAATCTAAATGTGTAATTGTTTTGGGAACAAATTATATGGTAGCTTCCATGAGGGCCGATAGTTACTATTATTGAGTGAAATGCATCATGTATTTTTTTAGAAATGTGGTGTGACATTGTGCCTTTAAGGATCTCAAAGTCTGATGTGAGAATGAGGGTAAACTCCTAATAGATATGCTGGTATATCATGATTCATATATACATTATGAGAATCATGATAATAGCAAATGGATTGTATTTCACTATTCAGTTAATATTTATCAAAATAGCCTTCTCCCACCTGCAAATTGTGATAATGTGACACAGATTTTTTTATTATTTGATCAGCTACAGTTGATTTGTGATGTCATGGCAGATTGTGAGAGTCTTATGAAAAAAAGTGGGTGTTTTTTAAAACTTCTTTGGAAGATGTCAGTTGTTGAGAAATAGATGTTGTAGATTTGTTAACAGGTGTTAATTGTGAAAATATGCACATGTATAATGATTCACTTTATACTTTGCAGGAATCTGTATACACTGGAGGGCTAGAGATTGACCTGGGTGAGGGGCAGGTGGGCGGGGCAGGCCTCCTCCAGCCTACTGCCCCAGGACAACAGAAAGTCTTGAAGAGTACTTCCCTTGGTAGCATTAACAATGAAGATGGTAGTGCTGTGATAGTAGACCAGGATGACATCATAGCTCTTACTACTGATGTTAAAAGCTTCTCTGATGCCTTGGCAAAACTGAAGACTGCATTCACTTCTGGGACAGGTACAGTATTTCACTTTACATTGATGGACCCAGACTGTACCGATAGGAAGCTCCTGAAGGTAGTGTTTAATGTTTAGGAAACATGGTCTGTCAGTGAATCATCCGGTTGCAAATGGTTTAGATCTTTCTGGATTTTTCTCTTTTTATGTGAAACAGATGGATTAAAAAATGAAAAAAGAAAAAAATGGAAAACTGTTTCAAGCAGTGTCAAACCCAACTCACTCCCTCTGTTGTAGAAACAGCTGATGAGGCCCATGTGCTGGCACATGAGCGTCTTGGGGAGGTCATTTGTATCCTGAAGAATGTCCTCAATCGGTATCCAGCTCTCCACTCCACTGATCTCTTCTCATCAGCGGGAACACTCATTGGGAAAATAAAAGGTAGGTATTGTCAAATGGACTTATTTATGGATGTCATTGCCAGATGGCGCCAGTGCAGAAGGGAGATTACCTGAATGTTCTGAAGGTTGAAGTTCCTGAAGGTTCCATAACATTCATATCACCCCCAGTGGGACTCCAGGGTGGGTCTCCGGGAAACCCATATCGATCAGAAATTTGTTGTTTTTAAATGACATATTTAGCATTTAGCAAATTATTTTTCCCATAGATCACAATTATGAGAGAGGACGGCAGTGGACGGAACCACTATATGATAAATAGTTCTGTATTGTTAACCTGCTACAATTTGAGCAGTAATTCACATCTTTGAGAGTGAAGGCGACCACTATCTGATAAATAGTTTGTGTGTGTATTGTTAACCTTCTACAATTTGAGCAGTAATTCACATCTATGGGAGTGGAGGCGACCACTATCTAATACATAGTTTGTGTGTGTGTTGTTAACCTGCTACAATTTGAGCAGTAATTCACATCTATGGGATGGAGGCGACCACTATCTGATACATAGTTTGTGTGTGTGTTGTTAACCTGCTACAATTTGTCCTTTAGGTCACAACTACGAGAGTGGACGTGACCCTGATGTGATACAGGGTTTCTGCGATGCCATTGATCAGCTTGCTCTAGCCTTCAGCAGCAGGTAGGGAACAGAACAGAGAATAACTCGGAAAAATAGTCAATGGTTAACATGAATACTTGGAAGTCCATCCACTGGTTCTTCATCAACTGGATGTATAGCAAAGGCAAAATGGCCCCTACACATGCTACAATTTGCAAAGCTGTCCTCATAAAGTTTTACCTAGCTTTGCAAACTGTCAGTAAGTATTGGATGTTTTAATGATACAACCTGTGTGTTATGAACATGTTGATGTTTTCCTGTGACACGCCCCCCTGTTTACTCTGCAGTGTGTCGGAGTACCTGATGGGTGGTGGTGAACCAGAGCTGTCTGTGGATGCCAGAACAAAGGTAAGAGATGGTTCTTCATTAAGGGTAGCACATTCAATCAATTACACGATCGTCAAGCCGAAGGCCCGGGTTCGATTCCCCACATGGGGACAATTTGTGAAGCCCATTTGTGGTGTCCCCCGCCGTGATATTGCTGGAATATTGCTAAAAATGGCGTAAAACCATACTCAGTCAGTCAATAACCCGAAATGATGTATTTGTTAGGTTGATTATATGATGATTTTTACTGTTACTCATGTCGATATAGTTCCCAAGTTATTTCTCTGTTGTGATTAAGAAGTAGAAAAGATTCTGTGTGTCCCATGCTTCTTTTGAGACACATCCTTGTAGGTGTGCCAGGTTAGAAAAGGTGTGCAGCAACTGTACTGGTCATAAGGTTCCATTTAATGGTCAGACTCAGTGACTTGGCTGATTGCCCCTCTTTGTACCTCCATGGCATAGGACATAGTTCACAATATCAAGACTAATTTAGAACTGTGAAGATCCAGGTTAGAATTGATCTTCTGCAACCCATGCTTGTCGTAAAAGGCAATTAATGGGATCAGGAGGTCAGGCTTGCTGACTTGGTTGACACATGTTGTATCCCAGTTGTGTAGATCGATGCTCATGCTGTTGATCACTGGATTGTCTGGTCCCAACTCGATTGTTTACAGACCACTGCCATATATCTGGAATATTGCTGAGTGCGGCGTTAAACAACCAGCCAACCAACCAATTTGTCTGTTCAGGATTCCATTACTTGCTGGCCACTGTCCTACAGCTGAAATATTACTATGTGGTGTTAGGCAACGAACATATGATAAGAATCGGAAGGTTACAGCTGTTAATTGCGTGTCATGGTGATGGTGATGTGGATTTTCAAGGATTTATGTAGATTTGCTGAAAAGTTTATCACTTTCGGCTTGATTCCACATCGAAATGTTGCTTGATGCAATGAACAATCAGTTGTTATCCATATAGTTGTATGCTTTATTATTGACTCACCAGCTTCTGACCCGTGAAGGTCCGGGTTAGATTAAACCTTCAGTAACCCATGCTTGTCGTAAGAGGCGACTAACAGGACTGGGTGGCTTGGTTGACACGTCATCAGTTCCCAAATGCGCAGGTTGATGCTCATGCTGTTGATCACTGGATTGTCTGGTCCAGACTCGATTATTTACAGACCGCCAGCATATAGCTGGAATATTGCTGAGTGCGGCGTAAAATTTAACAAATCACTCACTCACTGACTCACTCACTCACCAGCTTCTGGAATGATTCACTGATATCTGTGATTCTTGAATTGTCGGAATGTGACGTTGTACTATGCTACATATAGAGTGGGAGTTGTTAGAGGTATCTCTCATGACAGCAGAGGTAGCATAGTGCCTCTTCCAAGCTTTGTCAGTCCATATTGTGATACATATATCGCAAGATAGCAGGTGGTATTCTCCAGGTATGTGTGTATATGAGGTATGGTTGAATAATTGACTTCAATCTTCATGTTATCTGGCTATTTTTCTTCAGTCCTATGATAACCTAACTACCCTGGGGAGAGAAAATCGTTATGGATCATCAACACTCAATGGTAAATCATCTGGTAAGTTCATTGTCAGCTGTCTTGTTATTAGGTATATTTGTGGAATACAGACAGCCCTGGATATTGAGGTGTTTTGTATGATATTTTGGAAGATATGTCAAACACTACAGTCTTCCCACAACACTGGAAAAACATGTTAGTACAAATATTGAAAGCCAATTTCAAATTGGGTTTACTTTGAGTTAATAAAATTCATAATTATTCTGTGATGTTATTTTAAAACTACTCATTTAAAACAAAATTCAAAACAAAATTTGCATAATAAAAATTGAGAAGATTATGATGTGCTTCAGCCAACCTTCAAAAGATCTTGAGTTTCAATGTGTTTTAGTTAGACCTGCCATGTTGTCGTGTTGATAGGCCAGTTATCTGCAAGGGAGATTGATTCATCCCTTGTCCGCCTTGAAGCTGGCCTTGACCTTGCACTACAGAGAGCCAAGGCATGGTCAAAGTATGCCCGTGACATCATGACGTACATCGAGAAGAAAGCCCAGCTAGGTGAGGTGACACCCATACTCTAGTCTGGCTGTTTGATACTTGACCGTGATATACCAAAAGATAGTTTCTTGTTCACCTGGCCTGTGCTTGGCAATAATAACATGAAACAAGGACTAGCTGGCTCAGAGTCTCATACACTCACACAGAGACAAATATGCACATCACAATATTAGTGTAATTACTGCTTCAGCTTCTTCAGATTGGTCCCAGCTTCGGACCCAGACCCAGACCCAGCTTCAGCCCCAACTCTAATCTCAGGCCCAGACCCTGACCCAGATCCAGATCCAGACCCTGACCCAGACCCAGACCCAGACCCAGACCCAGACCCAGACCCAGACCCAGACCCTGACCAAGACCCAGACCCAGACCCTGACCCTGACCCTGACCCTGACCCTGACCCAGACCCAGCTTCAGCCCCAACTCTAATCTCAGGCCCAGACCCTGACCCAGACCCTGACCCTGACCCAGACCCTGACCCAGACCCTGACCCAGACCCTGACCCTGACCCTGACCCAGACCCAGACCCAGACCCAGACCCAGACCCAGACCCAGACCCAGACCCAGACCCAGACCCTGACCCAGACCCAGACCCAGACCCAGCTTCAGCCCCAACTCTAATCTCAGACCCAGTCCCAGACCCAGACCCAGCTTCAGCCCCAGACCCAACTCTAATCTCAGACCCAGACCCAGATCCAGCTTCAGCCCCATTTTCTGTGCTTATGTTCCATATGATAAAACAACTGTCCATTGTTTTTTGGCCAGTAGTTAGTGGAAGTAATAAGATGATCCAAACAATGTTCCTGTGGCATGTCTCTGAAGAAGTGACCATTTCATTAAATTCAGTCCCTTGACCTCAACCATGGCGGTAGCAACATGAGTTTCTTCGATTTTGACGAGACAATGATTGAACTGAAAAAGTTTCATATAACGGATAAAGATTATGTCAGTAGTGTACTGCTGTGTTTGTTTCAGAATGTGAATATTCAAAGAACTTGTCTCGGTTAGCACAAACCATGCGGCCAGTTTTAACAGATGAGGTATGTGGATGTTTATCTTGTCTTCCTGATACCAAAACATTTAACAAAAGTTTATCTTATGATTTGATTGTTTGTAGACATTAATTCTTTTCACAGAGATCGTCCTTAAGGTACATACTGTAAAACATTCGCTAATCCGACAATCAACAACAGCCGGTCGGATGATCCTCGACCGTATACAAACATCACACATGAAAGGTGATTAGCTGCGCCTTACTGGCTGCTTAACACCAACGCCAGTGAACATCACACTTGTTAATTAGGAACACAGGATAATTAATTGAGGCGATTTAATCAAGAAATAACAGTAGAGCGAGCTGTATAAAATGTTTACAACCGACATGAGTTTTCATCACAAGATGTCTGTCACGCAGTACACCAGCTGCTAAGCGACCCCTTGTAGAAGTCCACGCATTGATCAAGAAAGAAATCTCCTTTTGAAGAAAGACAAACCCCAGACAGCACAACAAGAAGTCATCACTTTTGCTGAGCAGAAGTTTGATGTGAAGATTGGACGATCAACCGTGATCTGACATCCTGAAGCAGTCTGCTTAGTGGTTGAGCGTCTCTCACGACTGATTCCAATGCTTCAAGCTATCTGAGGCCAAACATCGTTCATATATGCATTTTCTGCGGCTGAAAATGTCATGTGACAGTTGAATCAATGTTTTAATAAAAATATTGTACAATAAATAAAAGCCTTTTTTGTTTATTATATGGCCCCCACCATGTGGAGTTACCTCCCGGCCACGCATGCGTGGCCAACCAGGTAAGCACCCAGGCCCATATCATCATTCCTTCTGCTGTCACGCATTGTGTTCATACGTGCTTTGACTGTGCTGACCAATTCTTCAACTACTGTATGTCTGGTCTTTATTCGTTCTTTAGAACGCTCTTTTGACTTTGCTGTTAGTTATTTCTCATTTATGTGACTTTTGTAATAAACTTTTACGCTCGCTTTCCCATGGTTTACGTATGTGTTGCTATTCCATGGCAGGAAGTTTAGCGTGCCACATGGTTGAAATATTGCTTTATACACTATTTGATTTACCCAAACTCGTGGAGTGTTACCAGCTGAGCGATGAGTCCCTCTTCCAGGTGGTGGACGAATATGTTTTCACTTTGGTCGCCCTCGTGGGAGGTTCGGCTTCCTTGGGTTCAGCTCCGGCTGCCAAACAAGGGCGTTTAGTTCCTCCGTTTGCTCAGTCGGGCGCCCAGCTGCTGCAAGCTTACCGAACCTACGAGAAGGTTTATCGGAATGCTGTGCAGCAGATCAGGGTGGTGGTCCATGGGGCGTATCTCTCCTCGATTCAGAGGTCAGCCCTGGAGGCGGAGGGAGGCACGGGTGATGTATCACCTCATGTTGTCTTGCTTTGTCAGCTCACTGAAGTGCAGGTCCACCTGACCAAAGACTCGTTACGGTCGCTGCGTCGACGGTGATGTGCGCAGTTATGGGGATGCGCAAGCTGTGGATGTCGACCTCTCGTTACTCGGCAGCGACCCAGCAAACCTTGCTGGCCCTTCTGTTTAGGCTGGGTGCGACGTTTCAGGGGGTCCAGTAGGTTATACGGGAGGCTGCTGCGGCAGCTACTTCTTTCAAGGATTCAAAGGCCTTGTTAGAACAACCACGGGTTTCTTGCCCCCGCGCTCCAGTGGCGAGCACTTGCTCCGGGGCGCAGCCTACGCCCAACTCGGCGAGTTGGCTTCGGCCGCTTGGCAGGGGATGGAGGAGGAGCTGCCCCGCCAAAAGTAGGAGTAAGGAGCAGACCTCTTTGTCTGGCTCCCAGCAGCCTTTTCGCAGTTGGAAGGGGTCTGCCCCGACCCCATGTTAGACTTGCGGGCTGCTCCAGCGGGTACGTCCCAGCCAGTTCAACTGCAGGGGACTACTCATGCTCTCTCACCACATATCCCACATCTCCTTACAGAGTGGGAGAAGGCTACACACAACTCTTGGGTGCTGTCCACCATACGTGTCGGCCATTTACCGTTGTGGAAGCGAGGCTCGCCAGAGTTCACTGGTGAAAGGCGCACTCCGGTGCCGTCATGTCTGGTCAAGGCGGGTATACTGCGTAACGAAGTTCAGGCTTTGCTGGACAAGTCCGCAATAGAGCGCATACCACCGGGAGAGGGACAGGTTGGGTTTTATTCCACGTACTTCCTCGTACCAAAGAAAGACGGCGGGTTCCGTCCCATTCTCAACCTCACAGGGTTGAATCGCATAATAATCTCTCGGTGGTCTCCTCTGTAGAGCCCGGCGATTGGCTAACATAGATTGTTCTAAAGGATGCGTATCTTCATGTGCCTATTCATCCCACATTCAAGCAGTACCTCAGGTTCTCTAACGACGGGATGTGTTATCAATTCAGGGTGCTCCCCTTCGGCATATCTATTTCCCCCCAGGGTGTTCACCAAGCTGATGTTAGTGCCGGCTACTCTTGGAACGACTGGTTGTTCAGCGCACTAACTCAGCCAGCGAGTCTAAATTCTACTCACACGGTGATAGACATTCTAGTTCAACTGGGGTGGATCATAAACCTGAAGAAATCCGACCTGGTACCCACCCAGGACTTGGTTTTTCTTGGGGCGCGTTTCACAACTCAACAAGGTCTTGTGTCTCTGTCGCCCGACCCGATCACCAGAGTACGGGAGATGGTGTCTTCGTTCCTCTCACAGGCCCAGACCCTGGCGCTGACTTGGCTTCGGCTGCGGCGGCGACCTTCTCTGTCGTGTAGAGGGCGTGGTTGAGGATGCGCCCTATACAGCAAGCTTTGGCTAGTCTGTGGGCTCACTCAGAGGATCTGGAGAAGTGTCTCACAGTTCCCGGGTGGTTGTCTCCTCACCTTCAGTGGGTTCCCTTTGGACATTCTGATGCCAGTTCTTACAGTTCAAACGGATGCATCCTTCTCTCGGCTGGGTGTGTGTTTTGGACAGCATGTCGGTGTTTTGACGCTGGTCCGAAGCCGAGGCCCGTCTTCACATCAACGTGTTGGAACTGAGAGCTGTGCGGTTGGTTGTGCCAGGTTGTTCGTCTTCAGTTTGACAACCACACAGCCATGACGTACATCCTGAAGCAAGGCAGCACGGTGTCCCCAGCGCTCCTTCTCCTTCGGTAGGCGTGGGAATTTCTCTCTGGTGCGACCAGTGCGACTGTCAGGTGATTCTTGATCTCCCAGGGCTAGAGAACGTGCATGCAGACGCGCTCTCTCACCGGATCCTGGCCCCGCACGAGTGGATGCTCAATTGGCAGATATTCGGACTTATCTCCCAGTTGTATATATCGTTCCAGGTGGATTTGTTTGCGTCCGGCAGGACGAATCAGATACCAGTGTTCTGCTCTCGAATATTGGACCAGAGGGCGTTGGCTTCAAAGGCCTTCCTGCTGGATTGGACAGGCAAGGTACTGTGGGCGTTTCTACCTCTCATTCCCGGGTCTTCTCCCAGCTGTCCACTCAGCCAGCTCAGCTACTTGTGCTTCTGGAACCACTTTGGCCATCACAGAGCTGGTTTTCGTTAATTCTCAGGTTTCTGGCTCAGCCTCCTGTTCTATTACCCTTACAACCGGACATTCTCACTCAGAACGGCGTGCCACACCCCAATCCACGGATTCAGTGGGTGGCTTGGCCTCTGTCAGGTCTAGCCTCGAGGCATGCGGAATTCTTGCAGCAGTTGCAGACACAATTCTGGCTTCGAGGCGGGATTTGACAAATGTTCAGTACGAGGATAGGTGGTCCTGCCTATGCGCACTGGTGTTCAGATAGGGGAATTGCAGATCCCTTTTCTGCGGATTTAGTTTTGGAGTTTCTGCAGTCTTGTTTGGAAGAAGGTTTGACAGCTTCGACCATTCGTGGCTACTCCACCCCTATTTCCACCTTTCACACCCTGTCGATGGTGTTATTCTGGGGCAGCACCCTCTTATGCAGCGCTTCCTAGCTGGCGTGGATCGGGTTCGACCTGCTCTCAGGCGTACCAGCCCACCTTGGGATTTGTCAATTGTGCTAGATTGCCTGTCCTGTCCTACTTTCTCACATCTATCGGCTATTTCCATTCAGCTGTGAACATGGAAGGCCGTCGGTGATTTACATGCCATGTCTGCAGACCCGGCACTGACTGTGTTCCATCCAGATCACGTCAGTATTCGCCTCCCAGATAGTTACCGTCCGAAGATCGATCACGCTTACCATGTGACAGCTCCTATCGAACTTCCTACTCTTACCCAGCCTTCCACATCGGGGACCTCTGCAACAAGCACTCACCCGTTAGATGTCCGTAAGACCCTGAGGTCTTTATCAAACAAACACAAGGGATCCGTACGGGATCCGTACGGGTACCCATCTGTTCTGTTGTTACAGTGGCGGGAAGGTTGGAACTCCTGCCAGCAAACAGACACTTTCTTGCTGGCTTGTGTAGGTCATTTGTGCTGCTTATCAGGCGAAGGGCAAGCCTCCCCCTGATGGGTTGAAGGCTCACTCGGTCAGGGCAGTGGCCACTTCAAAGGCTTTAGCAGTGGCACTGCCTGTTGAAGAGATTTGCTCCGCCGCTATTTGGAGCCAGCCTAGCACTTTTATACGGCACTATCAGCTCGATACACATTCCCGTGATCAAGCACGCTTTGCCTGATCTGTTCTCTCCAGTGGACAGTGTCCTGCCACCCTGACCAAGTGAGTCTTGGTTATTGGTTTTATGATGCTGAGATAAATTTTTGTGTTAATTGAAATATCCGCTGTTGAATTCTAAGACAACTTTCAATTTCTCTGATGAGTTATTCAGTTGTGAGTTGTGGTTTCCCCCTTATGGTGCTCTCTAGAGCTTTCACTAAGTGGGTGGGGTTTTCATTACACACTATGTAATGTGTTTTATTGCTTAACATGTTGAGGTCGGTCCTCAGTACATTTCCTCCCTGTGGGGTCACCTCCCATAATGCCTCTCGCAGAAGCTTCGGGACATGTGACAGGTGAGTGTTATGGCCTAAGTAACTTTTCTGTTTACGTGATCACTATTTATTTGTACTGTGACAGAATTCCCTCCTCCCTAGCCTCCAGTCGTAGAGGTTTCCCATTCTTTGAAGAGAATCGTCCTTGGGGTAGGGCCACCCACCTCCCCGCAATTCTGTTCACTGATTTGATCAGCAGAAGGAATGATGATATGGGCAACTCCACGTGATGGGGGTCTTATAATAAATAAAAAAGGCTTGTATTTATTGTACAATATTTTTATTAAAACATTGATACAACTGTCACATGACATTTTCAGCCGCAGAAAATGCATATGTGTACCCCAAGGATGATTCTCTTTAAAGAATCGGAAACCTCTACAGGTCAATATTATTGATGATGTAATCACTGATTGTATCATCAGACTCAACCCAATGAAGGTGTGTTTACAGAACAGATTATGATAGATCTTTTTTTGAGGATCATATTCATGTTAACAGAGACATAGTAGCTCTGATTATGTTTCATGCTTAGTCAGCACCGTACCTTTTCCCAATGGTTTTACCTGAGGCCTGGTGTGGTGGGGTAGCCTAGTGGTTAAAGTGTTGGCTCGTCACGCCAAAGACCTGGGTTCGATTCCCTACATGGGTACAATGTGTCAAGCCCATTTCTGGTGTCCCTTGCCGTGATATTGCTGGAATATTGCTAGAAGCGGCGTAAAACCATACTCACTCACTCACTCACTCACTTAACTGAGACCTGCATCTTCAGCTTCCCTAGCTTTGCTTTAGTTAAATACTGTTCAAAGTAGTGTTGAACTCAGTATAGCAATTGTCAACAACCTTGCCTGTTCTAAAATGTGTCTGAATATCTTTGTTACATATGAATTACTTTTGAAAGCAGTATCAAGCAGAAAGTTGAAACCATATTCACTGATGGAATGTTTCCAATTTTCAGGGTTTCCTTCCTCTACAGTCAGTCTACTGCACAGTTCTAGCACAGGTATGTCAACAATAGTCCATCTGTAACATACAGAGGAAGTGCCCGCACAAATATATCATATTACATGTGACCACTTTCTGAAGGCATTATGTATTGATATATCATCACCCGAGATATAACTTAAATACTGCTCAACAGCATTCACTTACTCTCTCTCAAAGACCTTAGTTTAGTATTGCATATTGAATATTGTAGATACCACCACCAAGTTCTGTCCAGCAGAAGGACCTGTTTTACATACTTTGAACCGCTAATGTTCTTTGTTACCCTCCATTTTAATAATGAGAATATTTATAACGCGCCTTTTCCAGGCTAGATATCCTGCTCAAAGCTCACAATCTGATCATTATTACCCCGGATAACCCAAGCTGCCTGTTAAGCACTAGAAGGTTATACTCTCACAACTTATTTTACCGGGTACCCATTTTCATTATGAGAAAACTTAAGCTTCATCATTTATCCCTTTGTGATTTATTCCCTTCTTTCTTTTGTGTTGCTAGGACATTGAATTTGCCAGCAACTGCCAGGCCACGCAAGCTCTTCTGCAGACAAGCAAGTTTATTGAGGTATGGTTGATTAATTTGTGGGATACCGATCAAACTTGCTCCTATAAAAGTACCTTTCACACAATGAGGGTTTCTTGAAAATGTTACTCTTTGATTCTTTTTCAGAAGAAGTCCTCCTTGGGGTACATATAAGCATTTAAATGTCCATTTTAAATCCTACGACAGTTGTAACTATATATTTTTATAAAATATTTACAAAACAAAAAACTCGTTTTTGTCTTGTGAGACCACCCCTACAGGGCCCCACCGGACCCCCTACAGCCAAGAGCAGGTAACTCTTGCCGTCTACCTCGTACCTCACTTTTCATGCTGTCGTTCGGTTGAATAGACGTGCGTGGTGTTCGTTCGAGTTTGCTCTCCTACCGATATGATGAGTGTAAAAGAGTCTCAATCTGTATGTATGGTTCCTTTCTCTACATACGACGGGCGTTAGATGGACGTCATATGTTGATATTCTCATTCATCTTTTGTTGTAACTTTGCTGTGGGTTCTCTGTTTTCCAGCCATGTGGCAGGCAAAATGGCGGACCGCGGATCGTGGTTTCCTTGCTATATGTTCTTGGTAGCTTGTAGTAGGGAGTTCATATATTATGTTCAGATATTATATGGGTATTTGCCTAAATTCTCTTTCTTTTCAGCCGAATTTGTGGTAAGTCGTCGTTGAGTAATTTTGATAGTGTTCGTTTTCATTATCACTCAACTTTACTCTATCACTAGTATGTACACGCAGGTGTGGCTAGCCTTTTTTCTGCTTTGCATTGTATGTTTAGTATTTAAATGGCTGTAGCTTGTAGCATTTAAATATCGCCCGTGCGGGTTATTCTTGCTATTTACTTGTGTTTATGTGTTTGCTGCTTCACAGTTCCTGCTAGTAACACTGGCGTGGTTCTGTTTGTTGCAGTTTAAGCCCTGTGCGTTGTGCCGTGCACACTACCGCCACAGGATGGTCATAAAGTGTGCCTCCGTGTTTCACCCTGTCTTCGCCTGGTGCCCTGACTGGCGGTCGCCTTTGGCTGAATTCCTGCAACCGTTGCAGACACAACTCTGGCTTCGTGGCGGGATTCGACACCCGTTCAGTGTGTTGATAGGTGGGGCGCGCTGGTGTGCAGATAGGGGGATTTCATAATCCCTATTCTGCGGATTTAGTTCGGATATTGGAGTTACTATAACCTCGTTTTGGTTGAGAGCCTTATGACCTCCACCATTGCCGGGTACTCCATGGCTATTTCCACGTTTCACACCTCGCTCGATGGTGCTCTGCCTAGGCAGCATCCCTCAGACATCGCTTCAGCATCCTCATTACTCCAGCCCACCTTAAAATTGCCACTTATTCTCAATTGGCTGTCTGGCCTGATTTTTCAAGTATATCGTCTCTCTCACTTCACTTGTAAAATGACGTGGAAGACGACTTTACTTGTTGTGGTGAGCTCTGGTAGAAGGGTCGGGTACATCCATGCGATTCCCACTGACCTGACACTGACAGTATTTTATACTGATCATGTCCGTATTCGCCCCGGATACCTACCACTCTCAGTGCGATATTGCTTTCCACGTGACTACTCATATCGCACTTCACCCTTACCCAGCCTTCCACGGGGACCAATCTTTCGATTGCTCACCCGAGACTGTCATTTAACTTAATCGAACAAAAGGGATCCCTCACGGATACCCATGTGTTCTGTTTGGTGGCGGAAGACTGGGGAGTCTGCTAGCAAGTGCACTTTATCTCGTTGGCTTGTTTCCGCGTAATTGTTCGGGTTACAATGATAAGGTTTACCTCCCGAGGGGTTGAAGGCAGACTGGGTAGGGCAGATGCCGCTTTGTTGGCAATACACAGCCGCACTGCTCAATGAAGAGATCGGTTCTGTCGCTCTTTGGAGCTGGCAGAACACCTTCGTCGCCATTACCAACTTGACACGCATTCTAAGGATCGTGCTCGGTTTGATCTTCGGTTCTCTCCAGTGGAGAGTGTCCTGCCACCCTGGCCAAGTTAGTAACTGGGGTCATTGGTATCGGGTTCTGTGTTCAATGTCGATATATTTCATATCACTACATCGTATTAGCCTTACCATCCTTCGGGTTGGGTCGGGTTTGGGTGTACATATCGCCCCTTTACGCCCCTCTTCAAGAGGCGGGGTCCATTTTGAACGCTTTAACCAGTCATATGCTATTAACCCGTCTTGCGACGGAATTGGGTACGAACCCCCCACGGGGCACTGTTTGGTATGCCTCTCTTCGAGCCGCATGTCACGTGACCAGGTTAGTGTAATGGTGAGCCAACACATGTTCGGCTACGCTTTTCGCTATTCAGGTGATTTTTGTAGGCTTACAGTTTTTTCCCTCTTCCCAAGACTTCGGTACTTGGGAGTCTGTGATAATCAGCTTTGTGGGATGGTGGTCTACACTTATCCTCCTCACGCCGAGAGTGTTTGGTGGGGGTGTTTTATCCTGTTTTTCACTCGTACAATGCATGGCGTTTGTACTCGTTCGATTTCCTCAGAAAGATTTTAGCGAGGCTAATAATTTCTCTGGGTTTTATCGAGGTCCCGGCAAGCCCTCTTCCAAACAGGAGGGGTGCATTCGAGCAATAGTTTGCAGTACTTATTAGCTCGACTCCTGGGTTATTGGCTTTTTAGCATTTAAATTTTTACGCTTTCCCTACCCTTATACCTCTCGCCACGCTTCTCTGGCTGGGGCTGTATTAGGGTTGGGAGTTGCTTCGGCATGTCCCCATACATTCCTTTCCATTGTAATGGTTGGGGGTGGGGTTTTATGTCATAATTGATTTGAGCCAATTGACATATAAGCTTGGGCTCTCTAGTTCACGCCCCCGTCTGATTGACATCAGCGGTCAGGTGGGTGGCTCGGTAGGTGTTTTTATTTCCGTGATCGGTTGTAGATTTCACTCCACCACGGTTTTAGTTGTTGCCAGACAGAATGCCACCTCCGTCTCAAATATGTTTGGGAGTCTGTCATATGCTTATATGTACCCCAAGGAGGACTTCTTCTGAAAAGAATTATACAAACCTGTAGAGGTTAGGAATTCTTTGAAGAAAGTCCTCCGGGAGAGTCATGACCCTCCATACTCCCCTCATTCTGTCTGACCGTTCAGCATGAAAAGTGAGGGTACGAGGGTAGGCGAGAGTTACCTGCTCTTGGCTGTAGGGGGTTCGGTGGGGCCCTGTAGGGGTAGTCTCACAAGACAAAAACGAGTTTTTTGTTTTGTAAATATTTTATTAAAAAATATAGTTACAACTGTCGTATGATTTAAAATGGACATTTAAATGCTTATATGTACCCCAAGGAGGACTTTCTTCAAAGAATTCATAACCTCTACAAGTTTGTATAAATTTATTCTAACAGAGTTATGCCCCTAAGCAAATGCTGACATCTGCTGATCATTGGATTGAATCAGTTTTGTATCAGATGATCCTTGATGCCCATCTGGATTCCGCTTAGAATTTTTCCCTGACGCTCTGGGGCGTAAAATCATTTTCACTCACTCATTCATTGTTTGACCAGCAAAACTTTTCTATTCCTTGAACAGCCTCTTGCAGCTCGGAAGGCTGAGCATGACAAAGTGAGAAAGTCTGTCAAAGAAATCTGGGTCAGAGAGGTCAAGAAAATGGTGAGTGGCTTGTTGGCTCATCATATTACTATCATACAAGGATAGTCCCCTGTGAAGATCTGGGTTAGAAATTGCCTTCAGCATTCCCCTGCTTCAGGTGGTCCAGCTTAGTCAGTCACTGGACTGTCTGGCCCAGACTCACTGTCATAGTTGGAATACTGCTGTGTAACCGAAGTTAAACAACAAACAAAACAAACCCAAATCAGTAAAAGAACAAATTACATAACAGTTTTAGAAGAGGGCCTTACTCCTACTATGCTCACTATAACATTTATAAGTATTGATGACAATAGGGGAGTAGTTATTATCTCCAGACAAGTTGCATTACCTCCAGGCTATATTGAACGTTTTCTTAATGCAGGAAGAATGGAAAATTCCACACCCATGATATATTAATGGGGTAATTGCAAGATGTAGCGCTTGTTGATATTATCTTTAACTGTTTAATCTTTGCTGGGATGACTGGTAAGTAGTGCAAGATTCCTTGTAAACTGAGCCTCTTTGTTTTGTGCATGAAAAGATAATACTTTACTGTTAGCAATTACATAGAATTAGTCTCCAGTGCCTCATCTTTATCATACATGTCTTAGTGGAGTGTCCCTGTTAAAATGTACAATCAGTGTGGGCAAGTACAAAAGTCATTTTGTGCTGTTTTCTTACAATGCTATATTTTGTGACTGAAGGATTAAGACAGTCCATTAAGTAGAAGGCACTGTAGTGTTATGTCCCTTTTTGCTGCCAGGATGTTATGTCCAGAATAAATTTTTGAAAAAAGGAATATTTCTTCACAAAAAAATGGCACATGGATGGGTCTACTGGTAAATTTTTGCCTTTTGATAATTTTGTATTTAAAAAAAAAATTTTGAGCTTGCCCCTCACACTGTCGTGTGACATGGCTGGAATATTGGGGCCTAAACAATAAAATGAACCCAAACAAACAATGGCCAGAGTAGTAAACATGTAAAACCTTTCTGTTTGCTTAGCATTCTTGTTTTCCTTTTCATGTGTAAAAACCTGTGTCATTTTCAGATTTCCTCCCACCTAAGTTATAACAGTTATAAAAACTAAAATGGATAGAATTATCATTAAAATGTCTGCATGTTATCAGAAATGAGCAGGCCACTGTAACTTGATAATGCCCCCAAATTGCTTGACGACGGGCCATTATCATGCCAGTTGTTGGGTGATGTCATAAGGAGCTAAGCTCTTTTATGTTCAATCACCTACGGCTCGTTTGAACTTGGGTTCAATATTGACGATATTTCTGACTGACATTCATCACATGTACCTGTGCCATTATGTACTTTCTTGCCGGTACCAACCTTAACCATTGTACCATAAATTACAACATGCAGCAATGAAAACATCGACTGGAACTCTAACATTGTTGAGCACTGAAAAAAATGGCGGCTGGTAGTATTGGGAAAGGTCAGGATTGAATGTCGTCACTCTCAAAACTGATTCCATTTGATTTGATTTTATAAAATATTCTATCCATTTTAGCTATAATAACGGTAACACTATTTTTCATGGCATTATCATTTTCAGAAGCCCTCGGTCATTTCAACTGCCCTCCTTTATCGGGCAGTTAATGACTGACCTTGGACTTCTGCAAATGATAATGCCCTACAATAGTGTTACCCTATAATAACAATACTTTAAGCCCTTGCCATGGTCATCATTGTTCCCTACTGTTGTATTCCAGCAAGATGCTGTGACAGGTCATTTAGGGCCCAGCATATGTACATAGCACGTCCAGCAAGACTATGGAGAAGGCTCATGAACAGGCACAGAAAACAGAGCTCGGACAAACCACGACCAAAAGCGGAAGAAGCTGGAAGAGGATGCCATGCATAAAGTTGGTCTCCAGGCTTGTTTTGTCTCACCATCTTAGTTATATTCTGCACCAGCCAACAACAGTTATATATTTGAGTAATTGTCACATGGATGGTGTTTTTATTGTCCATTAGCCAAGTCACTAACTTTTGAGTCAACCTTTGTGACCCTTGCATTTCTTTCCTGCATGTAGGCTGCTGAGGCTGAGACATAACGTGCCAAGCAGCAATGTAGTGGAAACTAACCATCGACAACAAGAGCTTGACAAAATCAAGGTAGGTAACTTGCATCATCCCATCCTGCCAGCCACTGCTGAAAAGTGTCAAATTGACATAAGTTCATTGGTTCATCATCGACTGATTTCTAACAGAGTTATGCCCCTTAGCAAATGCTGACATCTGCTGATCATTGGATTGAATCAGTTTTGTATCAGATGATCCTTGATGCCCATCTGGATTCCGCTTAGAATTTTTCCCTGACGCTCTGGGGCGTAAAATCATTTTCACTCACTCATTCATTGTTTGACCAGCAAAACTTTTCTATTCCTTGAACAGCCTCTTGCAGCTCGGAAGGCTGAGCATGACAAAGTGAGAAAGTCTGTCAAAGAAATCTGGGTCAGAGAGGTCAAGAAAATGGTGAGTGGCTTGTTGGCTCATCATATTACTATCATACAAGGATAGTCCCCTGTGAAGATCCGGGGTTAGAAATTGCCTTCAGCATTCCCTGCTTCAGGTGGTCCAGCTTAGTCAGTCACTGGACTGTCTGGCCCAGACTCACTGTCATAGTTGGAATACTGCTGTGTACGAAGTTAAACAACAAACAAAACAAACCCAAATCAGTAAAAGAACAAATTACATAACAGTTTTAGAAGAGGGCCTTACTCCTACTATGCTCACTATAACATTTATAAGTATTGATGACAATAGGGGAGTAGTTATTATCTCCAGACAAGTTGCATTACCTCCAGGCTATATTGAACGTTTTCTTAATGCAGGAAGAATGGAAAATTCCACACCCATGATATATTAATGGGGTAATTGCAAGATGTAACGCTTGTTGATATTATCTTTAACTGTTTAATGCGCACAGGATGACTGGTAAGTAGTGCAAGATTCCTTGTAAACTGAGCCTCTTTGTTTTGTGCATGAAAAGATAATACTTACTGTTAGCAATTACATAGAATTAGTCTCCAGTGCCTCATCTTTATCATGTCTTAGTGGAGTGTCCCTGTTAAAATGTACAATCAGTGTGGGCAAGTACAAAAGTCATTTTGTGCTGTTTTCTTACAATGCTATATTTTGTGACTGAAGGATTAAGACAGTCCATTAAGTAGAAGGCACTGTAGTGTTATGTCCCTTTTTGCTGCCAGGATGTTATGTCCAGAATAAATTTTGAAAAAAAAGGAATATTTCTTCACAAAAAAATGGCACATGGATGGGTCTACTGGTAAATTTGTGCCTTTTGATAATTTTGTATTTAAAAAAAAAAGATTTTGAGCTTGCCCCTCACACTGTCGTGACATGGCTGGAATATTGGGGCCTAACCAATAAAATGAACCCAAACAAACAATGGCCAGAGTAGTAAACATGTAAAACCTTTCTGTTTGCTTAGCATTCTTGTTTTCCTTTTCATGTGTAAAACCTGTGTCATTTTCAGATTTCCTCCCACCTAAGTTATAACAGTTATAAAAACTAAAATGGATAGAATTATCATTAAAATGTCTGCATGTTATCAGAAATGAGCAGGCCACTGTAACTTGATAATGCCCCCAAATTGCTTGACGACGGGCCATTATCATGCCAGTTGTTGGGTGATGTCATAAGGAGCTAAGCTCTTTTATGTTCAATCACTCCACGGCTCGCTTTGAACTTAAGGTTCAATATTGATGATATTTCTGACTGACATTCATCACATGTACCTGTGCCATTATGTACTTTCTTGCCGGTACCAACCTTAACCATTGTACCATAAATTACAACATGCAGCAATGAAAACATCGACTGGAACTCTAACATTGTTGAGCACTGAAAAAAATGGCGGCTGGTAGTATTGGGAAAGGTCAGGATTGAATGTCGTCACTCTCAAAACTGATTCCATTTGATTTGATTTTATAAAATATTCTATCCATTTTAGCTATAATAACGGTAACACTATTTTTCATGGCATTATCATTTTCAGAAGCCCTCGGTCATTTCAACTGCCCTCCTTTATCGGGCAGTTAATGACTGACCTTGGACTTCTGCAAATGATAATGCCCTGAAAAATAGTGTTACCCTTATAATAGCAATACTTTAAGCCCTCGCCATGGTCATCATTGTTCCCTACTGTTGTATTCCAGCAAGATGCTGTGACAGGTCTACGCAAGGCCCAGCATATGTACATAGCACGTCAGCAAGACTATGAGAAGGCTCATGAACAGGCACAGAAAACAGACTCGGACAAACACGACAAGCGGAAGAAGCTGGAAGAGGATGCCATGCATAAAGTGGGTCTCAGGCTTGTTTTGTCTCACCATCTTAGTTATATTCTGCACCAGCCAACAACAGTTGTATATTTGAAGTAATTGTCACATGGATGGTGTTTTTATTGTCCATTAGCCAAGTCACTAACTTTTGAGTCAACCTTGTGACACCCTTGCATTTCTTTCCTGCATGTAGGCTGCTGAGGCTGAGACAACGTACAAGGCATGTGTAGTGGAAACTAACCATCGACAACAAGAGCTTGACAAAATCAAGGTAGGTAACTTGCATCATCCCATCCTGCCAGCCACTGACGAAAGTGTCAAATTGACATAAGTTCATTGGTTCATCATCGACTGCCTTGTTTTGTCATTAGGTTAATGGCAGATAGAGGTGATCACTTCAAATGAAGTATTAATTATTTTCTAACCTAAAGTAAATAGAATAATGTCTTTGTCCTGTATTTGTGAGAGAAGAAATTAGGTATTGCACATTTCCTTTTTGTTCTTAACCCGAATTTATAAAGGTTTTAGTACCCATAGAAATAGTTCAAATTTCTAAAAGTTGTAATGTTTTGCTATATATTTGTCTGAGGGACAAGGGAGAGCTGTCATGATTTCTAACTCTGTCTTTGGTTTTGGTTTCAGGCCGAGTTATTGGGGAAGATACGAGAGCAGATACAAATGTGTGATCAAGTCATGAAATCTGTAAGTATACATTCAGGTGTATCTGTATGCATTGGTCCACCAGGACATAACACTTGCCCCAAACTCATGATACTATAAACTATTTGATATTTATATGATTACATTTATTCGCACATATCACTTCAACGTTTCACCTAAAGATGAAAGATTTCTTACTGACATCCCACTCTCAGCAGCTTATTGTTCCCTGCCGCAACGCGGAACGGGGGACTATGTATTCAGCGGCAGCCGTCTGTCAAGGTCACCTCGACACTTTGACCACTTTTCAAACTGTTGTTCACGTGGTATCTCATGCACTGTTCTATCCAATATCTTCAAATTTGGTTACAGCCTACATTAGGGGATTACGCAGGCACCAGTTTATTTGGGTGACCTTGACCTTATCTTCAAGGTCACCCATGACACTTTGAACACTTTTCACTCTTGTTAACGTGACATCTCATGGACTGTTGTACTCAATGTCTTTAAATTTGGTGACTCTCTACATTGGGGGATTACATAGACACCAGTTTATTTGGGTGACAGTTTATTTTGACCTTATCTTCAAGGTCACCATGACACTTTGACCGCTTTTCAAACTTATTTAAACGCGATATCTCATAAAACATTGCACCCAATGTTTTCAATTATGTTGACAGCCTACATTGGGTGATTAGGCAGACACCAGTCATTTCAGGCATCTTGTATGTGACACAAAAATAAAATGTAGTAAATATGGATATTCCACTCTTAAGGGGCGGGGGGGACATTGCCATATCAGTGGCAAACACTTGTTTTCATAAAGCATTTCTTGTTACGTGAAAGTGTAACATGTTTCCTTATCTTGACTCATACTATTTTAACTCATACCTAAACCAGAGATACAATGGAAACATTCTGTGTTCTGTTCCTCAAGAACAATAAAAACATCTTACCCCAATGGAACCTCACAACGGCCTAATAGCATCTGCCTTGGCTCATGATTGTGGGCAAGAATTATCTTCTTGAAAGAACTGTCAGTTGTTCTGCTACAACCAAAGGTCAAAATTAGTGAATACCAGCAACATCATCTTTAGTGAAATCTCTGAGACAGTGTTTGGCAAAGACTGTATCAAACTTCCAGAAAAATCCTTCCGAAATGGATGTGATGGAACAGTTGCCATGAAGCGCTATTTTGGATGCTATGACACTTACTTTTTTGCAGATTTGATTGGGTTAGGGTAGAGATAAGCAAAGAGTCAGGATAAGTAAAAAATAATGTTTCTACTTCAAAAACTACATAATTATTTTTTCAGATATTTTCACCTACATAAACACATGGTAATGATCTTGCCATATCAAGCACCATGTATGTCGCTTGGCTGATGTATGTCATCAATCCCCATGTCAAAGATTGATACTCATGATGTCAATCACTGCATTGTATGGTCCAGATTTGATTTTTTTAAAGACCATTGATAAAATGTAATCCAGGGGTATATTACAAATTCCCTCAAACAACTAAATGGACTACACAACAATCTATAGCTGAAATATTGCTGATTGTGATTGTTTACCACAAAGAACAAAAGAAAATGTGAACTGATATTGCTAATGTCGGTGTTAGTGGAATACAAGTAACATAAGCTCCCACCCGCATGGTGCCCCACCCATACAGAGAGTGTATACTGTGTTACAGGTGACTGTGGAGTACTTCCAGCTGCTTCACACTGTGTCTGCCCCTCTACCTGTACAGGTAAGTCCATCAGTCATCTACACCTCTCTGTGCTTTGTGTCATTATTAGGAGTCTGATTACCTTTACTTTCAAACATGGAGATGTAAGTTAAAATGGTTCTAATGAGAAACTTATTGTATTTAAGGTAATTTACAACAGTGTTCAGACAAGACACATCTGACTTTTATAGCACTAAGTAGGTGTTGTTAGATAGATTAGCATTGTTATGATACTTACAATGTGTCATTCATATTTCTTGTTTTGGTAAAACATATTCATACTGTGTAGCATTAAGACAACTGTGAACTCATGTCCAAAGCCATGCAGATGTTTTAATGCTGTACAAATTTGAAAATTACATGTATTGGTGTAGAACTATAAGTTTTTTAACTTACCTTACCTCATGGTAATGTGCATATTACCTTTGCTCATCCGATACAAAGATTGGAAACGTATCCTTGTTGAATGCTATCATGAAACTGGTGACATTTCGATCTCGTCCGGCGAGCGGAAGCACGCCCCCCAATCCCGTCATGTGACAACGAGAACACGTCACTTTATCCTTTATCGCACAGCGAGTTGGACGTGTATACGATATTTCTGTTTTTCTTTTCTTACTGTATTCTTTGTGTTTTGCTACGGTAAGGTTTTCCTCTTGTATCCTTCTACCATGATATTACAAAAAGTCTACTCACCGTTGGCTGTTTTTTCTCACTGTACGGTCTTCGCAGTGTGTTGTTTTGCCTCGCGTTTATCCAGCTTCGCTTCGGCAGAATTATGTACCTCTTTGGTCAGCCTGGCTTGTTTTTGTCCTTGCTTGACCATTGTATGTATCTTTTTCTCTTTCTTTGTGTCATATTTTGTGTGTTTTTCTTCGTAGAGGTTTTTCACATGCTTGCCAGTAATGGCGGCTGTAAAGACCCTATCCTGCTTGCCCGGATTGTCTGGTCGACTCATGTCTTCTAACGACGCCTCTGAGACTGCTCAGGTTCCTTCGACGCCTACGGCTCAGCTTGGGAACGTCTCTACGCCTTCAGCGGATCGGCAATCTACGACTTCGCCTCCCCGCCAGTCATCATCTCTGGAACGCTCCAGAGCGAGCCTCTTCACACAGGCCCAGATCGACTATGCTGTGAATCCAGGCGCTCCATCTTCAAGATTCCCGGGTTATGGAGCTCTTGGTTGGTTTACTGGAACGAGAGGGTCGTCCGCCAGTGCTCCTCTGATCGTCCATTGTCTGGAGATGACCAGCGTTTGCCCACGTATCAGCAACGCTCCCCTCAACCTTCACCAAGACGTTCACCTGCGCGGGATGCTCGGTGTTCTCCCAAGCGCGCAATGGAGTGTGACGCTCGGCGTTCTTCACCTAGATGTTCGCCTCAGCGTTCCCGTTCTCCCAGGCGCTCTCCTGTACGGGATGTTCGGTACTCCTCGCCGCGGCGCTCTCCTCGGTGCTCCCCTAGGCGCTCCCTTCGGTGTTCACCTCGGAGACAACTTTCACCTCGGAGACAACTTTCACCTCCTTATCGGCATTCGCGTTCCCGATCACCTTTGTTTAGGTCGCGGGATTCCTCGTCTCTTGTGTCGGAGGCTCAGTTTGTTCCAGATTACGAGGAAGAAGACAACCAGGGTCTGACGCGCTTGGGCATGGAGAGTGTTTACGCCTGGATAGATGACAGACTTATCATTTGCCCGTCTCCAGGGTCGGATATTCCTCGTGCTAGCTCCATTTGGGATGAACCAGAGCTCCTTCTGCCACCGCATCCCATGGTTGTTGATGCCATTGCTTCACTTCATGAGGATTTCCAAAAGTTATCTCTCAATCCTTCCATCAAGCCTGCTAAACATCGCCGTTAGGATTACAAGGTGCATTCTTTTGACTTTGTGGATTTTGGCGCTACACAAGATGAAGCGGCCAAACGGTTGTCGGATGCTTCTCAAGCTCAATACAAGGTCCCAGATGCCAAGTTGTTGGCGATTGATACGGAACTCCGTCGAACCTTGAAGCCCCTCTCTGTGCTTGCTTCGACCACGGAGGCCATGTCTCAAGATCTCTCAGAGGATAACCCTTCCCGCTTAGATCATCTTACCACTATGTTTAGGTGGCAGGCTAGAGTTCTGTCTGAGGTGGTGGATCATGTTCGTTCGGCCTTAGCTACCACCACTGTGACTAGGAGGACTGGGTTACTTGCTCTCTGTACCTGGCAGGAGGAATTCAAGAAAAGACTGATGCGTGCCCCGTTTGAGGCTCCCACCTTATTCACAGATAAGCTCCCGGATGTCGTTTCAGAGCATGCCTCCTTGACCCAAACTGAGATTGTGCTCCGATCTTTTCGTCACTTCGCCACTTTGTCAGCGCCAGCAACCAGGACCACCAACCTTTACCAATCCAGGAGGACGTCGGTTCGTGGAGCCTTTAGAGGGCGTGGCAGGGGACGTCCCAACGACTTCCAACGTCGTCCCGTGGGTAACCAAAAGGACTTGGGCAAGACCGGCAAACCCAAATATAAGCGCCGCTGATGTTTTGGGCGGTCACGACTGGGACCTCCCTTCCCCAGCCGTCCATATCCGCGATATACCTGTAGGCGGGAGACTCGGGTCTTCTGGCCCAACTGGACAATCCTAGGAGACCCCTTTGTCACCAATCTTCTCAAGAAAGGCTACAAGTTGCCAATAGCCATGTCGCCGCCTTTGACCACCTCGCCCGGTCTCACGAATATTCCATCGTTCAACACCAGCACCTGTTGACCAACATTCAGGCGTTGTTGGACAAGAAGGCCATAGAACAAGTACTAGAGCCCAGCAAGTCCCCAGGGTTTTACTCTCCCATCTTCTTAGTACCCCAAAAGAATTCTCAGTAGATGAGGATGACACACAATGTGGCGGTGTTCAACAAACTTTACCTTCCGGAGCTGCCACATTTTCGGATGGTATCTCTGATCCAGCTACGAACCAAACTGTCCCCCCAAGGATTGGTTTGTCAGTCTGGATCTTCAAGACGCATACCTACATGTTCCCATTATCGAACCTCACCGGAAGTTCCTGAGGTTCATTTTCGACGGTCACCATTACCAGTGGAAGGTCTTGCCGTTTGGCATCTCTATGGCCCCGTGGCTTTTCACTCGAAATTACAAGACCGATTTCCCGGTATCTTCATCTTCGGGGGATAGAGTTCGACCCATACATAGACGACTCTCTCATGAGCCACAAGGAGTGCCTGCTGCTACGCAGAAAACCTCAAGAAGTCCCACCTAGAGCTATCCCGACAGTTGACTTTTATAGGGGGTTTGTTCCTGAAAGATCAAGACCTTCTGCGGGTTCCACCGGACAAATGGCAAAGAATCCTCAGTCTTGCTTGGCGGGGTCTGTCACACCTGCTTACACTCAGGGAATGGCAGTCCCTACTAAGTCTGTTGATGTCGGGCTCAGGATCTTACCACCAGAGGGAGATTAATGCTCAAACCGCTTCAACGGTTCCTCTCGCCTTTCATCCTCTTAGATGACCTCAGGTCGCGGTTTCCGCTGCCCATTCATCTTCATCCCTTTCTTCAGTGGTGGACAATCGAGTCGAACGTTTGCGGCGGCGTCTCTTTGACCGAATTCACAAATGACCGCGAACTGTTTGTGGACGCTTCTCTGCAGGGCTGGGGCGCTCACCTGGAACTTCAGACAGCGGCAGGGCTGTGGTCAACCGCACAGGCAGGTTGGCACAGCAACAACCTAGAGCTTCAGTCTGTCATCTTAGCCATTCAGCACTGGATTCATTCGCTACGGGGTTCCAAGCTCTTGGTGGCGTCGAACAACTCGACAGTGGTCTGGTTGATCCGCAACCAGGGAACAACCAGCTCGGGACTTCTCTTGAATCAGACAACAACATCCAGATCAGAGCTCGTCACATTCCGGGTTGCAGGAACGTCTTGGCAGACGCTCTGTCCCGACCAGACAAGCCATCCCCAACAGAGTGGATACTTCATCCGGAAGCATTCAATCTGGTTTGTCACCTCCATCACAGACCGTTAGTGGACCTCTTTGCAACGAAGCACAACCATCAACTTCTGATCTACGTGTCTCTTCTTCCGGATCCTGTCGCTTGAGCAGTGGACGCCCTGTCCCTCTCATGGGAGGGTCTGGACGCCTACACGTTTCCTCCTCCAGTTCTTCTTCCCAAGGTCGTAGCTAAGCTCAAGGAGACCAAGCGGATGATTCTGCTTTTGGTCGCACCTTGGTGGCCGGCGAACCATGTCGATTGCCGAAGGAGATCCTCAACCGCTACCACAGTGGCCGCACCTTCTACGGCATCCTCACAGCCGCCTGTTGCACCCAGATCCGGACAGGTTTCATCTATGCGCTTGGGTCATCTTCAGAAAGCTCTGAAATCCAAGGGTTATTCGGCTGGTGTGGCTACGATCATCGCCGGTGCTCATAGAGTGTCCACCCGCAGCTTGTACGATGACAAATGGTCTGCATTTGAGAAGTTTTGCGCTGATCGCTCTAAGAATCCGGTTAAAGCGTCTCCTCAATTTATTGCGGAATTCCTCCTCTACCTACGCAACACTCATCATCTGAAGGGTGGTACGATTTCTACTTATTTGGCAGCCCTTAATTCAGTGCTGGCCGTCAAGTCTGATAGGAAGGTCTCCAAGATCCCTGAACTCCTGGCCATGCTGAAAGCGTTTAAGTTGGAGGATCAGAAGTCGAAGTTCCACCCTCCAGCTTGGGATCTTAACGTGGTTTTACAACACCTTCGTGGACGTTCTTATGAGCCTTTGTCTGTGGCCTCCTTCGAGGACTTGTCTAAGAAAACAGTTTTTCTTTTGGCGCTTGCTACTGCGGCCAGAGTTAGTGAGCTTCACGCCATAGATGTCACCAAGATTAGGTTTGAACAGACTCGTCACGGTTCCGTCCATTTGGGTCTTCTCTGGGACTTCATTGCCAAGAACCAGTTGCCTGGTCAACTGGATCGTATGTATGTCATCCCTCCTTTGTCTTCTATAGTGGGCAGTGACGACTCCGATGAACTTGCGTTGTGTCCCTTAAAGAGTACATCAAGCAGTCAGGAGACGTACCAGGAAATGCCTTTTTATTCCGTTTTCTTCTGCGTCGAAGGGTGAGGTCAACAGAAATACCATCGCTTTGTGGCTTCGCTTTCGACTATCCTCGCAGCTTACGACTCCGCTGGTTTACCTCACCCAACCGCCAACAACCTGCACGAGATCCGGGCCTTAGCGTCCACCATGGCTCTGCACAGAAACTGCTCGGTCCCCACTATTATGGAAGGTTGCTTTTGGAGGTCTAACACAGTCTTTGCCAACCAATATCTCTGGGATCTGGCAGTCCAGGATGTACAGGGGCTTCAGTCCTTTGGCCCGTTCGTGGTAGCTCAGCAACTGACGCGGCCCTCTTCTCACTAGGTGCTTATTCTTTTTGTCTAATCATCTTAGTGATAGTTTTAAGGTTAACCCACGTTCTCTCGTGTTGTGTTTTCCTTATTAGGGGTTCTACCGGTGGTTTACTGTTCTTGTTTCAACGATTCCAGTTCAACAAGACAGTTTCCATGTCCCCGGTTGTGCTGTTTTGGTCTGATAGTTTGGGCTGGTCCTTGCCGGTGTCCGACCCTCCTGCCTTTATGTCGGACCAACATGCACATTACCATGAGGTAAGGTAAGTTAAAAATTTATGAAAAAAAATCTAAATATTTTACCTTATGGCGTCTTACGCCCTCCCTACGATGGATCATCTCCTCCCCGCTTTGAACTCCGCTCGGACTTCAGGATTTGAATAAAGTGACATGTTCTCATTGCCACATGACGGGATTGGGGGGCTTGCTTCTGCTCGCCGGACGAGATCGACACGTCACCAGTTTCATGATAGCATTCAACAAGGATACTTATTGATCACGTTTCCAATCTTTGTATCGGATGAGCAAAGGTAATATGCACATTACCATGAGGTAAGGTAAGTATTTAAATATCTAAAATATTTAGATTTTAATAATTTTCTGACAAATGAATTCCACATTCAATTGCCTGTTGTTTGTCCCTTCAGTTCCACACCCTGTGTGAGAGCAGCAAGACGTACGAGCCAGGCAGTCAGTATGCAGAGTTTGTCCGCAGGCTCCCCATACCCACACCAAATAGTGGCAAACTAGAACACTTCAGCTTTGAAGCTTTTGTTGCTGGTGCAAAGTAAGTGTTGTCTTCCCTTATAATAATGTCATTCATAGCAAAAACCGAGCAACCTATGCTGGCCGTAAAAGGTCCAGTCCATTGGCTGATCAGATTTGGTTGCTTTGTTGGTTGTGTTTATTGTGTCCTGACAGTTGCTCATAATATCAATCACTGGATTGTCTGGTTCAGACTTGGTTATTTCCAGATTACTGTACTGAAATATTACTGCGTTAAGATTAAGCAACTAAGAAATATTATTTTTCCTTATCCTGACTCATGCTCTTTTGCTTGTCTTCTTCTTCTTGCGAACATAGTGGAACACTTGTATCTCCCTATTGAAGCTCCCTTCCATTGAAACATACGTAAAATAACTAATCACTACTCATCAAGAGTTGCCCCTCTTTGCTTCCACTGGCGGGAAAGACGGCGCCACCGTGGCCCACATGCCTCACTCTCTCCTTCTTCGCCCAGTGAGCAGGATGTGAGAGCGCCTGTGTCTCCCTACACACTATATCCTTTGATATTTCTTACTTAGTTACCTCTACAAGTCCCTTATAGAGGTTTAGCTAGTATCCTTCAACAATGTTTTGATAATTACCCGTATTTACTGCTGTTTATTCGCGGTGTATTCCATGTTTGTTCCGTAGGTTACGTTCATGAAAAATTCTGTACTGTTTGCATTTTCTGCTGCTGATCCGCATTTAATATGCCCTAGCTGTACTGTACCATGTTCTTTCAGTTCAGGTTGCAGTTTTTGCAATAATTTATATAATTCTGCATTTAACAAATATTTACTTTGCGTCTTGTGACGCACAGCAGATAGGTCACGTAAGCTATATCCAGGCATGGATATGCGGCTGAATCCCTCTCAAGTCAACTGCTGTCGGATGATCCCCTCCCGTCTGGTGTTCCGCTGGAGTTCTCTTGGAGGAGAGGCGTGGGATGCAGTCCGCCGTCTCCAAGAAGCGACCTGCATCACCAGACATCCAGTCGTCGCAGTCTAGACTAAGAGGGCATCTACATCTCAGCGCAGACTCCGCACCCCCAGGGCAGCGTCTACCACCAAGGGGAAGCCAGCGCAGACCGCACGAACTTTCTCGGCCGAGATTGTTCCCGTCGCAGAACAGGGCCTGTATGATGAGCAGCCGCTCATCATTCCCGGGGGTTCATCACAAGAAACGACCGGTATCAGCTACAGTGATGTCAGCGCAGATCCACAATCAGCTCGATGTATCAACGCTGATGACTGATGATCTTCCCATGGGTCCCGCCGCCACCAACGCCAGATAGGGCAGCGTCTACAACCGCAGACAATGTATAGAAGGCTGATCAACACATCCCTTAGGGGACCGACTACCTACGCGACGCTACATTAAATCAGCAGACTTTCTCTGCCGAGGATTGTTCCGTTGACAGTACAGGGACTCTCCGATGATCAACCGATCATCATCTTCAACTAGGGACCAGTAAGTTCATCCTAGAACAAAAAAATTCATCAGTACACAGACTGAAGATTGGTAATACAGTACAAGAGAGGTACTCTTGTCAGAATTCTCCTAGCTGGATCTTCAGACGGAATCCAGGACGGGATTCACATAGATTGATATATCTACATTAGAAGATTCATGGCCTTTATAGAGATCTTCACCTTCGTGACATAGATCTGCAGACATTCTCAATGCGGATTCAACAGCAGCCTTGGGCTTAGATAAATACATAATCGATCAACCGCCAAAAATTTACAAGTTCAGCCTCTACAACACGATGCTTCATTGATGTATGCAGTCTACAAGCTGACAATGAAAGTTCATTTGAGCCTATGTATAAGGACGACGGCATTATCTTCAAGACTGAAGAAGACAGCCTACCCAGCATCAATATTATGCGGCGAAATATTTCTTCGCCGAAATATTCGCAGCGCTTACCATTTAACCCTCGACACGCCGTCACTTTCGTGTAACTTGACGGACAAGACCGATTGATCAGATATCAACGGCGGCACTAGATTCTCCAAGGATCTTTTCCTGCTACACCCGGTGACATCACAGCGGCGGCTAGCCTACAGAATCAAAATGCTTTGTTTTGGCATGCAGAGATCGAACGTAGTTCACAGATCAAGACATGGGTTACAAGTGGTACAACATGTCCGAAAGTGAGCAATGCCCCTCCATTACAGTCCAGTTAGACTGGACCCATTGATTTGGCTGCTTTCATGGGGTTAGAGACCTCCCCTGTCATCATTGAAGGCGAGTAGCTGCAATAGGCGATTTCTACATAGAGTTCGTCAACGATGGCAGTCACAGAGTCGGCCATCACTTCAACCCTTACAGACACGTAACGGTGTCAAGAGCGTGAGGATATAGACACAAGTTTTTGTATCTCAAGCACTACTCTCCCGCTTTTTTATGGCGGAAATCTGTTATTTTTCTCGTGATGTCAGCACAGGACATGACATGCAAAGAGAAGGAGCCCACTACTGGTCTTCATGAATGTACAACCGGATCCGGACAGCTTATAACCCATATCTATATATGGTGAACTCCGCGTCGAGGAAGGGTTGCAGTCACCACTAATTAGTGGAGTCGCAGTACAAGGGCATCTCTATGGGGCATCTCTCCTAGAGTGGGAGCACACCTTGACAGCAATATGTCAGCTGTGATATGGACCATAGCAGAGACGATCTGCACTTCCACAGGCTGGAAATGAAAGCAGCAATAAGCACGCCATACTCCAGCGGATCAGCTTTTTATAAAATGCTCATCTAACGGTATACAGAGTCACCTCCACAGTGACAGTCTACATTCACAGAAGGATCAACAAGTTGGCGAACCTTCTGGACCTCTGCTTTCAGTTGATCAGCATAACAGTCAACCTGACTGTCCACAGCAGAATATGCCACATTCCAAGTAACATTAGTCTCACCAATACCAGATTTACGGACAGAGGCAAAGGACATGCGAAGCATCTCCTGCCTAGGACTAAAACACTTACGTGTTTCTTCACCAGCTCTAATACCTAGGGTATTGCAGAAATCAGTCAGGCGAGAGACCCACAACTAATTGGGGCACGCCGTTTGACCAGCGAGAATATGATTCCTATTCTCATACAAGACCTAGGACTGCCTCTACTGAAACTACCAGAGTGTACGAATCTACTAGTACATCCTCACACAAAGCAGGCGCACGGCACCCGGAGGTGTTCCGGCTACACGTGTGGACTATATCAAGCATGCTTGAACAAAGAGAGGATATTTCGCCAGAGCAGCGAAAGCAATCACACTAGCTTTACGCAAGTCTTCACAACTTGTCTGACGACAAGTAGTGATGTTTTGTGACAAAAGATACGTTTCGAGGATCGGTTTCACAGCCATGAAAGTGACACATCCTCAAGTGGCGGACTACCTTTGTCACCTAGACAAAGGAAGCGGAAAAAGGGTCAACACTCTCAACATACCTAGCGGCATGGAGATCAGTTATCGTCATGAGGACGAGTGCAACTGACAAAAGTACCAGAGTTACTGGCCTTACTACGCCCTTTTAATTGGAGGACCAACATCAGAGATTTAAAGCTCCGATGTGGGACCTCAACGTTGTTCTACGACATCTCACTAGTGACATTTACGAACCATTACAGAGAACATCATTCGAGTTCTTGATGCAGAAGGTGCTGTTCCTGATAACCTTAGTAACAGCAGCAAGGATGTCGGAAATACATGCTCTGGATTTGAGAGAACACGATTTGATGCAAATCAAAATATCGTGCATATGGGACTGAGATGGGACCTTATTGCCAAGAATCAACTGACAGGTCAACCAGACAGACAATTCCATGTCCCAGCACTTTCCTCCATACTCGGACTTAATGATACTCTTGACTTATCATTATGCCCAGTGAGAACTCTCAAAGTTTATTTAGAACAATCAAAAGCGTGGCTTGGCGAAAATTCAAGCAATTATTCATCCCTCTCTACAGCGACACAGACTGAAGTCTCGCGAGAGACTAACGATATCTATATGGATCAGAACTGTCATACTACGAGCCTACAAGGCTGCAGGACTCGAACCTCCAAGAGCATCTAACCCTCACGAAATTAGAGCACTGGCTTCTACACTCGCTCTACATGGAAATTGCTCGCTGAATACGATCATGGAGGGCTGTTTCTGGAAATCGGACATGGTGTTTGCTAACCACTACCTGAGATATCGCCACTGAGGACGTCTCAGGCATTCACCATTTCGGTCCTTTGGTCCTCGCACAGCAGTTGACAGTTCCTCGTAGACGGTGAGACGTAGTCTCACTAATTTATATCAGTAATTATCAAGCTTACAACTCTACGGAGTTTTGCTTTAGTTATCAGGAGAGAGTGAGGCATGTGGGCCACGGTTGCGCCGTCTTTCCCGCCAGTCGAAGCAAAGAGGGGCAACTCTTGATGAGTAGTGATTAGTGATTTTACGTATGTTTCAATGGAAGGGAGCTTCAATAGGGAGATACAAGTGTTCCACTATGTTCGCAAGAAGAAGAAGACAAGCAAAAGAGCATGAGTCAGGATAAGTATAAAATATCAATTTTATTCAGAAAATTACATATCTTTGAACTGTTTGTTGGTTTCACCAAAATTGTAAAATATTTGGCTTTTGACCCACATTGAGCCGATATACTGTGATGTAGTACAACTCTTGTTCAATGCTGTTCAAGAACAACTTTGGGTGTGTTGCTAAACAACAAACAAAAGCTCCTATCAGCATAGCCAATACAATTATAACAATGATGGAGAATCTCTGACAACAGTGTTCCCAAACGCCACTGCATGATGTAGAAAGGTAGGCTTCAAAATCAAAGGTGCAAGTCAAGGTCATTTACTGTAATGTTCAAATCCATTGTGATACTTTATCAGAAGAGCATATGACCCCATCCATACACCCGTCAAGGTGTACTTCTCCTCACAGGAAGGGGTGGTAGGGTAGCCTAGTGGTTCATGCGTTCGCTCATCACACTGAAGGCCTGGGTTCGATTCCCATTACTGGTGTCCCCTGTCGTGTTTGCTTGAATATTGCTAAATGGAGCGTAAAACCTAACTCACTCACTCACTCACTCTCCTCACAGGTATGGTGAAGGAAGGAAGCCCAGCACACAGTCCAATGGATCTGCATCTTCTGACATGATACCGTCAAATGAAGGATCACCGGTGTCCTCACCTAGGAAGGGTGAGTCTTTGTTACCGACAGGATATAAACTGTTCACTGATTTGGGTCACATCTGAACCTTAGGATTTGTATGTATTTGTATGTTTACAAATTGATAATGTTAACGCTTTGTGATGTTCTCATATTTCTAATGTGTTGCCATCACTTTAATATGAAGCCAACCCTTTTACCTACTGAAAGAGATGTGTGATGTCATATTGTTCAAAAGGCTATTAGGATTATATTGTTGTGGAAACAGTGACATGAATGTGTTTTTACCCCAGACAAGAATCGAGGCCCTGTAAAGGCATGGGGTCATTCTGTCGGCATTGGAAGCGACACTGATAGTGCCAGTGGAAGTAGCAGCAACAAGTCACATGACTCATCACCTAGCAACAGTCCACATGCCAATATGAGGAGGCAACTGGTAGCCAGTCAGTCATTGGATGAATTAGCTGAAGAGGAACCAGAAAAATATGCGAATGGTTTGTATAAACTGAAATTGCTTTCAACCTGGTGATGATATATATTAATAATTAGCACCAGAAGAGCTCATGTAATATGTGTCATACATGCATAGTTTAGTTGTGGTTCTCATCTGGATAACACAAATTAAGCTGTTAGTCCCTCATGAAAGATGGGCGAAAGATCATTGTCCAATTACATGGATATCTAATACTGGGATCAAAAGTCACATGACAAACTAGGCAGCCTCCAGTTGATTTCAGAATGTAGATGTCATTGAAGCAAATCAGTTTAAATGTGAAAATACAAGTTGAAAAAATAATACAATTCATGAGAGGCTTCAGATGCTAAACATGGTTTCTATATTAAAATAAAGTTGATATTGAAGTTAAATAACATACTTCATTTGAGCAAAGTTTCTGGTAATGTTCTTGGGTACTGAGGATGTTAATGAGTCTGTGATTATTTTGTTGTAGGCGATGAACAGCGCCGGAATCTCATTAAAAGAATCATGTCAGCCAGTGAAGATTTGGTAGGTGTTTCATTACAGAGAAAATCTCAGAATGAAATACGACAAAAAATTGGGGTTGAAATATGCTTGACGTGTTTGGTTTTCTTGACATGTTTGGTTTTCTTGACGTGTATGGCATAAATGTTGTGATTAATTTTCAGAAATGAATTATAAAGAGGAACTTATTGTTCCTATGCTATCACATGACCTGATGTTATTCAACTCTGGATCAGTTACTCAGCCTAATGGTGAAAGGATTGATTTGCCAGACCAAAGGCCGGGAAATCCCGTTCTTGGTGTCCACACCAAGATATTGTGATATTGCTAGGACATAAAACTGTCAGTTTAGTTTAACTGCTGTAACTTAATGTGTTTTTAAGAATAATCTTTGTTCTCAGCCAAACAGAGGACGGCGGCACACCACATTTGGAGTGGACTTCCAGGAGCAAGTGAACCAGTTTAAGATGGAAGTCCCACCCATTGTCTCCATGTGTCTGTCCGAGGTAGAGCTGCGTGGTCTCACCATCAAGGTAGGTTCAACAAGAGGAAAATGTCAGTTTACACATTTTTATTGCATTGGCTCCATTTAAGAAGAATCTCTGTTAGTTATTGAAGTCTCAATATATGCATTTCTCTACCCAGGGAATGTACAGAGTGTCTGGTGTGAAGAGTAAAGTCGAGAACTTGTGCAATAGGTTTGACATTGATCCTGATTCCGTCGACCTCTCCGAACAACACCCTAATGTCATCTCCAATGTGTTGAAACTCTACTTACGACAGGTATGCTTTAGACTCTTTGTCTGTGAGGATCCTGTTGTATCTACTAATTCAAATGTGTGAACAAAGTAGCAGTATTATATTTTAGCAACTGGTCCAAAGCCAAGTTAGGTAGAGTTTCTACTGAAAGTTAGACTGATAGACATACTGGGCTTCATCAGCAGAACTTCAAAAGATTTGTCTTCCTATCGATCCTCCACCACCCATGATTATATATATGACTGCTTGGTAACATGTCAGTGACCTGTGTTTATTTTTAGTCAGTTGATGGAATGTAGCCATGTATTAGTGACCCAAATATTGACTGATGTTGAGGTAATGTGTAGACAGGATGACCATACATCCTTGGCACATGTTGCATTAAACTTGAGTCACTTTGCTATGAGAATACTTTATTTACATTAAATCCCTTCTTGTCAAGGAAGCCCTCAACCCACCAATACAACATAATGATATGCAGCAGATAATCAATCAAGTAGAGCATGGTAATTGATGATTACAATTCAATTACAAAACAAATGAGAGTTATCTCCCTTAGACTTGTGACAACAGGCTCACATGATGTAATGTTAGTGATCATTAGTGAGAAAAATCTGATGTTTTCCACATGCTTGGACCATGACTTGAATGGTTGTTTGAAACAGTGACCTGACTGCAACACAGCTGTATATAGTCACAGTTGATGGGAGATGGTAGTGTAGGCAAACTCTTGAAGTATGATGATGTGGGTTAGTTTTCTCAGATGTTTTGTGCACCGACTGGAATAGTATGATAAACAACAAATTTCAGTTATCTGCATGAGACTCGCGCCTTTATTTAGTGAACAATATGGCCTTTTGTCACATTTCCAAGTAAATTAGAATAAATGCAAATGAGTGTTTGGGCATGAATTTCAGTGTTATTGCTTATGACATCTAAATTCTTTCATTCCGTCTAAGGAGTGCATATATGTTGTGCTATCATGAAAATCCTCCCAGTTTTATTTCAATGTCAAGTATGTCAACATATTGATGAAATTGGAAAACTTGCAAGGTTGTAGGTTAGCTAATGAGTTCGAGATCATATTATCATAAATCATTCATTCAACTTTTTCATTTTGTAACAGCAATAACCTGTGGTTGAAAAAGTACAGCAAACCTGTTTCATTAAAAGAGAGTTAGTGATGTGGTTTTTCAAGTTAACTTTGGATGATAGACTATGTTTATGTTATCTGAAGGGGGAATGGGTCCCGTATTTGGTACAGAACAGCTAAGAATGTTCTAAAGTCGTGACATAGTCTGCATACATTGCTTTGATTTGTATTTCAGCTCCCAGAGCCTCTGTTGACGTTTCGGTTATATTCAGATTTTATACATGTGGCAAAGGTATGTACAACTGATATGGGGAACTATTTTATACTCAAAAAAAAGAAGAAGAAATCCTTTGCAGTGATACTGCAGCTTCTAAATGCATGGAGACCACAGGTGACTCATTTGTCTGAAGCCTGACAATTACCTGTGAACAGGTGCACCACACAGTCTTGTGAGATAGTGCCTTTGAATCTCACATTCACCCTTTTTACATTCTAGGTTTGCACCATACCTGTAATAAGGGTTTAAATGTGTAACACCTTGTAAAATTTGGACCTTCTTGCACATATTGAGTTCTCCTATGGTGAGAAAACTGGAATACATTTAGTGGCATTAGAAGAAAATCACTCACCAGGAAATTTTAATTACGTATCATCAAGTTATTAGGAAGTAAATGGATGTTGTTTTTACTTGCGAGTGTCACCCTATAGGAGTACGGGGTTAGAAGTGGTGCCCAGCAATCTATACTGATCAGAACAGGTGACTTACGATAGATGCCCAGCAATCTATACTGATCAGAACAGGTGACTTACGATAGATGCCCAGCAATCTATACTGATCAGAACAGGTGACTTACGATAGATGTACACTTACTGTTAACCTCTGTGTCTGTTTCAGGAACATACATCTGGTGCTATGAGTAACCAGAAGACAATAGAGAAGCTGTCCTATCTGGTTCAGATGCTGCCTCCTTCCAATTTTAAAACATGTGCTGTTCTCATGCATCATCTACAAAGGTAAACAATCAGAGATGAATATTTACCACAGAATATTGTAGATTTGGTTATGTCTCTTGGTGATGCATTCTATTTCAATATAAACATAAGTGGTACAGTTCCCACGACCGGCGGGTAATGTGCAATATTTCTGGATAAAAACAGTTTCTCATCTCTTCCTTGGTGGAATTGGGTAGCCTAGTGGTTGAATCATTTGCTCATCACACTAATGGAAAGGGTTTGATTCCCAACATGAATGAAATAAGTGAAGCTCATTTGCCATGAATACAGAAAGTAGCCTTTATAAATATTTGCATTACACAAAGTGTTCTTGTTTCTTCTAGGGCGGTGGGGTAGCCTAGTGGTTAAGGCGGTCGCTTGTCACGCCGAAAACCCAGGTTCGATTCCCCACATGGGCACAATGTGTTAAGTCCATTTCTGGTGTCCCCCGCCGTGATATTGCTGGAATATTGCTAAAAGCGGCGTAAAACTAAACTCACCCACTCACTCACTTGTTTCTTCTCCGACAACAATTGATACAGGTTATCAGTATGACACTGATCATCTCTGACATGAACCCAGCCATCAAAGCCATTGCCAGACATTATTTTGCCCTTGTGTTTGTCATTTACATTTGAATATATTTTCAGGGTCGCTGCTCACTCTGACGTGAACCAGATGAGCTCCAGCAACCTTGGAATCGTGTTCGGTCCAACGCTACTCCGACCAGCGTAAGTAACAGCTGACTGCAAGTGATACACTCTGTGTACTGTATATGCTGCTGAGACAATCATAGAAATCCCAGAATACATGGCTAGATTATTATCTACAGCAGAGCAGTGTCAGTGGATAACACTGCGGGAAAATGTTTTTTCTGTGACGTATATTTATGTCGGTAAAAGGAATAGTGATGATGTTGTGATCAAAATAACAAACCCTCACATTTTGCTTTGTATGTGTTTTTTTAAATCTTTTTATCTTCTGAGATGATTTTACTGTCATTATTGGTACCAGATTATCTTAAAGGACCCATGAAGATGTTCAAGGTCTCAAAAATTTCTCTTCAGTAACCTAATCCTGCTTAACCTGCATTGATGTCAGAATCTCTTATGAATACACTTTGTGTCTGGATTTGGCGCATTATAAATGGGACTAATGGATCGAAGATCTGGGTAAAATTTCTCTTCAGGATTGCTAACTAATGATTGACACATGTCATCGTATCCCAATTGCGTAGTTCGATGCTCGTGCTGTTGATCACTTGATTGTCTGATCCAGACTCGATTATTTACAGACCGCCACCATATAGCTGGAATATTGCAGTGTGCTGTGTAAAACTAAACTCACTCACTCATTATTGGTACCTGTTTATCATGGTCCAGAATTTAAGACGTTGATAGCCATCAGCTGTCTTGGTCAAATGTTCTCTATTGTGTTCAAAACTGACAACAAATGAGATTTAACTGTCATCATGTTTTTGTGATTGTGCAGGGAAGGAACTGCCTCTCTAGCATCTCTGGTGGACACACCACACCAAACCCGGGCCATTGAACTACTTATCTCATCAGCACAGGTATCTATAAATAGTTCAGTCAATTAAACACTTCCTGTGCAACCTTGTCATGTCTGTCATGCCTCTGGGGCTGCAGGTCTTCAATACTTTTTGCCAGAAGTAAGACCTGACTAAGGCCCCCAGTAAATATCTGGGTTAGAATGCTTGTCATAAAAGGTCCCTTACAGGATCATGTCGGTGTCCAGGCTTGCTGACCACCTCGTCATTATGCTCATGTCGTTGTGTCCTAGTGGAGGCATAGCATGATGCTCATGATGTCTTTTTCGTCATTATCGGCTCATCCTGACTTGACTGAGCAGTTAGAAATTGTTCAAAAACATGTATGAGCACAAACACTGATAACTCATAATATTACTTGAAATGTCTGAAAATTTGCTTGCCCTTTGAATACCTTTAATGTTAAATAAAGTGGTCACAGGTGGTGGGTTAGTTCAAATTTCAGTCGCTGCTACAATGTGAATTTTCAGGCCTTTTATTCTGATGGCAGTGATCATTAAACCATGTTTGTCATTGGTTAGCCTGGTCAAAAGTACAGAACTCACTCACTCACTCACTCACTCACTTTCCCACTGTATTGAACAAAAAATGCTGAAAGTTTACTGTTTCATTCAAAAGCATTGTGTTTGAAATTAGTAGATTAATTAGTGTGTATATTTATTGTTAAACAGACAATATTTGGTCCTGGAGCTGACTATCAGCTTGTAGGAGGAGAGACACCCGTGGAGGCGCTGCCTGACCCAGCACCCCCAGTAGTTAAACAGACAAAATCAGGTATTTTTCCTTTCAGTGTTCCTCGAGTCCCAGAACTGTGAGGGATGGTTTGGTTGCCTTGTAGACAGTGTTCACACATCATCCCAAACTCTTTGGTGATTTCTCACTTTCATATCTTTGAAGATGTAAAGATATAATACAAAATTTGTAATGAAGTGGAAGAATGTCATATAAAGTTTGAATAAAATCATGAAAATATCCTGATGTCATTATCTCTACCAAAACCACTGCACATGGGTACTATCTGTGAAGCCCATTCTTTATGTCTCCTGCTATGATATGACCATAAGAGTGCTTTAAGAGAACTTAATATCCAGCTCACAGAACTTGGAGGATAATGTATGTGATACATGAGCCTATGTTTGCCATGAAGAGTCTCAGTACTCTGTATTATCAAATGTCTCTGTTTCAGAAATCAAGGAACCTTTGACAGTGTCTGTGCCTTCGGAACCTCCATCAGTGAAACTTCCTTCAAGGTATGAGGAGAATATGTTAGATGAAAAAGTCCCATGCCTTTTGTGCGTTTTGACTATTTGATCTCATGGTCCCCCAAATCTTTGTCTCTGAATGCTCTGATATGAGTTTTGCAGTCATAGAGTCATTATGACCTCTACCAGCTATGCTGGATCATACAAATGTTTTTGACCACATCTTAGCTTTTAAAGGGAGATAGGGGTAGCCTGGTGGTAGTATTTGCTCTTCACACCGAAGACCTGTATATGATTTCCTACATGGGTACAATATGTGAAGCCAGGTTCTTGTGTCCCTGACCATGATATTGCTGGAATATTGCTAAAAGTGACATAAAACCGTATTCATTCACATAATTCTTAAGGGAGACAAGTCCAACTACTGTAATCGTAGTTATTTTCGTGCTTTTAGCATGGGATTAATTTTCGCGCTTTTAGAGCAAAAAGATCGTGCATCAGTAATCATACCAAGCGAAATATTCATGGTGAAGTCATGACAAATACTCAAGTAGGAACAACATGCAATTAAAACAGAGACATGAAATGCAGCCAATCAACGATTTGACCATGTGAACAACACGTGTTCATAAACAACAAACACTACTTTATGATTTCTATGTTAAATTATCGTTAGTCCTAGTATACACTCTTCCTTAATTCGTCCGTTGATCTCGCATATGGGACAGGTGTTGTCATGTTGACACAAGTATAATCCCACCTCCCTCTCTCTGATTGCTTTAGGAAACATGATTCAATTATGGCAGCTAGCTTTGATCATTGCATGTGTATCGGCTGTGAAAACTCTTTGATGGATACTATCACTGAGGTGTTTGAAATGCCAGAAAAAACAACTGCACTAACAGGTCTTTTGTGAACATTCCGCGAAAATTGCACCCTGTGAAAATATATACGATTACAGTATATTCCTCCCTCTCTTTTGATATTTTTCCAGCAGTCAGTCTGTGGATGCGGTAGCCGTGGACAAGATCGTGCAGCCCGCGGAGGAGGTGGATGGGGACCGCTCCAAGGTAATGTGCTCTCTCTGTACACTTCATACCATTGGCAGGAAGGATCACAAACAATCTCAAGCTTGTCGCAAAGTCTGACTGATTCAAGGAAATAGTACCTTGAAATATATTAGCCATTGTCTATAGTGTGTAGTCTTTGGACAATATCTCTCCTCAGTTCCTTCTTTCTGATTTGCTAATATCTACTGATAGCATCAGTTTTGTTGATGAAGTAAACAGAAGAATTCAGACACACCTTGCTTGAGCAGAACAAAAGCCATTTTAAATGTATTCTATTTTGGCTTCTAGATAGAAAAGAAAATTCACTACACCTGATGTTTTCGGACTGAATAAGAGGTCTCTGCCAAAACTAGGTTTTCAAACCTTTTCATATAATTTGTTGAGGCTAAGATTGCTATGATCTTACCTGCCACAGTTTGTTTTGATATTTTTGTCACCAGGCACCTGTCCCACTTCTTTTCTGCAATAATACATCACAGATAGGAATAGATGTTATTCTGTCAAAATTGTATGAAGTATTCCTGTGATTTTATCCTTTATTAACATTTAGATATTTGAAATATTTACCAGTCCTTTTCAAAACTTGCCAGTCTCAATTCTTTTGGCATCAAAAGTGAAATATATGTCTGTTTTCATGTTACCATATTTACAATTAATTTATACTGGTAGATATGAATAACAAATATCCAAACGTTGAGTTCAGAGATTTATTAACATTTACGATATAAAACTCTGATAAACACAACACATTCAGAGGACATGTTAAGATATTTTTTTCACTTGTCCTTTGTGGAGTTAACCTGTCATGGACAGTTGGATGGTTAGTTATTTGCAACTGTTTTACATCATGAGTCATGGGGAAAGAAACTATATTTGTACTTAAGATCCAGTATTTGTTATGATTAACATAATCTGTTTTGAGATAGATTATACATAAATGTGCTGTAGGTTGTGATTCATGCTGTCTTAGTATACATGGTCCCTAGCGTCCAGCAACTAAATGATAGGAGGGATTCTGAAATATTGTTGACATTCATTACTATGGTAATGGATATGTATTTTATTATATTTTCTTTTTATATTTTTTTTATTTTTGTAATTTAAATTTTATTTCTGAATCCCTGTTACAGTCAAGTTTGTGATTCATGCAGTCTTAGTATACATGGTCCCTAGCGTCCAGCAACTAAATGATAGGAGGGATTCTTTTATTTTTCCTTATCCTGACTCATGCTCTTTGCTTGTCTTCTTCTTCTTAAGTAACATAGTGGAACACTTGTATCTCCTTATTTGAAGCTCCCTTCAAAAATAAAATCACTAATTGGTACTTCACCACGAAGTTGCTCCCCTTTGTCCCCTGGCGGAAAAGGTGTCGCCACCCTCTGGCCATGTGCTTCACTCTCCTTCTTCGCCCAGTGAGCAGGATGAGAGAGCTTTGTGTCTCCTTACACACATATCCTTTGATAATCTCTTAGTTTTACCTCCTCATAGGTTACTATAGAGGTATAGCTAGTATCCTTTACTATTTGTATTGATTAATTATCGTATTTCTACTGTTTATTCACGGTATTCGCGGATTGTTCAGCTAGCTTTACGCTCATGAAAATCTGTAATGATTTGTAGATTACGCTTTTCTGCCTCCGATCCACATGTAATATGCCCTAGTTGTTCTACTGCGCAGCGCTTAATTCACGCTTGCAGTTACTGCATTAATTTATCTCATTCTGCATTTAATAAATATCATCTTTATGCCTTAAGACGCGGCTGCAGATAGATCACGCAAAACAAGGGCAAAACATGGCAGAGAGTCCAGATATTCCTTCCAGTCAGCTGCTAGCGATCGAATTCTCTCCCGCCTGGTGTTCTGCTAGAGACCCCGCGGCAGAGGAACGTGGGACGCAGTCCGCTACATTCGAAGAAACGACCGCCTCCCCAGACATCCCTGGCCATTGCAGACTAAGTCTAAGAGGGCCTCATCGCCGCCTCAACGCAGATTGAGGACACTCCAGGGCAGCGCAGACTTCCAAAGGGAAATTCCACGAAGACAGCAAGAACTTTCAGCCGGAGATCGCTCCAGCAGCAGAGTTGGGCCTCTACGATGATCAGCCGATAATCATCCCCTACTTTACGGCAGAAGAAGCGACCGTGTCAGCGACTGTGACTTCTGCAGAGATCTCCATGCAGCCTGATGCCTCTACACCGACGCCAGACGCCATTGATGTGAACCCCATCGCAGAAAAGACGCCGACGACTTCGGCCACAGATCATCCCAGAAGACATGATGCGGCAGATTATGAACATCATGGAGGACCACTACAAACCGCGCAAGCAGGGTCCGAAGTTTTCGCGAAGGCTCCAACGTGACAGCACCCCAGAGGCACCCCCGCCAACGTAGCAGCCAAGACGATGTCACCTTCGCTAAGCGAAGTCCCGCACCACCTTGACGAAGGACCTAGATGTACAGCTCTTCGCTAAGGCCTTCGCTGGCGAGCGGAGAGATCATCACCATCTTCGATTTCATCTCTAGATATGGACTCAGACCATCAGACATCACGGAGGCCTTCGCGAAGGTCATATCATCGATCCCTCGGACCGGACGTTAAATGAAGCTTCTCGCTAAGGCATTCGCTGAAGGACATATGATTCCAGATCCTCATCATCTAGAAGAACATCGAGGACTGCCGAAGAGCTTCGCTGGGGCTATCAACATTCACCTCACAAGTCTCGAAGATCATCCCATAGACGATCTCCACTTCGCTCATCACCAGGCCGACACCCGGCCAGATCTCCACATAGAGCGGCGACAAGTCAACTAGATCGCCACAAACCTCATGGTGGTATTCAAAGCCTTCTTTGTAAAGTTAACCTGTTCATGATCTGTTTTTACAAGACAAATTTAGTTTTGAAATGGCTTGCAAGCCTGTTTGGATGTTTACTTCAGTGTGGACTGTTTCAGAAAGAGTCAATGTGAGTATGCTCTGTGAAAGAGCCAATGAGTACAAAATATATCAACGATAAGGATGTTCTTGTATAACTCTTCTTCGTATTTTCAACACCTACAGTAACCTCTACTTTAGGGTGATAGCTTGCTGTGGGTTTCTATTTGAAACACAGAATATTGAAGGTTGAGATGTATATTCTTTTACAACTATTTTCATAATTTGTGGGGATGCAATTCTTCTGGGATATCAAAGCTTCCTAAAACATATTTATTGTCATCTTTTGTGTTTTGCATACCGCCGCCCTCGCTAGCGTATCAGGATACCGCCATGGGGAATTCATCCTCAGGACACAGGATACATACACAGCGTACACCTTCAGACTGCCCATCAGTGCTCTCTCACTCATCATCCTCATCTGTAGCTCCATCACATACCTAACAGATTACCCATATAACCATAACACCTTTCTGGGAGATATGGCAGTATATCGCCATATCTGCATGTCTCTCACGCGGGAAGATACACCTCGTAGTGGTAGACCTATAGACTGCACCTCTCCCCTGTGGAGACATACCCTTTGTACACACATGAGCATGTGACTCCGAGGGATGCACTGTAGATGTAGCTGATATGGGTCAAAATGAATACGCCAGTGATACAGAAGGATTCTGCCTAGGTCATCCTGCATGCTCGCAGAGAATGTTACTCTGTACAACATACCTGCATCTGTTGTAACTTGCTGTGCATTATGAGACTGCTGTAGTGTCTCATATGAACCAGATGATATTGGGTTGTATTTTGTATGGGTTCAGCTTTGCACCCCTCGCATTAATGGGTATCAACATTTATCATGGTTTTAAGTTGTGTTTTTGTGTGTGTGATGTGCATGATCACATAATGTACTGTCTAAGATTTTACCCTCCTTTGCATGTACAGTTGAGCATGTTGGCATGATTGCTGTCATTTCAACTTAGCATACACTGAAACAAAGGGATTATGGGTTTGTATAACGGCAGGAGGCCCCATTAGAACAGTTGTACAGTATAACATACATACTCCACATGGCAATTGTCTTTGCATATGTCATGATGTAGTGCAGCATGGAATACAAAAATATACAAACATCATTATTCACAGTATATATCTGTGTAATCATCAGTTTGAACTGTAGTCAAGGCTTCTGAATAATACATGAATATGCAACATTGTTTTCATTAACCAGAGCACCATATGCTCCACTGACTGATTGCATTATGTATACAGGCATGCATGTATTGCTACTTAACTTATAGAAATAATGATTAAACAGGTATACAAAATATAGAAGAAATGATAATAAAATGAACATAACTAAACAAATTGGTACAAGATAACTTGGAATATAGATAGACAATAAATGTATCATTGTTGAGAGTGTTACACCGAGTTACGAGACTCTAAATGTTTCAAAATGATTTCCTTAAACAATTTATTTCATCGTATTGATAGTAATGATACTGAAGAAAGTATGTCAAATTTTCCACCACCTTTCCATTATTAAGTAAATGTTATTTAATCTGATCCCAAAAACCCTTTGAGAAAAAACTTTGCTTTCAGAATTTTTGAATAGAAGCTTCTACTAGAATTGTGAAAGAAAAAAAAAATTCACTTACTATGTCACTCCTGATTCTCATATTCATGTAAAACACCTGGAATTTCTGCAATATTAAGGCAGTGTAAGGTTTATAGTAAGCAGGGCGTAGGGTATTTTAGCGGTTAAAGTATTCTCCGCCACATGCCAAGGATCCTGGTTTGATTCCACAAATGGGTACACAATGTGTGAAGCCCATTTCTAGTGTCCCCAACCCAATATTGCTGGAATATTGTTAAAACCAAACTCACACAGGCTTTGGGACTGAATTCGATAGCATGTCATTCTACCCAACTTTATGTTTGATCTTTTGCTCAGAATTTCTCTCACTGGTTTGTCTGATCTAGACTTGATTATTGACAGGTTACAGTCATATAGCTAAAGCTGCTTCCATACATTTAAAGACACATGGTCTGATATAAAATAGAGCTTGAACATTAAACCTTGGTGCAACACTGTCATAGGGTTACAGCATATTGGGTCATGTATTTCCAGGAAAGAGTAATAGGGTACCGCTGTACACAAAGTGCATCTTAATGCTAAGACTAATCGTGAACTTCCATATCTTAACATAGGCTTAAGGTCGCCTTAGCACTAAGGTTGTTTTTGTACAACGGCACCCTGAGCTTCTGGGCTACTTCTCCAGTGACAATGGCTACATGTGGAGATGTTGTTATTGTTGCACTAACCAAGCATGTAAACACATATCCACCCCAGTACTGAACACACTTAATTACTTCAAGCTGTTCTGTTGTTTGGTTCTGGCTGATTTCTTCATAAACCAACAAATTTTCACTGATATACATGTTGAATGTAAATCTGCATATAATGTCAAGAATTTCAATGCATAGATCGGACTGTTGATAAGTACATTTTATGGGATGTTTTGTTGCTCCTGGAGGATCAGGGTTAGAAGTGGTCTTCAGCAACCCATGCTTCTTGTAAGAGGCGCAGGAACAGGATTGGTTGGCCAGACAATGCATGTCAGTGTAACCCATTTGTAAATATCGATGCTCATAATGTCGCACTCACAGGGTTGCCTGGTCTTGACTCAAATTGCTGAATGGCTAGAATCATTGCTGAGTGCAGTATTGAATTAGGACACTTTGTTATATTTGTGTTAACATTGTGAGATAGAATTTAAAACATGCTACTTGACCAAATATATTGGATTGAAATATGTGGATATTATTTACAGTATGCCACCTGAAAATGTTTACTTAAGTTTACTTAAGAAGTCAGCCTAAACCTGTTTGGTAGTGCATGAATACTGCATGAAGGCATGCCCACATTCATTTCATCACTCACTCACTCCATGTGAAGTCATGGACTGAGATTACACTGTTGTGAATCATTACTAAGTCAGTAAACCAACACAGTAAGGAGAATGCTTTAAGTGTAAATGCATGATTATATTAAATTATACAACATCACAATTTGAGAAAAGCTGTAAAAGTAAGACATCATGGACATACAGGACATGGCTGCTGTGAATTGCTTCGCTGGAGACTCTAGAGTAAGGTCGGTATTTCAGGAGACGATGAGTGGAATGATTTAGATCTCCAATTGATGATGAGTTGCCGGATAATTCTGCTCGATGACTCGACTACTCCCCGCTCGCCAATCATCAAGCTGTGCTTATCTCCACACTGCATGGCAGGTAATATCTCTACGCCACCTGTTGATGTGATATACCCTTGTTATCTACCTGAATACTGCAGCATGAACTCCAAGCATATGTATACATTGGGTGAATTATTCTCTCCACTTTTAAGACTTCGTTCCAACTAGTAGACCCAGAGTCTTTCTTCTGAACTGGTTCCATTTCTCAGAACTTTGTTAATAAAATAGCCCTATACTTCAACACTCGACTCATGACAGCTCTAGGTGAGACTATCTCCTTCTGGAAGCAGGCCTCCGATATGTTTTAGAATGATCTGTACCAATTACCTGTATATGATTGTTTTATTTTTGTCAGCACTGTTTATTGGCACAGTTTCATGCAATTATAACATTTTTATCTGAGCGTATTTTGTTTATATACACTGTTTCAATATTTGTTACTAAAATATTACAAATTACATTTCCAGGTTGTGATACATTCAATTATGCATACAAAAAACAGCTTAGAATAATAATCACAAAAGAGACAATTCTTTTTCAGAGAGATCGTCCTTGGGGTACATATTATGCATTTTCCGGCTGTAAAATGTCCTGTGACAGTTGTATCAATGTTTTTTGAATAAAAAGATTGTACAATAAATAAACTCTTTTATTTATTATACGGACCCTACCTCACGGAGTTACCTCCCTTAGCGCATGCGCACCAACTGGGTAGGCTCCTAGACCCAGATCATCATTCCTTCTGCTGTCACGCCCCTGAACAGACGCTCACAGATTACCTTTCATGACAGACGGGCCAGACATTTTAAGATGTCTGAGACACCACCTGTATGTTTGGTTTTATTTGTTCTAAAACAATAACAGTAAAGCCTTTACAGTGGTTGTTTCCATAATTGTGACTTTGTATAAGTATTTCATCAAAATACGCAAACTTTCCCGTGGTTTACGCAGTGTTTGCTCTGCCATGGCGGGAAGTTTAGCGTACGCTGCTGGTCGCATTACGCGCTTTAAACCAACTATTACTCTCCGCGGGTAACCTTCACGTGCATTTTTCAATGTTTCTACGCGTTTTCTGGCTGCTGGCCACAAGTTAATCTAACATGTTTACGCGGTTTGTTTTCAGGCTTTACCTGTTGTTCGGTCTGTGGGGAAGTATTCCCCTCGGCCAGACAGTCACTCCCAATGCGGCCCGTCATATCAACATATCTTGCGGCTTAGCTCTGTAATCACCATGAGAACGGTGTCAAATTGACAAGATCTCCAGAGTTACTGGCCTTACTACGAGCTTTCGATTGGAGGACCAAAAGCGGAAGTTCCACGCCCAGCTTGGGATCTGAATGTAGTGTTACAACACCTCACGAGTGAGGTCTATGAACCCTTGGAATCGACAAACTTTGAATTTCTCTCACAGAAAACATTGTTTCTGCTATCGCTAGCCACAGCAGCAAGAATGTCTGAAATTCACGCTCTGGATTACGAGAGGATACAGTTTGATGACAATCATAACACAGCGCACCTCGGATTAAGATGGGATTTCATTGCAAAGAATCAACTGCCAGGTCAACCAGACAGATTATTCCACATCCCGGCTATCCTCTATTCTCGGATCACAAGATACACAAGACCTATCACTGTGTCCGGTAAGAGCTCAAAGTTTATTTTCTGACGATCCAAAACAAGGAGAAGATTTCTCAAACGTTTATTCATCCCATTATCGCCTCTGAATCAAACAGAAGTGTCACGGACCACAATATCTATTTGGATAAGGACTGTCATTCTCCGTGCCTACAAGGCAGCAGGCTTGGACCCACCAGCAGCATCAAATCCACATGAGATCAGGGCACTGGCCTCTACCCTGCACCCTACGGTAACTGTTCCTTGAACACGATTATGGAAGGATGCTATTGGAAATCTAACATGGTATTTGCTAATCACTACCTAAGAGACATCACTACAGAAGATGTCTCTGGCATTCACCATTCGGACCACTGGTCTCAGCTCAGCAACTGACAGTCCCTCAGAGGCGTTAAAATATTAGCCTCACAAGATTAATATGTATTTTATACATACATATTTCTAATGCCACCAGTCCTCATGTATTTCCTTGCCACATCTTATTGCAGACCTCAGGGGCAGAGTTTGTACTGCCTGGCAGTACGAGCCCCGGGAAGAGTGACAATATTTCCCCCACAAGTACACTGACCGAGGGTAAACTACCGACTGCCCTCACTTAGCATGAAATGGCTTACGTAGCAGTCTGCCTGTCGGCTGCCGTTGCCGCTGTAGCCTCAGTGCCTGCTGGCCCTGCCTCTAATACTCCATTAACTGCTGTAGGCTCATCACTTTCATCACCTCGTCAGAATCATAGCCCTGTAGTTAGATAATTATAAAACAATTTATACACTTCTTAAAGCTGAGACAATATCCTTTCTAGAGGTTTTTACATGACATTTTTGGAAGTTTATAGAAATATTTTCCGATTCACTGTCAAATTCCAATTTATTTTGATATTTTAGAAAATATTAAGTTTTTATGCAACATGTACAAAACAGATGAATGCTCTTGTAGTGCCTATTTTGTATGTTTCCATGTATTATATCTGTTTTTAAATGACAATGTCTTCAATTCCTGATGTTAAAAAGGTTCAAATTTACAAACTTGGCTAAAATACAAGCACAATCATAGATTTGGTCAAAGGAGAGATGCAATTAGAAATTATCACAAATTATTAGTAGTATAAGTGCAAGATGAGTTCAAACAATCAATTTGCATTTTGCAGTATTATTCCTGAAGTCTATAAACTTCCAAATGTATAGCTACCAATCAGGATGTCTCTAACAAGGAGTATTACAGCCATAAACCTCTTATCCTCTGAGGCTGGAACCCTGTTGATTCTGAGTGTGCTGGATAAGTGATGAGTCTGTGTGTCTTCATCTAACAAAATGCCTGAAAGGAGTCGTTCACAATAAGTGTTTCTTGCTGATTTTTGCATCAAAATGTTTCATATTCATTCGATGTATTCCATTTGCTTTAGACTGACTGACAGCAGATGTTGCACTCTGCACAGTTGTTGTTCTCTGTCTCCATCATGTCATTGCCGCTGTTGCTGTCTCGCATTCACGTTCATTTTCTCTATCTCTGTCTCTTACCCAGATGGAACTGTAGGGAAGGCAATTACTTGCCACTATCAGGGTTTATGTGGTAGATATGACAAAGAAATCAATGGTATTCAAAGCCTTCTTTGTAAAGCACCTGTTCATGATCTGTTTTTCAAGACAAATTTAGTTTTGAAATGGCTGGTAAGCCTGTTTGGATGTTTACTTCAGTGTGACTGTTTGTGAAAGAGTCAATGTGAGTGTTTGTGAAAGAGTCAATGAGTACAAAATATATTAACGATAAGGATGTTCTTGTATAAATCCCCCCTTCAGAAGCACCTACAGTAACCTCTACTTTAGGTGATAGCTTGCTGTGGGTTTCTATTTGAAACACAGAATATTGAAGGTTGAGATGTATATTCTTTACAACTATTTCATAACTTGTGTGTAGGGCAATTTTTCTGGGATATCAAAGCCTTTAAAATATATTTATTGTCATCTTTGTGTTTGAATACTGCTGCCCGTTATGTATCAGGATACTGCCATGTACCATCTCTCAGACACAGGATACATACAGCGGTACACTCCTTTCAGACTGCCCATCAGTGTGCTCTCACTATCATCCTCATCTGTAGCTCCATCACATACCTAACAGATCACTCCATATAACCATAACACCTTTCTGGGAGATATACAGTATATCGCCATATCTGCATGTCTCTCACTTGGGAAGATACACTCGTAGTGGTAGACCTATAGACTGCACCTCTCCCCTGTGGAGACATACTCCTTGTACACACATGAGCATGTGACTCGAGGGATGCACTGTAGATGTAGCTGATATGGGTCGTAATACGTCAGTGATACAGAAGGATTCTGCCTAGGTCATCCTGCATGTCGCAGAGAATGTTACTCTGTACAACATACCTGCATCTGTTGTAACTTGTTGCATTATGAGACTGCTGTAGTGTCTCATATGAACCAGATGATATTGGGTTGTATTTTGTATGGGTTCAGCTTTTTGCACTCCGGTATTAATGGGTATCAACATTTATCATGGTTTTAAGTTGTGTTTTGTGTGTGTGATGTGCATGATCACATAATGTACTGTCTAAGATTTACCTCCTTTGCATGTACAGTTGAGCATGTTGGCATGATTGCTGTCATTTCAACTTAGCATACACTGAAACAGTGATTATGGGTTTGTATAACGGTGGTGAGGCCCCAATAGGAACAGTTGTACAGTATAACATACATACTCCACATGGTAATTGTCTTTGCATATGTCATGATGTAGTGCAGCATGGAATACAAAATATACAAACATCATTATTCACAGTATATATCTGTGTAATCATCAGTTTGAACTGTAGTCAAGGCTTCTGAATAATACATGAATATGCAACATTGTTTTCATTAACCAGTGCACCATATGCTCCACTGACTGATTGCATTATGTATACAGGCATGCATGTATTGCTACTAACTTATAGAAATAATGATTAAACAGGTATACAAAATATAGAAGAAATGATAATAAAATGAACATAACGAAACAAATTGGTACAAGATAACTTGGAATATAGATAGACAATAAATGTATCATTGTTGAGAGTGTTGCACTGAGCATGACTTCTAAATGTTTCAAAATGATTTCCTTAAACAATTTATTTCATCGTATTGATAGTAATGATACTGAAGAAAGTATGTCAAATTTTCCACCACCTTTCCATTATTAAGTAAATGTTATTTAATCTGATCCCAAAACCCTTGAGAAAAAACTTTGCTTTCAGAATTTTTGAATAGAAGCTTCTACTAGAATTGTGAAAGAAATAAAAAAATTGGCTGATTATGTCACTCCTGATTCTCATATTCATGTAAAACACCTGGAATTTCTGCAATATTAAGGCAGTGTAAGGTTTATAGTAAGCAGGGGCGGTAGGGTAGCCTAGTGGTTAAAGTATTCGCTCGTCATGCCAAGGATCCTGGTTTGATTCCACAAATGGGTACAATGTGTGAAGCCCATTTCTGGTGTCCCCAACCTTAATATTGCTGGAATATTGTTAAAACCAAACTCACACAGGCTTTGGGACTGAATTGATAGTATGTCATTCTACCCAACTTTATGTTTGATCTTTGCTCAGAATTTCTCTCACTGGTTTGTCTGATCTAGACTTGATTATTGACAGGTTACAGTCATATAGCTGGGGGCGGCTTCATACATTTAAAGACACATGGTCTGATATAAAATAGAGCTTGAACATTAAACCTTGGTGCAACACTGTCATAGGGTTACAGCATATTGGGTCATGTATTTCCAGGGTTAAGTACCAGGGTACCGTTGTACAAAGCGATCTTAACGCTAAGACGACCGTAACTTCCATATCTTAACATAGGCTTAAGGTCGTCTTAGCACTAAGGTTGTTTTGTACAACGGCACCCTGAGCTTCTGGGCTACTTCTCCAGTGACAATGGCTACATGTGGAGATGTTGTTATTGTTGCACTAACCAAGCATGTAAACACATATCCACCCCAGTACTGAACACACTTAATTACTTCAAGCTGTTCTGTTGTTTGGTTCTGGCTGATTTCTTCATAAACCAACAAATTTTCACTGATATACATGTTGAATGTAAATCTGCATATAATGTCAAGAATTTCACGATAGATCGGACTGTTGATAAGTACATTTTATGGGATGTTTTGTTGCTCCTGGAGGATCAGGGTTAGAAGTGGTCTTCAGCAACCCATGCTTCTTGTAAGAGGCGAGGAACAGGATTGGTTGGCCAGACAATGCATGTCAGTGTAACCCATTTGTAAATATCGATGCTCATAATGTCGACCACAGGGTTGCCTGGTCTTGACTCAAATTGCTGAATGGCTAGAATCATTGCTGAGTGCAGTATTGAACAGGACACTTTGTTATATTTGTGTTAACATTGTGAGATAGAATTTAAAACATGCTACTTGACCAAATATATTGGATTGAAATATGTGGGATATTATTTACAGTATGCCACCTGAAAATGTTTACTTAAGTTTACGAAGAAGTCAGCCTAAACCTGTTTGGTAGTGCATGAATACTGCATGAAGGCATGCCCACATTCACTCACTCACTCACTCCATGTGAAGTCATGGACTGAGATTAATTGTTGTGAATCATTACTAAGTCAGTAAACCAACACAGTAAGGTGAATGCTTTAAGTGTAAATGCATGATTATATTAAATTATACAACATCACAATTTGAGAAAAGCTGTAAAAGTAAGACATCATGGACATACAGGACATGGCGTGCTGTGAATTGGCTTCGTTGAGACTCTAGAGTAAGGTCGGTATTTCAGGAGACGATGAGTGGAATGATTTAGATCTCCAATTGGATGATGAGTTGCCGGATAATTTGCTTCCGGATGACTCGACTACTCCCGGCTCGGCCAATCATCAAGCTGTGCTTACTCCACACTGCATGGCAGGTAATATCTACGCCACCTGTTGATGTGATATACCCTTGTTATCTACCTGAATACAGCAGCATGAACTCCAAGCATATGTATAAGACAGAATTATTCTCCACTTTAAGACTTCATCCCAATTAGTAGACCTACAGTCTTTCTTCTGAACTGGTTCCATTTCTCAGAACTTTGTTAACAACAGCTCCCATACTTCAACACTGACTCATGACAGTCGTAGTGAGACTATCTCCTTCTGAAGCAGGCCTGATATGTTTGAATGATCTGTAATAATTACCTGTATATGATTGTTTTATTTTTGTCAGCACTGTTTATTGGCACAGTTTCATGCAATTATAACATTTTTATCTGAGCGTATTTTGTTTATATGCACTGTTTCAATATTTGTTGCTAAAATACTACAAATTACATTTCCAGGTTGTGATACATTCAATTCAGCATACAAAAAAACAGCTTAGAATAATAATCACAAAAGAGACAAATATATCATATATTGTCAGATTATGTTTCTGAATGGGCAAATGAGGTGTTTGGTTCAGGTGTGTTAATTGGCTGTCCATCTCCCAACAGAGTGGTGCAGTCATGAGAGTTGTCTGCCCTTTATTGAGGTGGAGGAGAGTGAGATGGCATATACTTGTTTAGTTAGCAGCACCACCGTGCGTAAGTGGCCTTCAGCTGGTGTTGTGTTGCCTTGGCTGCATCACCTTCCCCACCCCTCCTGTACACTGCTGGAAAACTTTAACCCAACCTTGTACTCACAGTTGTTTACCTCCAGAGAAAGTAGATTCACACTCTCCAGAATCAGTTGGTGCTTGACTAAGATGGATTTATAGATTCAGCTCATCGAAATAACTCCGTTTTTGTCTGGTGTCTCAACTTTTATGCCAGGCTTGTCTCAATTTCATACCGAACACTAACAATGATGGTTGATTTCAGACAGCTTAGTCCTGCATTAGTGTTGAAGTGTAATCCTATATACATGTAATACCATCTCAGGTATGTTAGAAATGAAAGTGCACAAAGAAACAATGACTATGCAATACTAAATCTATCTCGAAGTTGAACCTTTTGAGCTTTTTCCTTAACTTATGTTTAGAATATGCTAATAATGTCTGATAGTTTAAGCAAAACAAATTCAATGCTTTATTAGCCCTGTTTGAGCCTAAGACACTGATGGGTGATAGTTTACCAGCAACACAATGACAGTGATTCCATGCTCACATCAGGTGCCCAACATTGTGAAGCCATGCACTCTTCACTTGCAAAGAATCCATGTCTGTTCAAGCAAGGCTTTGCTTTCAAGGTTTCCACTTTTTGAAGCAACCGTTCACTTACAAGATGCCCACTTTTTTAAGCAACCCTCCACTCACAAAATATCATTTTTTTAAGCAACCCTTTACTTACAAGATGTCCACTTTTAGAAGCCACCCATTACTTACAAGGTGTCAACTTGTTTAAGCAACCCTCCACTTACACGGTGTCATCTTATTTTAAGCAACCCTTTACTTACAAGATGTCCACTTTTTGAAGCCACCCTTTACTTACAAGATGTCTAGTACCAAACCACATTAACACAATTTTTGTTTTCAGAATGTTGTGCAGTGAATTTGACAGTTTGCATTTCAGATTTGAAGATGCAATGAAACTCATGGCCTTGGACTGTACAGACATTAGTTTTGATACAAACTAACAAAACTACAGACATCTGCGGGAATGATGAATGTTTTAGTGTTTTCAACATTCATGTGAATATGTCAGAGGAGCCTGTTATTCTTTGCTTACTGACTGGGGGTCATCTTATGCATTGCACTTAGTAATCTAGTTTCTCTTCTTGATCAGGTAGTCAATCATATCATATTTTAGATCTCCCTATTTTGATATGCTATTTCTTACTTGGTATCAAGATGGCTTTTATCTGAGCAAGGATAGACAGTTTAGCGTTCAGATTTGTCTCCTTATTCCAAAAGCGGTGATGTGCTCAGTTGGATAACAAAACTCCTGACCATGTTAGGTCTGTGTGGATGTACTTCCTTTAAGACAAATTGTTATTAGCCTAAAACCCTGGTTTTGAATAGTTATAGAGTGTATTCCAAGTTGCCTGGATACTTTCAAGATGATGAAGACTGTTAGCTTCAGCTGTTGTTTGGTCAGACTGGGACATACATCCAACAGTGACATGAACGATATGGGTGTTAAGCCCTTAAAGTTAGAAGAATGTGACGGCCTCTTCATTGAAATCGAAGATGGTAACTTGCTGAAATGCAATAGAGTAGTTGATTTGTGGTATTTAGAACTATGTACTCTGTTTCAGCCCTCCAGTTCCCCCACTTTCCCTATTGACAGGTAACAGTGTGTAGATATAACTTTTATCTACCTACCACGGTGACAGGGTTTTACGTATGTCATATATACCAGGTTGTAGTGGTTGATGAGGCTCACCCTGTGACAGTCACAATGGTGCAAATCATGTGCAGTGAGACTTTCATAGATTCATCAACATGCATGCATGCACTCACTTGCAGGGGAGGGAGGTATCTGAAATAATATCAGGCACTGTGTGCCTCGACAATTCTTTTGTGTTTACTGTATTTAATCTTTGAATTTTTTTAGTCTTTTATACAACAAATCAGGACATGAAATACTCGTCATTTGGTTTCTCCTGTGAAGGTCCGGGTTAGAATTAATCTCTTGCAGCCCATGCTTGCAAGAAGCCTCATAGGGATAGGGTGGTGAATAAAATTCATTTCTGTGACTAAACATGTCATTATTATTTTTTTTTCTTTGGGGTGGAATTTATTAGGGGTGGATTTTGTCTGGGGTGGCAATTTTGGGGTAGATTTTGTCCAGGTGGATTTTGTCGGGTCATTTATCCAGGACAAAATCCACCCGACAAAATCAACCCCAAATTGCAACCTAGGACAAAATCCACCCGGACAAAATCCACCCCTAATAAATTCCACCCTAAGAAAAAATAATAATAATGACATGTTTAGTCACAGAAATGAATTTTATTCATATCAGTCATTCATAATCGATAACAAAAACAACCAAAATACATATGTAAGCACATTTTTGCATATATAAATATGACAATTGCACATTTTCACATTTCACATTTATGAATCATTCATGCATCAATACATATATAAATATGACAACAGCATATATTTTCACACATTCAGACATATCTATGACTAAACATCTTGCCACATTTCAACAACGCAAACAACGGCCGACGCCGTGGAGAAAGTCCTTGAGTGTCTTTTCCTTCGCTGCGTAGGTCTTGCACAGACCTTCAAGGCGTTCTTGGAGGCGTTTGGTGGTTGTTCTGGTTCTTTTTCTTTTATGAAATGATCAAAGTGTGAGACTACTTAATGATACATGAAAGAGGATTAAGTAGTGATCAAAATGTGACAAATGGAGAAACCTTTAATGTTTGAAACAACATCTAGGAACAACAGCCAATTAGGAAAACGTAAATGCTATCAAAACAATGCTTGCAATGCTTGAGAAAAACAACTTGATCAAAGATCAGGACACACTAAAACTTTTAACAATAGCAGTTGGAGGAGGGTGGATTTTGTCCATTTTTTTGTTAAGAAGAGGTGGATTTTGTCCGGGTGGATTTTGTCCGGTCACCGAGTCTCACTGACCTGGACAAAACCAGCTGCAAAGATCAAAACTAATGTCAATTACTGGATTGTCTGGTTGTCATGGTTTTACCTTTGTCATAGGGCTTGAATAATGCTGAATGCTAGAACAAACATAATATAATTTAAACTTTGGTTGTAAGAAACATGAAAAACTAGACCTTGTATGGCTGATATTTTTGGCAACCAGCCCAAATAAATCGACAGATTTCTGTAGATTTATGTGTGTAGACTTAATAAGCTGACCTCACTAGACAGGACGTTTTTAGAAGACTAAGTGGCCTTCACCTTGTTATTTTATGCAATAATGCTGTGGAAATAGGTATCGTGATACGTATCGATTCATGAAACTTATGTATCGTGACATCCCTACATATCTGTATTTTCTGTAATATGGTCACCTAGACATTTGACAAAGAAAGGAGAGGGGGAAAGGATACTGAAATTATTCACTTGTTGACTTGTTTCAAGAGATTCAGCAAATGGGAACAAAATATTCTGAAACTTTTATCAGTAATAGTTGCTATACAAGCCCCCACCTCTGTAATATACACAGCAAAGTATGGGCATTTACGTTTTCAGTCTTTGAATATGAAAATTACATCCAGACCGGTCTAAAAGTTGGTCAGGGCTGCTGGAACAGGATGCTTAATACAGCAACTATGGTAACTGTAAAGTGTTAGGAAAAGGAAATAATTGTATCCTCACATTTCATAACAGATTAGCTTTGTAAAGTAGCATATTGATGTAAGTATAGTGGAATAGAAGCATTTGCAAATATCACAGCTATATCCGGTAGTACTAAACTTTGCTAAATGTACTCATTTCCAGGAAGTGCAGGATGACAGGTCGTCAGCACCCCAGCACGTGATTACAGTATGTCACCTGTCTGATCATGTATCAGCCTGCCCCAACATTGTGGATCGTTGCCACTGCTGTCAGTGACGATCCAAGACTAATTATTCACTGGATGCTGTGACATAGCTGGAATATTGCTGACTGTGTCATCACTCACTTACAAATACACACAGGAAACACAGATTTCACTAACATTGCACAGTGATTTGCACCCAGTCACACAAGTACTGCATTGTGGATCTTTCAGGAGTCCAGTTTGGACCGTTGTGATGGTGATGTTTATAGGGTTGGTGCATGCGACAGGTCAAGGGTCAGCCAGGACAGACTAGCAGCTTCGTTCACTTATTTCTAGGTGGCTTAGGACTGCTCGTAACTACAAATTGTAGGCTACCAAATTGTAGGGTACCAAGTGGAGGCCATGGGAAAATTAGTTTTATGAAACAAAATGTCATTGGTAAAGTTGTGTATATATTTTTGCGGAGTAAGTAACCAAGGTTGAGAATTTCTGCAAATTTCAATGTGCATATTTTTGTGATACATGCCATCATTACAGTGTTCACATAAATCAATTAGACCCCCAGGCTCTTGGCTGACTTAATGTGGGTTTTTTCTTCATTTTCCACCATTTTCATCTTTGGTATCATTGGGGCAGTCTGGCTGACATGTTGAGATATGACATTGGTAGGAACAGCTCCCCACAGATAGAAATAAGTGAATGAAAAAGCTACCTGTCCAATACTCAGTCTGCACAGACAGTCTGAGAAGTGCATGTTTTGTTGGTTATTATCCTGGTTTTGCAAAACAGTTGTCTGACTGCTTGTTTTGCAGTGTAGATTAATACATTGTGCTTCATACATCTGGCAGGCTTTGCTTCCTGATGGTAATCAATGTTGAGCCTTTGTGTGTGAGTTACCCAACTGGCATACTTGTTTCATGATGTCATTCATTATGCATGTCTTGCCTTCTGTTTCAGGATTTCATATGCTTTTATGTGTTTATTGCCATCAGAAAATAAGGTTTGTGTAGGTGATGAACATAACAGATGCTTAATTCATGGTGGTGTACATCAGCTGATTGCCTTATAACCTTCATCTGGCAGTAGTGCATACATTTATGATTTTAGTCCTTTCTTTATCATCTTTTTTGGAAGATGGATAGAGTGTCGATAGATATAAGATTCTAACAAATTTGAGCGAGTGATTATTCCTTAATACCACATCAGCAATCCAGCTGATATTTGTGGCACATTTTGTTCCCTATTTTTATATCATTGATGTATTTCTGTTCATAATATTATCAGTATAAATTACATTTGTTGTACTTTATCGATTTGAGACACCATTCAAAAGTTATTAAAGAAGAAATAATTGTCTTGGTCAGACGATTCATGTTAATGGACTTTGATATTAATGACCTTTTAATGACCAGTTAAGTGACAGTAGTCATGGTTACATGGTGTTTATTACTTATTGTTTCAGGGCAAGAAGTAGCGAAAGTGAGTCAGAGCAGCAGTACTTCCAGACCCGCCTCTAGTCCAACAACATCCCCGCCTCGCCCGACCACGCCTGATCCCCAGTCCACTGCAGCACTTGCGTCTAGTCCAGCCCTCACCAAGAGATCATCCGTCCATGAGCCCAAGCCTAAGCCCACTCTCAGTCTGATAGCCTGTGGAGATGTTGACCCATCTGTAAAGCTGGGCAGTGAACACTATGCCTTCTTGCCACCTAGTCCTATCAAAGTTGTAATCACAGAGGTTGGAGATTCTGATGATGCCCACACAGAAGAAATCCAGGTTCGAGCTCCGAAGAAAGTTGTTCCCCCAGAGACATCACCAATGCCTGCCCCGGCTGCTGTGTCTACAACCAGGTCGCCACCTCGTCAGGGCTCTCCACCAAAGAGGGTTACTCGTTCAGGGTCAGGGTCTCTAACTAAGTCAGATAGTCATCATAGGTCCTCAGGTACTTCTGGAACTACTTTACCCAGCCTGACCTCGAAACCTGAATCTCGACGATATGCATCTCAAACAGGGAGCTCTCCCAGGAAGGGTTCCACGGGATCGAGTCACCCTGTCCGAACATCTGTCACCACCGTGCCAACATCCTCCAGGGTCTGTCTCAGTCGATCTATGACTGCTGGAGCTCCTGCCTCTGCTCCTAGAAGGTTGGCGACCTCCAGCTCCATGACCTCAAGGTCACACACAAGCAGTTCCCTTTCAAAGTCATCTGCTCCTGTAAGACGAAGCCTGGAACTGACATCTTCCCCGTCTCGACAGATGCCGACGACAAGTGTAGGATCATTACATTCTCGTCAGCGTCACTCGTCGGGGAGTGATGGTATCAACAGGTCTCCGCCTAAATCAGTAGAACGGAAGAACAGCGGCAGTTCAGCATCAAGTGGTTCCGGAAGGAGAAGTCACGACAGTTGTCATAAAAACCATCCAACTTCTGGATCCGTTTCCGAGACAAACGTCACTTCCTCCACATCTTCCACAACCTCCTGCACCAAGATCAGTCAGGACAGAACACCCCGATTTGTTTAATACTCTTAGATATATCAAAATCTAGTGCTTAGCCATTGCTAGTGTTGTGTCATATTGTTTGTGAAAATTGTGAACAGTGTTTATTTAGCTGAAAGCATTGCAATCACCTTTTGTCAGGTGACCCCCACAGGTTGAGGCTGAATCCTGGAAGTATTGACTGTTTTTAACTTTTTTGATTTATGTCCAAATTGAGTTGATTTGGATACATTTGTTGTATAGTTTGAAATGTACATGTATTTGTTCTTGTTATTGTAGATATATCACTAATCATAGGCACATGGAACTTATCCATCGCTGATATTTATTTATGCAATCAAAGCTTATTTTTCATACCAGGCATGTACTTTTTGCGAATGGCATAGATCTTAAATTGTAAGATTCTTTGCTACTATTTGCTGAAAGTGCCGGACTTCAGTAGCTGTAGGAGACATGTGTTTGAACAAAGTGCGTAGTTGTGATGTAGAGTACAGCAGTGTCTTGATGACAGGGGACAGGAATCATGTTAGTGCTATTTACATGTTAAATTGATACTTTCTGCGCCACCCATGTTGCTGAATATATATTTCATTTAATACCGTATTTTACCTAATGAGCGCTTTATGTCTTATTGGTTATCTATATAGCAATTATGGTGAGATTTGATCATGTCTATGGAGTAATCAGCATATGCACCATTTGCTGCTGAAACTTTGTGGTATATGAGAAAATTCATGTTTCGGTTGTTTTAACTGCACATTCATTTGAAAAGTATGGGGAATGGGGCAACCTCTTCAGGCTTTTGCCCATACTGATGAAAACTCAGTGATGGTATGTGAAGCTTATTGGTGTATTCTTGAAAAGAGGTGTAACATTTTCTCAATCTGTAAAGGTGAAACTGCACATGTTGACCATTATTGATATTATAAGTTTTACTTGGGGTACTTTGCTATGTTAATATGTCCTGGCTTCTTATCGAGTGGAATATGGTAGGTAATTATTACTCGCGTTAAATACAAATATGATTTTAAAACTTTAAAATGTCTTTTTCTAATGACACTGTTGCTATGACATATGGGCTCATAATTGTCTTTAAATAACCTCCCAAAGTTTTGTTAACAGTAGATCAAACATTGTGTGTTCGATTGAAGCTTTAAGACACAGCTCTGCTCAAATATAAGGTATATGCTGGATGCAGAAATAGTGCCACTGAAACATATCGTGTGCATGTTTCTAGAGGAAACCATTGTAGGTCAGTTGTATAGAAGGTTTTGGTGATAGCATTCATCATGAAATTGAAAGTTTTGTTTAAGTTTGAGATTTGGGATGGGAAAGGTGTCGTGGAGCTACATTCTCATTATAGTAAGTTAGGAATAAGACACTTGCTGTGTTTATCTAAGACAGTGCAATGGTATTATACATTTGACTGAGGAGCGTGTCTATAGTGCTGATGTTCAGCATGTGCCTGCACCCTCAAGACTGCTGACTCTCTCCAGCAGGTGCCCCCTTCCTCAGATCACTGACATACTCTAGCAGGTGCCCCATCCATCAGAATTGTGGTAGTCCATGCAGGTCCCCCATTCTTGAGTTGTGATACTCCAGCAAGTGGCTCATCCCTCAGCGTAGTGAGATGCTCGAAGCAGGTGCCCCATTCCTCACAGTGGTGACATGCTCCGTGCAGGAGCTCCTCCCTCAATCAGCATTCTTGGATTAAAGACTGCATATGCATAGGAATAGAATAGAAAATGCATGGCAAGTCAATAAACAGAAGTCATACCTGAAATGTGATATGGTTTTGTCTTCCAATAGCCTAGATGGGATATTATGCCATTGTGTGATATTATGAAATAGAAGAGATTTATTATGCCATTGCACCAGTTTGATATTACTTTGCTGAACTGTGGTAGAGGCCTTGTGTAGATAAATGTTGGTGATGAGAAGCATGGCGCTTTTCATCAAGACTCTCCACATGCAATCCACCATGTCTTGTTTTGTAGAGGGTAATTATTACACAGCATATATAGAATATATGATACTTGCATGGCCACATACTTAACAGACCTGCATTGGCATCACTCCAGGACTGATTACGTCCAGTTGTTGGGTAGGATTCAGTAGCTGTATGTATCCATCTACATCTGCATACATTTCCATACAGCCACCATGTTATATATCCAATGCTGATTGGACATAATGCTCACAGTGCCAATGCTATTTCAAATACTTAAAGTAGTGCATATAGTCTGTATACTACAGGAAGCAGGCCATTATCACAATGTTCATGTTCAATTGTTTGACAGTTGTAATTCCTAATGTGTTATTCTTATCATGTAGAAGCTTACGTTTTGGTATTTTATATACAATTTGGCTAATGATGTATGCATGTTATTAAATTGTTCATATATTATGAATTTGTATATCGATTTTTTTTAAACACTAACCCCATCACATTTTCCTGTAAGTAGTTAAAAGGGTGCTTTCATTAAATTCATTGTGCATATTGATAAGTTCATGAAATATTACAATTAACTGGTACAGTTTTAAATGGGTCGTATCGTATGGAACAGTTTCCTGAGGGTTTCCTCACTTTGATGTTGAGTACTGAGATATTTTTGTATGTAGTAGACTGCCTTAGACACTTATACTTTATAGTCTTGTGGGAAGTGGATGGCCCTCCTTTCTTATGTCAGTAGAGAAATATCCCCTCCTAGTCTTGCCCTGGAAGACTAGTTTCTTCATTTTGTTTATCGAGGTGATAGAACTATACACCTGGAATAAAGTTAAGCACCATGCCTTCTTTATTGTTACATATCCTAATCTTCCATGTACCATTTGAAGTGAATGAGTAAGGCTTTAGCAATATACTGGCAATATCACATCAGTGAAGGGAAAACAAAAAACACTAATTCCTGCGTAAGTATTGGTACAAGAGCACTGTGTGATTCTCCAGATGGTCACAAGCACTGAGTCACATCTTATATACTAGGAAGCAGAAATGAAAGTTGTAGGCAAATAACTTTTGTAAGGAACAGTTACAAGACATAAGAGAATCAATTTGAGTATTTCAGCATGAGTAGTTTCTTTTTAATAAATATAAATATATTTTATGGTTGTTTTGGGAACAAATATATGGTAGGTGGTGCTTATCTTTCGTCCAGGTGTCTGTATATTTATTTGTTGCTTTCTGTGATAGATTCTGATGTGGAAGTTATAGATTCTTTACTGATATTGTTAGTGAAACAGTGAATCCAGTTCTCATGTTCTAACACAATTTTACCTTCAAAATAAATTTTCAGTCAATCTCTGCTGACATTTTTAAGGGTTCAATAAGAGAGACACAGTGTTTGGTGTCATTGTTGACATTTTAGTCCATCTGAAGTTAATTCATGAAGCAGTTATAAAGGGCATCTATGAGGTGACCACAAATCAAGCTTTCATCCCATGATGGATTGGGGCATTTTTGCTGTTTTCAGATTTGTGGTTACTTTGCTCTAAACAAGCTACTTTGTTTCTTAAGTAAATGTTGCTACAAGATCTGCAAGTTTACACCATGGAAAGATTTTGTTCACAACAACACTTTATGAAATGTTGACCAACCATGACATCCTGTGTTGCTTCCTTAGGATCTTGATTTTTGTGTGCTGATGTAAACTGTGTTAGTTCCAAAAAAATGTAGTAGAACACATGTAACTGGAAGCTAAGAAAAACAACAACTATAATTTTACTGAAACAAATTTGTATTGGTTGCTATGAATATTCATTAGTATACTACTCAAAAGCAGTTAAGGATGTCTGATCTTTTCAGATGATGGTAGTTTTTCTGTTACTGTCGATGGTAGTCATCTGTTACTGTCGATGGTAGTCATCTGTTACTGTCGATGGTAGTCATCTGTTACTGTCGATGTTACTGTCGATGGTAGTCATCTGTTACTGTCGATGGTAGTCATCTGTTCTGTTAGTCATCTGTCGATGGTAGTCATCTGTTACTGTCGATGTTACTGTCGATGGTAGTCATCTGTTACTGTCGATGGTAGTCATCTGTTACTGTCGATGGTAGTCATCTGTTACTGTCGATGGTAGTCATCTGTTACTGTCGATGGTAGTCATCATCGATGGTTCATCTGTCGATGGTAGTCATCTGTTACTGTCGATGGTAGTCATCTGTTACTGTCGATGGTAGTCATCTGTTACTGTCGATGGTAGTCATCTGTTACTGTCGATGGTAGTCATCTGTTACTGTTGATGGTAGTCATCTGTTACTGTCGATGGTAGTCATCTGTTACTGTTGATGGTAGTCATCTGTTACTGTCGGTGGATGTTGCAAAACACAGATTACATTTCTGCAAAAGCATTTTGTCATAATTTATGTGTGTTTTGTCTGTGACATGTTGTCACAAAAGAATTATGATTCACACAAGAGTTGAAATTTATTTTTATTAAGTCTGATAATAACGTAAGGATCGTGTTATGAAATGTTCAAAATTATGTAGACATTTAGCATGTAAAACTTAGAGGTTAATGTTGTCATTATGTAGTAGGTTTACATGGTATGTGTGACTTGGTTAGAACCAAGAAAAAGATCCATGCATAAAAAAAGATTGTAAATGAACATGATTAATTTTTAGGGAAAATTGTCAAAAGGATAAGATGTTAATATATTTGGAATACTTTGAAAAATACATAATATGAAATGATGATGATAATATAACTTAATATGTGAATTTCCTAAGAGGTCTCATGTAACATTACGTGTGATTGGTCATTTGGGATAACCAATCATAGACATGGATAGATGATTGTAAATAATTGTTGTCAACAAACTGGCATGATAAAGTGGCAATAAAATGGACTTCAGCACGAAACAAGCCACCACTAGTGCAGCACTAGTCCTCTGTGTCCTGTAGTGAATATTCCAGTGCAGCACTAGTCCTCTGTGTCCTGTAGTGAATATTCCAGTGGTTCAGCTTGACTGTTTCCATTCAAGTAGGTTCTGGTTATACATTCCTTCCCACTAGGGTGAAGACCCACCTTCAGTACAATAACTAGTTGAGAATCAGTGTAAACCTGGTTATAGGAAATAGATGTTATCTATCTCTCTTCTTCTGCTTTGTTCAGTATTACACTCCTGTTAAATAATGAATCAGTTATATGTACATTTGCATTTATTGGCAAGTAGTGTGAACAAGTGTGTCGATGCATGGACAATCATATGCTGCAGCAGGTCTCCCCATTCTGATTCTCTCCGTTTGGGGGAGATGATGAAACTATAGATGTTGTACAAGAAACACCAACAGCATTCATTTCAGTATAACTTTAATTTACACTCTGTAATGAGGGATGTTTTTTAAATTATTTTTTAGACTGGAAAGTGACATAATTTTATAATGTTAGTAAGGTACAGGGTTCGATGGTGTATTTTGATACTCATTTTCTCAGTTCAGTGGTTCAACATTTGTGATGAAGGTTATATTGTTAAGCACAGTAAGGACAATGTGTAGCATAAGATGTGTGAGTCACACAACTGATCCATGATATTTGGACATCCTGCCTTATTTCAAATATTGTATGAATTTCATGTAACGCTCGGGATCGTTTAGAAGTTACTGTAACTAGTATAGTCTCCCAGAGATGCCAACCTCTACGATTTTATCGTAGTCGCTATGAATTTTAACCTCAAACTACGCCAATACGATTGCACTAGAAGTTCTATGAAATTTGAAGAAACTTCATTAAAATGTGGATATATAGACAGAAACATATATTTTCGTTGATTAAATGCATTTTCGCCAAAAAGAGACAAGAAGAAATGTAATGCTGTTACTAGTAATTTGGAAATCTGTGTTTGGAGGTAATGTGAAATTAAAGCTTCACTCTTGATTAGTGTCATATTATCTTTCTCAGAATCCATTATGATTTTATGTATTTAGTTGACTACTAATTTTATGGTCAAACTTCTAATGTTGATCCTTGAAACTACTATTTGCAACACTTTGGGCTTGGCATCTCTGGTTTCCAAAACATATTCCATGGAAGTAAGTGGCTGTGCTTGCTGTGGATTTTAACCACAGAAACTTTCCCTCCCAAGAAGTTTTTCTCACAGATTAAGAATGTGTTTAAACTCTAACCCAAGCTGTTTTGGAAATTAATTCCCCAATGTATGTGAATATTAATTTTAGATTGATTTTTCTTTCAAATGTGTATGTTGTTGAAGTTACCGGTATTGCAAGATGCTGTATGTCCATCATTGCGGGTTATATTGGCAAGTCCCAAGTCTTTTTACAACTATTACAAGTATACTATATATTATATATAACTGTTAGCAGGACCTGTGTATGTCCAGCAAGGTCAGGAGGGGTACAAACTCTGGTGTATATCTACTTAATGGAACCTGTATACAGCATTCAAGTTTACTTTTATTTTTTCATATTTATGCCTTTGCATTTCTGTACTTGTTTTCATGAACATTTTCTCTTACGTGTGGAAAGAAAATTCTGTTATGCTACACCTAAAATTAACAAGTTGTGTCCTTAAGTGATGCGTGGCAAAGAATATTATGACTCTTTCATCAAAACCTAATGCTTTTTGTCAGGAAGGGAAAGTGTGCTTTAACAATTTGTTTCTTGGTTATCTTGAGAAGAAAATCAACAACCATGTGGACTGTTAATGTGCTTGATCCTAGTTACATACATTGTCTCAATCAGGCATTACTTAGTGACAGATTTCATTGGGTCATGTTGAGATGTATATTCAAAGATAAAGTTTCTTTCTTCAGATCATTTATTGGCAAAGGAGGAAATTGACTGATATCAATTCAAGAGATTGTCAAATCTTTCATCTTTAGAAACCAGCCTAAGAAGATGTGAGTCTGAGTTCACAGCTGCAATTTTTCTAGTAAATAACCATTATTAATTTGAAAGTATTTAGTTCGCACTCCTGCCTTAAGTGTTTTTATTCAGTGTTTGCTTAATTTTGGATAATCATAACCAAGTTTTGAGAAAATCCATGACAACCTTCGAACGTAATCAGTATTGAGAGAATGTAGGTTTATAACGGTTGAGTAGCTCTTACTAGAAAGTTCCATGAGAACTATTTTCTCATAGATTCATCCATCCCATTCTAGTGTTGTGATCTGGCTTGTAGACCTTAATGTGTTTTTTACTGTCTTTGTCCTAGCTGTTACAATTATTGTGAAAATTCTAGTCAGTTTTTTTTCCTCGGGTCACATGACCCACCCAGTATCCACTTTTTCAACCATATCTATTATTTTACCAAGGTGTTATGCTATATATGAGCAATACTTGTATTTGTCTTTTCTGCTATACCAGCAAGGTATTCTGTACTGAGATGCTGTATTGAGCATACTAACATTTTGTATATAATAAACATACAAATATATATTAAGTACTGACCATTGTGTTTGTCATCTATATTTGGTTATGCAAATAGGATCCTTGGTGTGTACAGAGAGTAAGGTTGGGTTTTTCATCCCTCGATGTATCACACCAAAAGATGTTGGCGCAAGGATTTAATCAAGGACTGGTCGGCTCAGAGACCACAATCTGTATCAAGCACTATAAGAGTGGTATGCAGAGTTGTGGCCCTTAGTGGCTTGGATCTGCTGGTCATCAAATAATTGTTTGTTGAAATTAGGAGATGACCAGAAATTTCATCTGGAACCGATGACTTTCTTAACTTTGTCAAAAACAAATTATCAGGGCTTTTTCTTTCTTCTGATCTCTCTCTACATGAACTCCCCCAGTTAGACATCACAGTCCACCCCTCCCCATCCCAAAGGAATTGTTTTATAGCCAGTATTGATCAAACTAAAAATATTTTATCAGTGTAATATCCATTTGGCCAAGTTTTGATTGAATGTTGTTGTTTTTTGTAACATAAGGAAACTTTCATGCACAGCGTAATTTGTGTGGGAGATTTCCAGGTTTCAATTGCTATGTAAACAGTTTATTAACCAGTCTAACTTGCAACAGACACCATGTACTCTGGTCTTACTCTCAGCTGACACACTTTCATATCTCCAGTTCAACAGGGTGGGTGGTCCGACACGCTGCCTTGGTTGATGCATATCACTGTATCCCAACTGGTGAGAGTGAAACTCATATCAATCACTGGATTGCCTGGTCCATGCTCAGATATTTGCAGATGACCATTATAATGAGTTTAGTTTTACGCCACATTCAGCAATATTCCAGCTATATGGCGGTGGTCTGTAAATAATCGGGTCAGGACAAGACATTCCAAGGATCAACAGCATGAACATCGATCTACACAGTTGGGATATGATGACATGTGTCAACCCAATCAGTGAGCCTGACCACCCGATCCTGTTAGTCACCTCTTACAACAAGCATGGGTTACTGAAGATCATTTATAACCAGATCTTCACAGGTATATTGTGGCGTGTGCTGTCAAACAATGAACAAACAGCAGTACACATAGTAAGAAATTTACAAATAACAAAGAAGTCTTTGTGCATTCATAGAAAATATATTTATGACTTGAAGACACCAGTACAAGTCTAAATTCAACAGGTGAGGAGACAGAATCAGATACAGAGAAGAACTGTTGGTACTACAATATCACTATCTTCATAGTTTTATTTCCTAGGCCTTCTTCACATGTCCTCGCATTTCAGCTGTTAACCGGCAACATGTCTTCTGCATTCTTACTTAAAATATTACAAGGATCATAGCTAAATAAACACGAGAAATTACATTAACCAGATAAATATCAGTAAATATCTGTCATGCTGTAATTTACTTTTTCTTATTATCCCCAGCAACAACGAAGTTGCAGGGGATATAGAAACGAGTTCCGTCCGTCCGTCACTTTGTCCGAAGCATATCTATTCGTGATAGCTTAACAAAACTTGGTACACATGTCAATCATGATCGCTAGATGTGCCTTTTGGGGATTAGACCCAGATGCAAATTTTATTTTTTGCTGCTTCCATGGAAACATGACATAGGCTGTGACTATGAGGATATCATCTTGTCTGGAGCAGATCTCCAAACTATGTGCTAGCTTCAACAAACTTGGTACACATGTGCATTTTGGGGGTTAGACCCAGATATGAATTATATTTTTTGTGGTTTCCATGGAAACACGACTTACCCTGTGACTATGAGGATGTCATCTTGTTGCATTTCCATGGCAACAAGTTAGGCTTCAACTGAATTTGGTGGTAGTGCTGTTTTCTGGATCAGATCTTAAAAACCTTTCAATACTCTCCTTCCACTTTGCTGTATACACTCCAAAACATTTGACATAATCATAACTAGTAGACATATTCATAAAGAGTATTTTGCCGTTGAGGGGGATATTGATGACTTTGTCTTCTTGTTAATTTCTCATCAAAGAAAAATTGGGATTTAAAGGAAGAAACAGATCTTGTTATCAGGATATCATTATGTATTTAAGAAATCAAAAGTGACATTAATTGTATCTACTTAAAGCTCATGAGAGTTCTGTTATCATGCAGAATACAGTGTCCTCTAAAATGATCAACTCTTAATTCACAGGATTTTCTCTCGGGCAACAGTCCTTTTCAGGTCTCAACAAATAGAATTATTGGACTGAGTAAATTAAGTAAATCAAAGATTTATTTGTAGGTTTCTTGCATGTTTGAAGAAGCTCAGGAGCTAAATTAATCTGCATAAGGGATTGGGAGGTTCTAAACGCCATGTTGTTTTAGAATAATACTCTCTCGATTTATGATTAACAGGTATTTTTTCAATTCCCCTGAACTTTTGACCAAACCCCTTAAAAAGTTGATTATGTGATACAAAAATGAGAAAAGTAGAGTAAATACAAACAATTAGAATGTAAGCATTCAACTAAAAATATGCGTCCAAAATGATACTAAAACCTCACATTTTGTAAAATAAATGCAAGTTTATACAAAGTTTCTACTAAATGCAGAATGACAATAACACCCTTGTCCAGATTGCACCGTAAGCCATTCAACAGAAACAGCCAATAGTATACATAGCAGTGAAATACTCAAGAGACAAAATCACTAAAAGGCACTTGATGATGTAATAAATTAAGAGAAATGATGAAATATTTACACTCATGTATGAAATTATTGTCATAAAGCCACATTATAAGATTTTAAGCTTCATTTAAAAATAATTGGACAAGATAACAAATGTTTCAATATCCATGTATGAATATGACTAGATGCTTCATTCCCATCTTTCAGGCTCAATTTTATCCACACAGATACTACTGGCCATGAAGGCGTTCTTAAGAACTATTTTTGTCAAATTATGACCAAAGAATTCTAAAATGTATTAAAATCTAAAATGCTTTCAAATTCCATTTAAAATTAAATGAAAGCTCATTCGGCTACATGATAATGTGCTTGACAGATTTTGTTTGGGTTTTGAAACAAAGAACCGACAGGGCATGCTAGGACATGATAACCATGAGAAAGTATAGTACATTTGTGTTGTTATGTAAACTTAAATCTATCCCAGAGACACTGCCAAAATGAGTGCCTATATTTTGACAAGGGAATTCTGAAAATATCTTAGAATTCACAAACCTAAAACTGGATATCTGGTGGTGAGTTTTACAATAATACTTTTAAAAATTTCAACAGAAGGCCTTCACGATATGTTCTTGTGTGGGGCATCAAATGTGGTCTTGTGTGTTGCCTACATTGTTATTTTCACTTGTACTGGTTTAATAGGGTACATTATTCAAACACCGCAAATCACGTGATCTTGTCCTGTGATTCAAAATGGCTTGATGAGACAGATGCTGAAACAATACTGTGCCATTCAACTCATATAAATGAGAGAAGAAGCAATGAACACTAGTGGTTTTGTATATATAGATAACATGAACAAACAAGGCTGTAAAGAAATAATGTTTAACATGAAGTTGTGCAAACATCTGACAAAATCACTCGTGCCCATAAAAACTTCACAGTGATGAATATATACTGTTAACACTACCTTCAACACAGGTCAAAACACAACCAAAATCAATCTTCCCTAATCATGAAACAAATGGGGACATGTTGCCACTGGTATATACTGTAATGGTGACTATCGAGATCTACAAAAACAAACACAACACAGCTGGCTAAAGTATCTTCTAAAACAAACCTTCACGCAGTGTTACACATTACAATTCAAGGGGCACTTGTTATATATAACCCTATTGTTAAAACGTAAAGACTGTGGGGTCCCTAGATTCAAATAACATAGAAGACATGAAGGACCCATGAAACCCATATTTCCAAGCGCAAACAGGAATTGGAGCTATGCTCATAAAATATAGGCCTGGTCTCATGGGCTCTGTATGTGTCAGTTTGAAGTTGCGTCTCCATGGTTTTGTCAGGTAGTGGTTTACAATAAGAAAACACCACTTCAAAGCACCATATTGAATGTTATGTTTATGGTAAAGTCTACAATATGAACCAATTAGATTTACATGTGAACAGATTTCACACATTTGCACTTCCCATGTAGTGAGTGAGTATGGTTTTACGCCGCTGTTAGCAATATTCCAGCCATATCGCCGCAGGGGGACACCAGAAATGGGCTTCACACATTGTACCCATGTGGGGAATCGAACCCGGGTCTTTGACGTGACTAGCCAACGCTTTAGACACTATGCTACCCCACCGCCCCTTCTTCCCATATAAAGCTATACAGGTGTATAAGCAAATGATACTAAATACAAGATGCACACAACATAAGCTGCTTGTTCTTGCATCTGTATGAGACATCATAAGTTTCACATTTGATTGCATTCATGACAAATACATTTGATTATTGCATTGCACCTTTTCCTTCTCAATTATTACAACTCAATACAGGTATACATACGTATTAATGTTGCTTTCTACCTTCTATGCAAGTAATGCTAACTTCCATATACCAAACTACATCTGACCACAAGTGGAACCTGTGGTGGCTGTGTGGGTTAAATGGCTCACTTTGTGTGCTGGCAATTATGTGCCCGACTCTTGAGGGTGTGGGTTCGAATCCTTGATGGGACTCAACCCAACAAAAGTACTAGAATCTGTACTCTACTTGGAAAGTGTAATCCCAAATATAACGTGTTACATTTGACCGCTCTCTAAATGGCATTGTGTATTTACAAATATATCAAACATGTTTTTCAGAATTCATGAACATTACACACACAAAAAAAGTTTTCTCTGTGGTAAACACTTGCTCAATAATAATGGAATAGATTACCAAGCACCTGCTGGTGAAGCAATGGTCCCGTGGCAAGGGCTTCACTTGCATAAATAACACACATTGAATGAGAATAGTAAATGTGCGACTACCTATTCCATCTGCTAATACTAAGTTATATCATGTATTTCATACATGCGACTACTGTGGACAATACTGATCAACAGTGGTATGGACAAAGTCGGACATTGCAGTGCCGATGTTGTTGGCCGCTTCTAGCATCTCGTCATTGTTGTTATAGGACTTGGAGTCCCCCCATTGAGTAGGCTGGAATAGAATGAAGCAGATTAATCATTAAATCAGCCTGAATCATAATATCAGCATGAGTGAGTTGGGCTTAAACGCTTCCCATAGTCATGTCATTTTGTGGGAGGACAAATTATGATAAAATAGCATGCATTATTATCCCCCGCCATGAAGTGGGAGGGGGATATAGGTTTGATCTCCGTCCATCCATCCATCCGAGATGATGGGAACAGATTTTCTCAGAAACCGTTATAGATAGGGAAACCAAATTTGGCATGTGTTTTCAGGACATAATTGCCTTGATGGAGTTTGAAAACAGAAACCGTGTTACAGTTTGTTACAGAGTTATGGCCTTTGTCATGTGTTTCTTGACTTAGTGCACGGTATCCCAAATGGGAACAGATTTTCTCACTTCACAGCTGATGTATCGCTATTTGTAGGAAGAATGAATAGTTGTCAAAATAGGAACAGAACACTGTGGTGGAGGATATTGATGACCACGTCTTCTTCTTCATGTTATTTTGGGTGCGAAAATTATACATCCTGAAGCAAAACAACTTGGTTCCCTGGACAAATGGCACTCAAAACTGATCAGAACACAAGAGACACTTTTACAAGAGTAATTGGGAACACATGAATGGCTTTGGGGAAATGAACTATTGCATGTAATTCTGAAGCTTCCCATCTCTATAGGTACCTGAGAAAGACAAATTGGCTGGCAGGGCATCATCAATCCGCTTCAACAGTTCCTGAATCTCGGCCTCCTCCTCTGGGCAGAACTGTGACTTGGACACACTGGATGGTGTGAAGTAACACTGGCTCTCTTCGATACTACCATGGCTGGTCCATTCAGGAGTCTTAGGGGTGACAGGATCTTTATCAGGGGTGGTAGGCGTAGTCGAACCAGTCCACTGTGGAGTTCCAGGGGTGGTGGAGCTGTGCCACTCCTTCCCTGCAGGGGTGAGGGGTTTGCCTTTCCGTCTCCTTGGTTCTGTGAAATATGCCCCAGCAGCGGGGGTGGTGTGTTTGGATGGGATTCGGCTGGAGCAGGCCTGTGGGGTGGTGTCGATGGAGAGGGGAGAGAAGTAGCTGTGTCCAAGGTACGACATGGATACTGGACGGTGATAGGTTATATCACTGGAAGACCGGTGGAGTGGCTGTTGCTGCAAGGAGAATAAAGATGACGTCACTTCCCTGCATCAAACATATCAGGGTGATTATGCTTCGGTTCCATACCCACTTCCTGCCTTAGTCTACATGTAGTTAGACATTGGAACATTTTCTATTATTCCCATATTAATTGATGTAAGCCTTTGAGGGGAATGAATTTATTATGAGTCAGAAGACTCCAGGCACGTTTTCAAGAACATGACCCTGTCATTCTTCCCTTTACTGACTGACTGAGTACGGTTTTATGCCGTTTTTAGCAATATTCCAGCAATATCATGGCAGGGGACACCAGCAATGGGCTTCACAAGTTGTACCAATGTGGGGAATCGAACCCGGGCCTTCGGCATGACAAGAGGCGAACACTTTAACCACTAGGCTACCCCACCGCCCCTTCTCCCATTTAAAGGACACTGATCAAAACAATTGGTTGGTTTGTGCTTAATGCTGCATTAATCATTATTCCAGCACTATCATGGCAGCATGTAAAGTCTGGGCCAGACAAACCAGGGATTTAACTATTGAAACACTTTCTATGCTGCTGGTGTTCTTTGAGCCACAGAATCTGATGATCAACATCAAATCATATCTTAGGAGGTTACCATGGTTACCAATTCAAACATAACTATAGATATCTGTTATTATAATAAGTACACTGACAGAAACACCCATAAAATATGAAGCCTTGGAGATGAAAGAAGTTTTTTCCAAGATATGATAATATTTTACAATAGTCAATCCTGTTGAATAATTAGGGTAAATCACCGTAGCGCATGTTATACTACAGGTCAGCTAAGGTAACTACACAAAACATATTACTCACCTTCAGGACATTTTGGACCCGGTTGAGATGGCGACTCAGCCTCCTGTTGTGGTCTTCTAGAACATCCTTCTGTGCATGAATCACATCGTTCTCTATCTCAAGGTCAGCTTCATACGACAGGTTGCTCTCAGTGTCCGATGGTTGTCTCAGCTCTGCTATCTTCCTGTATAGTTTCCTATACATTTGTGAAAGACGGAAAGAGTAAGGCATTACATTGTAGTGAATAAATGCTGAAGATTTCAACTTTTCATAGGCATAATAAGCTTTGTCATTGTTTTTGAACATACGCTTGAAGTATGAGAATCATTTTTGTGTATCTTGGAAAGATAACAATATCCCTATCAAGAGTTGATTAGTATTTGACTGCCATATCACTGGTTTACTTCGTAGGTAGACAAACCAGTGCTTATTAGAATGATAACAAGAAAAAATTGTGTCCAGGGACACAGATGCCCCCGCTGACATTCATAAGACATATAAAGATCAATAATTTAACAAAATTCACGAACAAGTTCAATAAACATCTATGCAACTATGAGATGCACACCTTTCGAGTCCCAATGAAACACATGTATAAGTTCATTCAATTCTGTTGAGCAGTTTTTGTGGAGAAGTGGATAGACTTAATCCCCTATTTCACTATCATCAGAGAGAAATTCAACAAAATCTATCTAAGTTCAAATGTCTCTAAACATACAAAAAACAATTGCAGTCAGCAATATTCTTGCTTTATCACTGCCACCTGTAAATAGCAACTGAATGATTACAATCTCACACTCCTTTTAGCAATATTCCAGCCATATCCTCTTTTGGAAGCACAAGATATGGGCTTCATACATGAACACTTATGGAGAATCAGCATCACAAGCCACCTTTTTAAAAATATGAACTCAGCCTAGAAGATTTTGTTACCTGTTCTCTTCCTCTAAGCGACGGATAACACCTTCATATTCGTGTCTCTGATGTTTCATGAAATTTGACACATCCTTCACGTTCTCCTGAAATAATTCGGAATGATCAATAAGGAATTTTACATCTCAGTTGGAATTCCCTATAATTCAGTATGTTTAATGTGTACCAGTGAATTAGAACCAGGTAATCTTGAATTAAAAGTTTACTTTGTGCCCCCCCCCCCCAGAGTGCAACCTCTTAAATTCATTCTCAGTTATGTCATCCTAATTTGAAGATGAAAGCATAATGGGTACCGAGTTATCTCCCTTGGGATGATGTTAGTGTGCTGTTAAAGCAGCATGAGCTTTTTGACAGCTTACTCTAAATAACAAATTTGGACCAGACAATCCAGTGATGGATATTGTGAACAATGATCCAAGCTGTCCAGGTATGATGACACACCATCAACTGAGTCTGAGAAGTCCTACAATCCATTTCATTGGGTTGCCTCTTATTACCAGCATAGGTACCCTCCACTGTATACAGGCGAGATAGTTACCTTGTCATGGACAGACTGTGTGGGTGTCTTTCTGGGTGTGTTGTTAAGAACCAGGACAGTGGCGGACTTGGGACGGAAGGTGTTTGACTCTGCCAGTGGCTGGCGTGAAGTGATGGGCTGCTGGTCATGTGACTGACCTCCAGCTGCTTCGGTGTTGGTGACCTTGGTCAATGTCGGCTCTTGTCGACCTGGACGGCCACTCCTTCAAGGAAATGCATGAAAGTCAATAAAACAGTTTTCTTGTCATTCAATTCAAGTTAAGATTTCGGTGTATTTCAGTTTATATCATGAAGTCATATTTTATCAACCTTGTTACAGTACAATTTATTTCAGTGGTATCTGTCATTTTTATGGCCCAATCTACAGAAACCTAACACCTAACTTAAAGAGAATGACTGTCAGTTTCAATACTACCTAAATATTTGAAATACTGTCTGAGATATAAGGGTCATAATCTGCATGACCTACCATTCCATGATGGGGTTTATCCTGGCAGAATCAATGGGCAAGTATTTCACTTTACTCTTGCGGCGATGTTTCTTGCTCAGGTTGTTCCTGATGGTCTTCATGAAGGCCTTTGTATCATCCTTGCTGCTGGTCTGTCGGGGAAATAGAGAAACAGACTCATTAAGTATTGTTATCTGACAGGTCGGATGAGTTCGCCATTTTCAATTTCAGTTTCCAAATATTTCATACTTTAGTGCTTTTTCAGTGATGAATATATCTTGTAATACTCTAGTTAGTAATGTTACACTGTATCACATTGGTGTTTAGAAATAAGTGAAAATAGTGCAAATAGAGATTCAGATTATCAGTATATATACAGAGTTAGCATTGTTACTGTGCCCTTTCTGTCATTATTCACACTCAGCTATGTGACCAAACCATATCCGTTTCAATTGGCTCTTACGACAAGTATACTGAGATCATTCTGCCCTGGACTGTCAATAACAGCATGAGTTACTTCCTTAAGCACCAAACCCAGGAATCAACCACTCACCATGTTGTTTGGTTGGTTTGTTGTTTAAGGCTGCACTCAGCAATATTACAGCTATATGGCAGTGGTCTGTAACTAGTCCAGCCTGGACCAAACAATCCTGTGATCAACAGCATGAGCTTCAATCTACCCAATTGGGATCCAATGACGTGTCCGTGATGATACATGCATCATCCAAGTCAGCGAGTCAGACCACCCAATCGTGTTAGTCACCTTTTACGACAAGCATGGGTAGCCGAAGACCAATTCTAGCTCGGATCTTCACGTGTCCAACACTTACCATGAGACAGTACTCCTGCAGTGGGTGTTTAAGCTTGTGGTTCTTCCTTGTCTGGCCAGTGAAAAAACAGTGCTGACAGATGTCAAAGTTAAAACACTTCAGGCACCTGTATCTGAAGACAGACAGACAGCCAAAATATGATTTCAGCAAACAGGATGGAATTATAATAGAGTCACTGAGAGAAACCTCTTTGAAAACCTGATTAATGGTACACATTAATTTTCCTTTGGTTGCAAATTAACACTCCTGTCAAGGTCATCAAGGAGTTTAGTTTTACGCCGCACTCAGCAATATTCCAGCTATATGGCGGCGATCTGTAAATAATCGAGTCTGGACCAGACAATCCAGTGATGAACATCATGAGCATCGATCATAAGCGCAATTAGGAACCGATGACATGTGTCAATGAAGTCAGCGAGCCTGACCACCCAATCCCGTTAGTTGCCTCTTACGACAAGCATAGTCGCCTTTTGTGGCAAGCATGGATTGCTGAAGACTAATCTTCCCCGGATCTTCAGAGGTCAATCAAGAAAGTGTGTCCTGACTAACAAGTCAGTGATTCTGCAACCAGATCTTGTCTCCCAAGTATTGCATTTAAAGGTAAAATTCAAGTGAATGATTAACCAAGACAATAACATACAGAAGTGAGGTTGTATGCTCACTTCAGCATATTGAACAATGTGGCATATTTTAATGGTACGTAGGGGAGAGAATGGCTAAAAGTGACACAAAGATCAGACATTTCCACTTTAGTGAAACCAAGGAGCATCGACATGGTTCTCAACCACCAAGGTTCAAAATCAGAACAAATCCTGGTTTAGACTATCAGCAGATCCTGGCATCTCAACCACCAATGTTCAAAATCAGAACAAATCCTGGTTTAGACTATCAGCAGATCCTGGCATCTCAATCACCGAGGTTCAAAATCAGAACAAATCCTGGTTTGGACTATCAGCAAACCCTGCATCTCAACCACCGAGGTTCAAAATCAGAACAAATCCTAGTTTAGACTATCAGCAGATCCTGGCATCTCAACCACCAAGGTTCAAAATCAGAACAAATCCTGGTTTAGACTATCAGCAGCTCCTGGCAGTGGCATGACCAAGGGACACAGCTTGTGGCTGTAAACCATTTGTGGAGCATAACATAATGCTAAAAGTTTTGTACAATGTTCAGGAAAAACCTGGTACCAGTAACTTTTAACTCACCTGAATCCTATTATGGGGAAAGCTTTACAAATATTGCACTTTGCCTCATGTTTCACTGTAAACAAAAAGAATATTTTTTGATACAATAACAAACAAAATGAATCATTATTTCCATGAATTTATTGCATCGCCTCACAATTCAATATTAATGATAGTTCACCTTCAGATTGTCTGCGTGAAAGAATACTGATTAGTTGTTTATTTGAGTGTTCACTTGTTCAGCACAATGCAATACGATGACATCCATCAACCAAATTATCAAACCTGACCACCCTATCCCGTTAGTCGCCTCTTGCATCAAACAGGGGTTGCTAAAGACCATTTCTAATAATTTAGATTCATTATGGACATTATGGATGATAGCTGCTTGACAACAAAGAGGGGCACCTGTTTCAGCCGCTGCCAGTCGATGGAGAGTTGGCAGCCACACCAGTGTCTGTGGTTCCCGTAACAACCAGCTGTAGAACATATCTTCTGATACTCCAGTTGTGTTTGAAGTCTGAAATCGAATCCATAGTTATCTTGCTTCATACTTTCTGTCTTATGACAAATGTACCTAATCTCACAATAATATGATGTACTCAGGACCGGGTGATCATAATGGTTTCTCCACAGTGACCTATGATCAGGAGCATTGGAGCAGGTGTTTAATAATACCATAACAAATAACTACCAAAGGAATACTGATTATGTCCGAGTGTTTGCCACAACAAACTCACCCCTTGGAGACAGCTAGCCACAACTGCCCGAACATTCTTCCCAAAGGCAACACTTTCCTTTAAGAGATCTGGGATCTGAAACATCAGCATTTTAATGCAGTTATGTCTTGTGAATATTGTGTCACCACTTCACAACATAACCAATTGTTTTGTTTAAATTTATGAATACTAAACCATTTTATAAATTTCAATACTGGTAAGTGAGATCAATCACACAGGGTCTAAGAAGACAGGGAAATGGATTTCTACATAGCTCTTAGCAATATTGCAGGCATATAAGGGCAGTGCAGTGCATTTTGCACTGTCCAGTTCCAAAGTCAAACCTGGATTTCCTTTTTTGAGGAAATGCATTAATAACTGGGCCAACTCCACCAGCTTCATGGAACATACGACACAATAAGAGTCTATGATGCTAATGTTAAGCTGCTGTATATCTACTTTTTCAGGGTTTGAGTCCTGCAGTTTCTTTGTAATGAAATCAGTGGGACACTTACAGATGCACAACTGAAGCTAGGGTACAAACCTGAATAAGATCTTGTACGAAATCCCCTAGGCTCTTCTCCCCTACAAATGTACTCTGATCTTTCAATTCATTGTAGAAAACTGAAAAGTAAATATGACATGCTAACTAAATGACCATCAAATATTGACAGACAATTTTTAATGGATATGTAAAATACCCATTCATCCTTCATGGCAGTGTAAAGAATTCTAAGGGAGATAACTGTGTCAGTACCAAAACTTTGTGGTGACGCAATACTGAAACAGAAGATGAATAATTTGGGAAGAAATTTGAGACATAAAAAGCGAAAGACAATAGGAACAATGATTAATTAGGAAGTACATGTAACAATGACATCCATTCTCAAACACGTCATGAATGTTATTGTAACAAGAAACATAATAACATGTCTCAATGTCAAGGTCATCAGGTTATCTTTTGATGAATACTCACTGGTATCTGATGACGCTAAAAAATATTTCAGCATTATATACCTGAAGCATACAATTACACAACCTCAGTACCAGAGGTACAGAAGCTCACCTATATGTGTAGGTTATAACAACATGAAATGATGTTGGTATCAGAAAGAAAACTCAACTTCATTTGTAGGTGAAAACATGATGAAAATATTCTTGGGAAAGTTAAAATATGTGAAAGGACATCGAGAGATAAGGACATCTGAGGAAAAGCCCCAAGTCCTGCACCCAAGAATCTATTTGGACGATGTACAATGTCAAGCTTAACTGAGAATGTCATTTCATCTGGATTACACAGATATATTACCACATGTGTTTTTATCGATATTTTCCAAGTTTTTGATATTTTATGACACCAGTTTTTTACACTGTGGGAGACTTCAGAGACACATAGGACTATGATTTGTTTTAGTCCAGTACTAATGGAAAGATGGATGATGGGTGACAAACCACATCAGCTCACTGGGATGATCCGGGTTAGAATTGATCTTCAGTAACCCATGCTTGTCTAACGGGTTCAGGTGGTCAGGCTCACTGACTTGGTTGACACATGTCATCGTATCCCAACTGCGTACGTCAATGCTCATGGTGTTGAGCACTGGATTGTCTGGTCCAGACTTGCATATTTACAGGAAGCCGTCATGTAGCTGGAATATTGCTGAGAGCAGCGTAAAAAAAACCCCACTCACTCACAATGATGATGTGAAGGTAAGCTACACTTGTTCTGCTCCAGTAGTGTCTCGATAGAAGTGACACCAAGAAGATATGCGAGTGTAGTTTCATGATGTACAGTGGGTGGTGCACTGATGAGGGAGATAATGTAGAGAATATCAGTATCCCAGCAATATCACCTGAAGAGACACAAAGAATGGGTGTGTCAACTTCTAACCTTGTGAGAGAATCAAACCTTCGTCATGACAAGCCAATGAAAGCCAACAATATGCTACATCATCAGCTGGCTGACTTGAGAGAATTCAGATTAGTCATATGTGGTATCGTTTCAGCAATAAATCACCATAGTTACAAGGTGGCAGAAAGTCTTCAGGACAACAGAGCAGGTGAGTGATGTTTAATGTCACTTAGCATTATATTCAGTCCACCATGACCATAACATGTTGCCTAAACCGAAGTGAGATGCCGTTCATATTTGCCACTTTGCCAAACACTACATGGTTTGGGGAGGGTGGGGAGGGGGAGGAGAGAGAAGAGAGAGAAAGGAAAGGAAAGGAGTGTTGACAAACCAAAGATGAAAAACAGTGTTTGTCAAGGATTCAAACTCACCATCTAAAGATCTTTGCAACATCTAAGGGACACAACTCTCAAAAGGAAAAGGATAATTACCAGCCATGGATAATGGCATATCGAGCCAACTGTATCAGTAGCATCAACAACTTAGTTCCCTTTTATGATGTTGATGACACACTGTTGCATCAAAACCATGATCATGAGAAAGCAAATCATACAGTACAAACATCAACAAAATACAGACATGATGTATCAGGACACATTGATGAGTACTTACATCGATATTTTTCCACAAGACGAGCAGAACAGAGTGTGGCTAAAGCGAACTTGACTGACAGAATCGACACACTTCCACTGCGACTTCTGTATTGAAAAATAAAATTCATGTAGTGTAAATAATAAAGGAGTTCTTTGATACCACAGCACTCTTTGCTTAGCTGAAAGCATAACTTTTAGGATTTGAACCTTCGGACCCCTTATCATCTTCAGCTCATTAAGCTTATAAGGAACTCTAGACATTCATGATTAATTGTGATAACTAACATGAAATATTTGTAGTTTTGTTTCAGACGTATGCTAATATCTAAACAGTCATAGGTTTCTGTTGTACCCAAGAGACGTAACTCTATATAGCAAGCTGTGGCACCTTTGACAACTGAATCACACGTAAACTATCATTATCCAGTGAAAACATCCTCTGCTGTTAATGACAATTACCTACTTTCAAAGAGATAAAAATCCACTATAACAGAGACCCTGAAGTTGCTTCTATATTTTGATTTACACTGAAATGGCATCTAACATCAATATGCTACATCACAGTATTAACAAAGTTACACGCTAAATGTACAGTTTGATATCATGATCACAACTATCATTAAGTTCTGTCACATCCAGGTGTAGCATATCAATTCTACTGGGGATTATACAGGGATTTGATGTCAGTCATGCTTGTGGCTGAATTTCCTTGGTATGTAAAACCAGTTGCAACAATATGACACCAAAGGGCAATCACTCTATACACCAGCATTCTCTCCCAGTTGACGCACCTGTTACTTGATCTGAAACTTGACCAGCATCGGTTTCTTGCCTCAGGTGTAACATTCAAAAACCGAGTCAGCAAGCCATTTTTGATGCAACAATAACATAGGGACTGAATATTGTTTTGTTTTACTTCTGAATTGTTACAGGACCAAGATAAATGTGTTTTGGTTACATTAAATTGAGTACATTGTACCAATGATTGTGCACTGTTGAATACTGTGATTGTGCATTGTTGGTTACTATGATTGTGTATTGCTTACACATGCTAGGAATGCATCAGCAAGTAGGGCATTGCATCTCAACCATATGCACTATTAGTATTATAATGTAATTTTTTAAGTAAAATTGATATTTTATACTTATCCTGACTCATGATCTTTGCTTCGTCACGAGTCAGGATAAGGAAAAATTTATTATTATATGGGTATTTATATAGCGCTATAGTCCATCCCACATGCATGCTCAAAATGCTGCTTTGTTTTCCCTCGATCATTGGATGTCAATCTCAGGGCACATCATATTATCAATCTCAACTCTCTGGGGATCATACAACTCTTGCAGCCACTAGGCGCACCGAGTTAATATGACTTTCCCATCCATTCAAGGTACCCATTCACAGCTGGGTGGACTGGGACACATAGTCACAGTACTTTGTCCAAGTTTACTGCACATTGCTGTAACCACAACTAGGTGTTTGCATGTATTCATGTGGCCACCATCTGGTCATTTGCCAACGGATTCGTGGGTTCTTTTAAGTGTACAGGGTTGTGTACTGTACACTAGGGGTTGTGACAACACTGACAGAGTCTGCACACAAAGTTCACTCCAAGGCTTTTACGCCTGGTCACAGGTGGGCTCGATCCTGGCACCTCCAAGCTTGCTGGATCACTAGCCTGGCGCCTTAGTCAGCTCGTCCACCAGGACTATACATATCACACATGAAAATGTACAGTAACTATTAACTATTTTTAGACTATCTGTGGATCATCACCTATTTCTCAGGTTTCTGGTTGAATAATGAAAACCACTTTGAACATGGAAGGAAGCAGAAATACTGGCAACTTTGAAGAGCTCTTACAACATTTGTTTCCATCTATATATATTTTTACAAATTTTCCCATGAACTATGAGGCATGTTTTAAATAATATGGACATGGAAGCAAATAAAACACCAACATCAAAAAGATGTACCATTTACAACACGGATGAGGTCTATATAGAAACTTACACATCAAATAAATTCAATAGAAAATTGAGTAGCAGATCAGCAAAGACTTCAGGGCTCTGTTTGGGTGCATGTCTGTGATCTGCTGTGTGGTAGATGCCAAGCAGTAGTGTAGACAAGTCTCCACATGTCACCTTCTGGTGGCAGCCATCCGGGTAGTCCAGATCGTCCAACACACTGCGGATCACCTTCAGTGTTATCTGATGTACTGCAATAGAGGAAACACCTAGAACACACCATATAGACTACAGAGTAAGGGTCGAAGTTGCCAGTGAGGGCATGTTTTGGGGAATTAATAAAACTGATGATAGTGGGACACAGCAATATTCCAGGTGGGAGACACCAGAAATGGGCCACATGCCCATGTGGGGATTCGAATGATCTTCAGGGGAATTAACAATTAGGCTACCCACCGCCCCTGATAGGATGGTAGCCTGATAAGTAGAAATTGCAAAGGTAGATGCAGTGGTGGAAAATTGGGTGTAGAAGGGGTGGTTGTCTTGTTTTTGCTTGTTAAACACTACTCAGGAATATTCCAGCTGTATGACACCAGCCTGTAAGTAATCAAGTGATTGACATCAAAAGCATCAATCTAAGCACATGGCATACAATGACATGCATTTAGTCACTTCTTATGACAAGCATTCTGAAGATCATTTCTAACTCAGGCTTTCACAGGTGATAGCCTTGAAGTTGGGGTCCGGTTTATGGGATGAAACGGTGAAAGGTGTGTTCTTGTTGGTGGATGAACTAGTGAGTATTGTGGGTGGGTGAGTATTGTGGGTGATGGTAGACTGGGGGATATAGGGGTAGTAGTTGGACATGTTTTCAAATGGATATGTCAGTAGGGGCCTATTAGTGAGTGAGTGAATGAGTATGGTTTTACGCCGCTTTTAGCAATATTCCAGCCATATCATGGTGGGGGACACCAGAAATGGGCTTCACATATTGTGTCCATGTGGGGATTCGAACCCAGGTCTTCGGTGTGACGAGCGGACGCTTTAACCACTAGGCTATCCCACCGAGGGGCCTATTAGGAAGATGAATGCTAGTAGATATACCTACATGAAAGTCTTTTCTGAAGGTGTCTAATTTTTATAGCAGTCCTGTAGGCAGCATAACGAATCTCATGGTAGTCATCTGCAAAAAATATAAACTGCCATGACTAAGTGACATTTTCTCGAGAACTTATAAGTTCATGGTAAGGATGCACAAATATCAGTTTGAATGTGCATACACCATATAATACAGATCTCATATACATGTTTGATAAGCAATGTAAGAAAAATATTACAGACACATTATGTGACATATGCTCTTTTAAAACCAACATTCACTTACCAAGTTCTTCCAAAATTTTAGAGAAGTATGGATGATCCCATGAAGTGGTCTGAGTCTGATGGCTGAAAAGTACAAAAGTAACAGGGGACATCTGAACAAAGAGTGTGGTATGAGGGCCCATGTCTAAAATGATACAGCTAACATGCAGACATTTCAAGTTTTAACTTTGTTAACATGTAGACTGAAATAGGCAATGGAATGTTTTAGACTGAACTATGAGTGGGCATGCATGATGACAGTAAGAGTCAGCATTATAATGATGTCAATTCAGCAGCATTGCATATGGCATAGGATTTTTATCCAGCATGAGTCATGGGCATACATACATGTAACCGGTATCCTAAATGTACACAGGCCTATTAGGAGCAAACTGTTATGTTACATAAACTGACAAAACTAGGATTAACCATTTATCCAGCATGACTGTCTCCTAAATGCAAATGGCAGATTTCATACTACATTATTAACTAATTATCAACAAAAATCTATTCCCCTCGCGGCGATGCGCAAATTCTTTAGTTGTTTTGTTGGATACTGACAACGGACAAGCTATTAAGCGTCTTGGGAAATCTGACAAAAGAATTGTTAATGCTTATATATAGTTTTAAGTCGGTCTTGCTCTGATTGGATAGAAAGAAGGGAGATCAATAGTGACAATCTGTAGGGGATTTTTACGAGAACCGAGGAAATATGCCCATGATTAGAACAGAGATTAACATGATTAAAGGATTTACATGTTTGGTGATTTACTTCCAGAAAATACAATCTGTACGAATAATGCATATATGTCTAAGAATAATGTCTTAAAAATCGATCCTCATGTGGCATGTTTAGTGGTGCACCATTTTGTTTAGCATCAACATCATGAAGTGTATTTGTTGTGTATTCAACCTTACCTGATAAAATATGGAATCCCATTTTCTGCCTCTTGTCGCTCCCAGCCTTCTACAATCACATCTGAAAAATTATCATTGACATGATCATGAATACAAGTTTAGTTTACTTTCATAAATACAAACACAAATTACATGTAAAAGAAATCAAGATGAATTCATTATCTTGCAAAATGACTAAAGAAGCATCACTGAGATTGCTTGCTTTTTCTCATATTGCCCATTGTCAACTTTTGCTTGCAATGATTGTCCTAATTGAAATACAGGACCCCAGCAGCGCTTAATTAATCTGCAAAAAGTGCACCCGGTAAAGTGCAGTACTCCCACATATGTCGTTTTAAGTAATACCACTTCTGTAATGTAGTTCATAGACATGTTTTTTTTAAAAGTTTTTAACTGATTAGACGGCTAGAATGCACTTTACCGGGCACAGCCCTCGCTGCTCCCTTTACGATCCTTAGGGTTAGGGTTTAGGGTAAGGGTATGCCACCCTTTACGATCCTTAGGGTTAGGGTTTAGGGTTAGGCACCCTTTACGATCCTTAGGGTTAGGGTTAGGGAACCCCAGCAGCGCTAATTAATCTGAAAAAGTGCGCCCGGTAAAGTGCAGTACTCCTGATTAGACATATAGCAAAGATTTCGTCTGATGTGATGATAACACAAGTTGTGTAAATTGATGTATGCACTGTATTATCTATTGAGAATCCAAGAAAATGTGCTAAAGACAAACTTCATACCATAGAGTTCGGTGTTATCCATCTTCAATATCGAATCAACAGGGCCGATGAATTCCTGCAGGCAGTCTTACTGCTGGTTCAATGTCAAAGCTTTATACAAAAAGTAGACAACTGGCATCTTTGGAAATGACAACATGTTTAGATGAATTCATTCTGATCATGCCAAGATAATTCTTTCCCCTATTTTTGTCTTTTGTTGCATCTTGACTCACAAACTTTTTTCACTGTACTTGGTCTTTAAATTCAACCCCCTTCTAGTTCTAAAACTAACGGCATATTATGTTTACGAGATGAATGTCCTAAACAGATGAATGAATTTTCGTATATACCTTATATACGTAACTGCACAAAACTATTCTTATTTTGTTTGTTCAGCTTGATTTGTTTGACACCTCGATGAAACTAGATTGAAGAATATAAAGTAACGGATTTAGAGTAATGAGATAATTTCTCAGGTAAGTATTACAATTCAGACCGAAATCACTTCCGTTCGAAGAACGCATGCGCATGTTATATTACATCCGCTTACAGTAGTGACAGAAGCGCACGGTAAGTATTTTTCGGGTTGAATTAGTTTGATTGAAAATGTCTGTAAATTAAATGTGATTACATAATGGTATACATTGTAGGCAATGTGTAGTTTACAGATAAGGATGTTACGAGCGACTGTAATACCACTTCACTCATGAATCAGATTGACAGGTGCTCTCTGATAACCTTTCCAGATGACAGATATTGCCAATGTAATCAGTGTCATACTAAAGACTGTAACAATTAATTGAAACACAGTTTCATTTCACTCCTGTTGAATGGTATCTTAATCATCCTTAATGTTTCATAATCACTTTACGGATGACTGAACTCACAGCACCAGCTTGAATCTTTATCACTGGTACTATCACAATAATTAGTGTTCATTACCAAGTGACCGGCACCCAATTGTTTATCTTTTTTTGTACAATCTTAGTAACCTTTTCAATGTTGCACTCGAAAACTTGTAAACAATCCTACACATTTTCCTGAAAATAAATTGTATTGATTTGATAAAAATGATAGCTAACCCTTAACTTGTAGCTAAGGATTGTAAAGTGATGTTTGCTTGACACGTGGGGCCTAATCTTGAGAATCGCAATGGATTGTTTCATAGGATAGAGGTACGTAACCCTGAGGATTTTGTGAAGGGTGCTTGATTGGAAAGGGCATTCAAGGCATAAGCACAGAGTAGTGGGTAACCTACCCTAGCCTAACAGAACTCACCACAAATATAGAAGGCATATCTGAGATTGATGTAGCAAGAACAACAGCCATCAGTGTGAGCCAATTAGCACAATCGTCTGTGCCTGATTAATTGTGATGTACCACTATATGTGGTGAATATTTATTAAACATATATTTTGTATATTCATATCCAATCAAGATTTGTTAACTATAGGGCCTAAAAAAGAATGTTGTGGTTCCGATTACCCAACCGACCCTTGAATTCTGGTGCCGCCCCTATTTTTTTAGGTATGAATAAAATAAGCTTTCAGATACCATTGTTTTTTCCTGGCACGAACGTACATTGGTCATTCCGATAAAGAAAGTCGACATGATGGCCGCAAGCTTGTTTGAATAAACAATTACACATTGATAAATGTGTTATTAGTTTGTACTTTACTTTTACTTCTAAAAAAAAAAAATGTACCCTAAAAAAGAATTCGAACCTACATTTTTTACCTGGCCCTAAATTTTGACAAAGAGGTGTAACCATTTTGCACATTGTTGTTTCTGAACCACAACATTTCGGTTTTTATGTTTGGCCTTGTGAGATATCATAATTGACAAACCCCTGTTATGTGTAACCATTTTGCACATTGTTGTTTCTGTTCACAGACAAAGTAGATCAATTTGGTCTGGTTTAGTTAAATCTTGACAGCGGTATAAGAAGATCATAATAAAAGTTGTTATCCACTTTCATGTCACCAACTTCTAAAAATCAACCATAATTAAAACACAATTATCACTTATTCATGACATCTAATATACATTGCTGGTCATGAAAAAACATATAAACAAAATTATAAGCGTACAATCGCAAATCAAAAGTGCAATATTGTGTACTTCAGTTTACTTCCCAAGAAACGAAGCAGCCGGGATACTGAACCCGGTCAGAGCGAGTGGGTGTGCACTCAAGTGTAATGGCTGGTTCATTTGCAGATGCCCTCACGGGTCATTGTGTGTGTATATATAGAGGGGTGGTGGTGGGGTAGCCTAATGGTTAAAGCGTTGGCTCGTCATGCCGAAGACCCGGGTTCGATTCCCCACATGGGTACAATGTGTGAAGCCCATTTCTGGTGTCCCCCGCCGTGATGTTGCTGGAATATTGCTAAAAGCAGCGTAAAACCAAACTCAGTCAGTCAGTCAGTCAGTCAGTATATATAGAGATGTTGGGTTTTGTAAATACATGCTCATTTTTTGTGTATAGCATTTTGCAATCAACAGACATCATAACATGTCATGTGTTCAAATATCACACCTGTCTGTCTGTGTAATTACATAATGTGACAGAGACCCATCTCGGGCCATAAATCAATGCATTTTGTTTATGGTGTACAGCCTGATTGGTGTTAAGTTCAAATTGCATGTGGTCAGTGATAGCAGCTGTGTATTGAATATTGTCATTAGCAGACAGGCAGCCAGACACACAGGTGTCAATAAAACAAGACATTGAGTTTAGTCTGTGACAACGACATATCTATATCACAGTTGGAAATTCTGTCAGCTAAATAATGGCATTGCTTTTAAGTATCGAACTGAGAAAGTGACTCGGGGAAGAAGAAAGTGTGGTGAAATAGACAAATAAAATTATATAAACAGTTAATTTACTGTCATAACATATAAAAGCTCGCCTGTGAGATATCAACAAAACATTAGAAAAATAGCTCACACCAAAGCCTTCACTGAGTATTCACCAGACAACAGCTTCCAAGCTCTCGCGAACCTACTTCACTGCGCACATGCTATAAGCGCAGCCCAGCTGTTGAAACCCGTTTTCCCAAGAAAAGTCGGGGGAAAATTAGTGAAACGTTTGAACTCCGATTTCGCACGTTTTTTTTCATCGCGTTATTTTTCAACTTTATAAGTTAAATTTGCATTTTTGACGCTTTGTTTCGGTAAGTCCATACCGAAAGGTATCAGAATCTGCAAAGTTGTGTTTTACGTTGCATGTGACCTTTAAGTCAGCCTTCATGTTTGACAAATTCAGTGAGCATCAGCATTTGCTTCTCATGTAGGGAAGCATTGTCATCTAAAGCACCAGAACTCTCTGGTATATGAGCATATATGTGATCATGCATCCAAATCATAATTTTATCCCGATAAATTTTCCAGGTTTGTCAGCTCTGTTGTTCCAAACAGGTGAAAAAAAGATTAGAATTCAAATTGAAAACAATAAAATCCTTACTGTCTTCAATTTATTTCTTTGCTTTAAATATCTTGAATATGACTAAATGATGAAAATACATTACTGTATAGAACTGTCATAGTTCCTCAGTTATATGTCAGAAACCATAGTCAGACTTTATATCAAGTATTGCTTTATGAATCCACAGACTAAGAGTGAGTGAGTTGTGTTTTACACCATTTTTAGCAATATTCCAGCAATATCACGATGGGAAACACCAGAAATGGACTTCACACATTGTACACATGTGGGGAATTGAACCCGGGTCTTCAATGTGGCGTGCGATCGTTTTTACCACTTGGCTAATCCCTTAACTCTGCCATCACTGTTGTTATCTGTGGTCTCTGTTTGAGCACTAATATCACAGTTGGTATGTACTTTAAATTTTCAATAAGTATAACCCTTGACAAGTATGCACAAGGAAGGTCAGATGTTACTCTAACCTTGGGTGATTAACACTTGATGACATGTATACTTGAAATGTTGAAGACCTGTGTTCAGATCCCCTCCTTTGTTCAGTATGTAATGTCACCATTACTTGTCTTGAATATTGATAAATATGATGTGAAACCATGCTTTTCACTCACTCACACTAGCCACTGGAGAATGACTTCCTCTGGAATGCTGACTGCATTATTTTGATATATGCGATTGTATGCCTTATTTTGATGATGAAATCTGTTTTGAAATTCCTGCTTGATCAATGAAATCTTTTCGAAGAAAGATCTTTGAAATAAAATGCTTCTCGAAATCAAATCGAATACTTCATTGTACAATTTGTTTTGTTTTTCTGTGAGTTGAGATTGACAATATTGGAGTTCAGTAACCCATTTTGAAACTTCTATTGCCATAGGCAAGTGGCATTTTATGAGTATCAGTAGGTGCCGCTATGTGTAGACTGAAATCTGCAGGTGGTGCTTGTGTATAGTATGGTGACACTAAAGTGTTGATCAGCTTTCAAAAGAGTCTCCTAAAATGTAGATACAGTAGAATACTTTTATAACGAACACAGATATAATGAACTGACTGCTATAGCGAACTGTTTTAAAAGTCCCGAATTAACCTTATATTATCATATAAAAAGTGAATAGCGAACTACGGATATAACAAACTAATTTCAGTGGTCCCCTGGAGTTAGTTATAGAGGTATTTTACTGTACTTCCTTTTTGACTGTGGATCATTTTTACCATGTTAAGTCCATTAAAATGTCAAGCAGAGACAATCGTTTATTTGTCTTTGGTAGGAAACAATTGCAGATCTAAAAGTGATCTAGTAGTTCTAGTAGTAGTTCTGGTAGTTAATGGTCATGTTTCAAGAGCTGATAAGTTATGATTTATCTGCAAAGAAGATGTGTCAATTTGTGTGGTTATGATTCAGTGAAATGTGAACACACTTCTTACTGGAAGTTATAGTGGACATTGACTCTCACCTGTAGTATTATCAATGATAATATTATGATCAATGACTAGGTACAATGTATATGTGAAAGTATATATATGCTCATCTAGCGCACTACTGGGAGAGATTGGGCGGCATAACTTAAGTGCAAATTAATTTTGCAAATGCGTTCGCTATTTGTGCAGACTGATCCGTATGAATACGAACAGATACATGCATGCTTGTTATACTGTGATGAAAGATCAAGATGAGCACGGCAGTACAAACTGGGTGTCGCACATCAGAATTCTACTTTTTAAAACTGGATTCTCATATATCTATATCGCCCAAGATTGTGGAGATATGAAATATTTTGTAAGATTGTTTGAACAGCGATGCATAGATATTCAGAATTTGTGTAAAAAAATGAATAGTTCAACATTTCTTTGCCACTATAGTTCTTATAAATCATTATTAACTACAGAATTATATTTATTATCAAATTCTATAGATAAAGATTTAACAGTTGTTCTCACGAAGTTTCGTATACTTTCTCATAACGTGAAGCTTCAGAACCAACGTTATAAGAAAAGTAAAGAAAGCGTTGACCGATCTGCCCTTACATGTGATAA